TTGTCATCGTCCCACGGCATTAGGGTTTTGAAATCGTCGAATTAGGGAAGTTCGACCTTAAGAAATTTAGGGTTTGAGCTGCCCTCAACAAGGTTCAAATTCTCTTTCCCTTCGATCAAGCAGACAAGCTTGAAGCAGATTGGCAGATGTAGCATGACATCAGTGTACATACTGTATGTACTTCAACTTGAAGTTGCAGCATTACGTCTGAAGAGGTTGCAAATAATCCTTTGCCCTTATTGTGCTGATATTAGTGTAAGGCGGCTCTGCTCTTAGGGATGTCGGAAGCAGCGAGAAAGAGGAAACGGAATGAGACGGCGAGGTCAGAGGTAAGGGTGCTGCTCTCTCTCCCGGCACTGCCCCATCAAGCTTGAGAACTGAAGCCTGGCACAGAGAAAGTTTTCTTCTTGATCAATAGACCATTTAGAGTGTCATATTGATGTGACTGGTCATGAGCTACACATGGTCCTTCGACGATGAAGATAGTGGTTTCTGTAATAATGTGCTGTAAATGCAGCAACGTCCATGTTTGAGGTAGGGCTGTTAAAATGCTGCTTATCTGCAGGCTGCGGGGAGAAGCGCCGTCGCTGTTGCACCACCAAAAAGGTGAGAGAATATTGTGCTCATTTTGTCAACGTTTGCAAATGGCGAAAAATGTGCATATAACTTTCTTGCCCCTCTCTCTGACCTTAAGAAGTACCACTTTAGATGTTGACCCTCTTTTGAGCTCTCCTCAGAGTTTCTGGTTCAAAGAAGTGTGCTAGAAAGCAAGCCCCACTCAATCAGACACTATCAAATCTGACTTGTGCAGATATCAACCCCCAGCGAGCTTCAAGCAGATAACAGACAAGCCACTAGTGCCGGCAGAGACACTACAAGACAATGGGACGGAAGTGTGGCTGATCCAACTTCCACCACAGGTACTGAAGCGCACCTTCTTCGGCAGATATGCAGTCTCATGATGCTGTCCTTTTGTTGTCCAGAAGTGCATTCACTCCGTTCATCGGTATGTAGAATGCAAGTTCCTTCACTGTGCCACCACCTTCACATCGCTCCTTCGAGCTTCACTTTTCAAAATTTTGCAACAATTGGGGGTTGGATCTCTGAAGTATGATGCTGCACTTTCAAGAACCAAGCCCTACGATGTTGGTTCTTTGAACGCATCTTTGCAAAAGGAGGTTGAATGTACTTAGTGTGGCTCACACTAGGAGCGTCTGCTTGCAGCTTGACCCTACTTCCCTTGATGGCGTCACCTGGAAAGTCCGCACTCATGTCGCAGACGGAGAGCTTGGGCATCTGCAGTCATCCGAAGGTGAACGCTCAGAAAGTGCACTTGAGTACGGACCAAGAGGAAGACATTTGTGTCTGCAGTGTTCTCCGGTGAGGGGAGGCATGTGTGCCTCCCTCTAGACACTGATCAAGGTCTGAAGGGCAGTTGTTTGAGTCCCCGCCGTCCATCTCAGAATCGCTTTGTGTCAGTTTAACCTGGACCTGGGGTGGCTATTGATCAACGACAGATCTGGACACTGTCTCTGAAGGGTAGCATCCGCTTCGTCCATGTACATGCTAACCACCTTTCACAGCCCAGAAGATGCAATTGGGAAGTGACTGACTCAATTAGTGACCCGTGCCGTTGGTTTCGAATTGATGATACTCTCTGGTCACACTTAAGCCCTCTGTGGTGCGAGAATGAGGCTCCTGCTTACTGCGTCCTCCGCCATGCATGCAGGCGACTCATACTCAATAACGGCCGAGCCTGCAGCGCTAGCAAAGCAGCTTTGTGTGGTCGCTCCAAGCTCAGGGGAAGGCCGGAGAAGCTTCGGTAAGGCTTTTCTGCAAGCCTTTGCAAATAAGACCAGGTCGTGATCTCCTCATTCTGGTTGCGATGAAGCTTCAAGGGGGACGTCGAGTCGCATGGACGTTATTGCCTTGAAGTCGGTGTCAAACTTGGAATTGTTGGCTTCTCTAGTGACGTTATAGGGACGCTTGATGTGGACGGTGTGAGCAGTCCGTCATGATAATTGATATGAGCTGCCAAGAAGATGTCGAGTTCTGATCAACGTTGAGAGCTCAATTCGGCTGCGCTCCTATATCCTCTGTTCTGATCCCGCTTCTGACTTTGCATGGGCCTAAGGAAGTGAAATCAGCATATCCAATGCGGAATTTGGCGAACGGTCACGGCGCGTCCTTAAAGCGAGGAGAGATCCACCCAAGTGCATTGGCTTTCTGCACAAGAATGGCTGATTCATGTGATATGCCCTTTTCAACTCTGAACCCTTTTGAATTTGGAGAAAGCAGCACCTCAAAGAGAGGTCAATCTAAATCCCAAGCTAGGGACTGGAAATCCTTGGTGAGTAAGTTGCATAGATTCACCCGGAATACGAGTTTGTGCGACGATGTACCCATTGGTTCAAGCTTTCGCAGGCACCGACCTTTGAAAACGATACCTTCATTCTGGTCGCACGGATTATGTTAGGACGCTTTAGCTTTTGTCCTGTTGGTGGCTTAGAGGGCCAGCGCAGCCAAATCTGCCTCATTACTCCAGCACCATCTAGTGCCCATGTGTCGCCTGCAAAAGGGGGGCAGCCGCTCAAGGATCCCTCCCCATCCCCTCCTCTGAGGGCCTTTGTTTTACCGGGTGGGAGTTTCTCATGGACTGGAGACTCCGTGTATTGCAGTGAGACAATGCGATCGGCACGTGAGTCTAGTTAAACGCGTGCCAAAAGCAGGTCACGAGGATCGGCTGCCCAACACCCCCGCTGCTCAGATACTGGGGACAGCTCAACACCGGTCGATACAACCCACTGCGGAAACGGACGGGGCAGAAAGGCAACTAGCGGTTGCTGGTAAGACCTCGCACTCGTTCTTGATTCCTTCCAAGTTGTGTCAGACGATCCCTTCTTACGAGCCCCGGGCGCTTTCTGCTGTGTTGGGTGGTCTCGCTTTTTGTTAAGGACAGAGACATGATTGCAGCGCTTTAGAAAAACATTGATCAGAACGACGACTTGTACCTTTGCTTGAAGAATACATGCGGTATTTTGCAGAAGGGATTTCAGCAGAGCCCTCGACCAAGAAAAAGAAGAAAAAAAGGAGGGCGACGGAAGAGGTGCCGTCTTGACTGCGACCGATGAAGCCCATCACAGTTGACTGGAATACGAAAGATTGTAGTCCTGACAATGTTTCTGCTGCTTTTTGCTAAAATGATCCAAACGAGTTCCTGCACCAATTTATGCGGGTGTGCAATTTGAACTTTGACTGCCACGTCCAACTTGACTACTCGCCAATGGTCATCATGCATGCAGGTTTGACAATGTGTCATGAGCAGGCACTCAATTTTATGAGCCAATGCATCGCATGCTGCATGACTCCTGAGCTGGCCTGGCTATATAGGTTTGAGTCTAATGCACTTCGATACACGTTTGGTTGATGAGCTGCATGTTGGATTCAATCAGAGTTGTGCAGTGTGAATTAGTTTGCAGCTCAAGCTGACTGTAGCTGGCAACGTCGGATCCGCTGACATGCATGCAGTACGCAGTCAGGTACAACGAGTGTCGCATATGGACATTGCCCCTGCAGTGCAACGGAATAGAAGCATGCCAGCATGATAAGTAGTAGCCCGGCGGGCCTAGGTCTCGACGTGCAGACTGGTACAGCTAACGTCCATGCAAAATTTGTTTGAGCCGCCGATTCAACCGTCTTGGCAGACGTTGAAAATTGCTATCAACCTGTTGACCATGTGTGCACACACGCAACCGTTGGGCGAAAACGCCCTTAGTGCTGGGCTTGTGTTCAAGGCACCATGAACACTACTTATTAGGCGTTTATCATACACATGGGACTGCTTAAAAAGGTCAAGTCGAACCTTCTTCCGCTCTCTGCTATCCCTTCCGTCCTGCTATCTAAGCCTTCATCGTGAAGTACTGAGGGTCAAAATGATGCATCCGTACATAACCATCTTCACCGCCACTTGCAAACCTGCAGACAGAATTATTCAAGATTTAAGTTGAGCCTGGCGACATCCACAGAAACATTCGGAAAGCTTTAACCGCGTTTGTCGGATGCAGTACTTGCTGGCTTTTCACAGTATCGAGACAGGGTTGGCGTACATCAAACGAGCAGAATCTAACTTAGGTGGACAATAAGGAGACATCGATACTTACCCTCGGCCGTCCGGGCAGAATGCTAGGGCGTTGATGGGCCCGAAATGACCCTTCACACCACCTAACTCCTCCTCGAAGATCTGAGAACGTGGGCGAAAATGTGTCAGTATGATGCACCGCGGAAAAGACGGCAGAAGAGGTAGCACAAACTCTGGAAGCGAGGCAATCACTTCTTCCTGAGGGAAATTTCTCAACTGAGTCACCACAAGACAGGTTCAATTGAGCATAAGCGAAAAGCGCTTCACCTCAGCATTCGAAACGGATGACATCCCCAGGGCACGACTTACTTTGTGGAAGAACTTTGCCTCGAACTTTCCCGCTCTTGAGGAGGTCGTTGTCACGTTCTGAGCCTCTTGTCCTCCTCCAAGCACCACCTGACGCGCAAACGAAAGGTCGTCACCATACAGGACCGAAAGTAGTCACGCCCACCAATAATCGAAGCACACAGCTTTGATCCAATAGACCGACGAGGTTGTCAAAGGGATCCCTGGCATGCGGACATTGGTAAGACGGCCGTTATGTAACTACTTTGCACTCCCTGACTGCCCAATCCAGTGCCAGGGTGAAACCCACCAAGACTTAAAAACGAGGTAACCGGAAAAAAAAGGGACCAAGGTTTGAGCTGGGCAGCGTCTTGCCTCTGCTTCTGCTCCTATGCAAAACTTAAGACACGCACTTCAAGATTTAAGCGACAATTCAAACAACTGATACAACCGCGGTCCTCCGCTTGTCAGACTCGCCGTTGAAGGCCCACAAGAATACGCATCGCTCATCCGAGACCCACAACTTCGGAAGATCACCGTAGCGTGTTTCAGGCTCAATAAGGCTCGCTTGCTATGAGGATGCAGATGTCTGATGATGCATGTGCAGGGACCGAGTCACCGATGGTTCACTCACATGGTCTAACAGTGGGGAGATCGCAGCTGCGTTTACTCGGGCTTCTGCTTGGTAAGTCTTGAGAACCTCTAGCGACCGGGTGTCAAAGAGCTGCAATCAGAGGGACACAAAGTCGGTCACTTCAAGGTCGCCATAAGCACCTCCGGTTTCCGTCTCGCGTCACAAGCACCTACACAACTCAGAACCCAGGCATGTGCCAAAAGGCTCCTGAAAAGTACGAAACTGCCGTATCCAAGATACCAAAAGACGACTCCATGCAATCGCTAGCCAAACAAGATCAAAAAAGGCCAGGCACCTCCCCCGCGCTGCACTCGAACTCCGCCCTACGACCTGGACAAGGACGTCGAAAGGTGGCACCACGAAGAAGCCATGCTGCAGAAGCTGACATAATGAAAGGAAGATGGTACTACGATTCCTGCCAAGCTTTGCCAAACTTACTGTTCTAAGGACAACGTCATGCTACTGCTGTCTACACAACAACTTGAGCTGCCAATCGAGCAACTCACGATCCACCCTTAAACAAAGTCTCACCTTGGCACTCTTGTCTGCGGAAGCAGTGATGAAGTGCGAGCCGTCTGGTGAGAGCGCCAGGCTAGAGATGGCCTTCTCGTGGGCTTCTCTTTGCTCGAGCAGCTCTCCGGTCTGCACATGGAAAGCCGGGGAGTGTAAGCGGGGAAGCATCATTGAGCAGTAGCACCCCTCGGTTGAAACAGAAGCGTTCCACTCCTGTCCAATAATGAAAACAGAAGACGAGGCATGCCCTCTGCCCACGCACTGTTCACCATGACACAGAATGTTATACAAGCAACCGCGGGGCCTCGGCCCCAAACCTGAGCCTCTTCAAGAAATGGAGCAGGAAAGCACAACCACTCGAAACTTTGACTCCAATTGGCGCGTTTTAGCGAAGCTGTGCCCCTGGCAACCATAGCGGTGTTGCGCCGCATAATTGCTGACCGTTTGAGATACCTGCCTGCCGCCTTGGGCTCAATACCGTGCATCCGCTGTCGGGCTGCCTCCAGTGTGCAGGGGTCTACTTACTGTCCACAATTTCTGGATCGAGCACGAGCTTTCTCACAGGCAAGCACTATGGGCCTCGCTTTTGTATCAATTGCTCACCTCCGCATCCCACATCCTGACCACGCCGTCTTCTCCAGCACTTATGATCGTCTTGTTCAATGGCCCCCAGACAGCCCTGTTGATTCTTCCCTGAGGTCCTTTGATGGTCAGCAACGTGTCATCCTCCTCTGCAGGAAGGCGGGGTGTCAGAAGGCAAAAGATGCAAACTTACCAAGCGGAATCTCCCCGCTGAGACTCAAAACGCTGCATACCCAATTGCTTCATACTCTGAGAACACAAATAAGAGCAATCCTCTCCCAGCGCCTTGAAAACTATCAGGCTAGCTCCTGCAGCAAACGGCCAATCAGTCGACGAGGGTGGCTCACGATCTTCCACATTCTTGGCTCTTCTCTTCACATGAATCTGTGAGGGTGCCCCCATGAACGGATCTGTCGTGATGAGCAACAAGTTCTCCCCCACAGAGAACTCTGTTGACTTCACAGGGACCTTCATATCAAACGTGTACAGGCAGCGGCCCGACGCCACGTCCCATAGCTTGACGGTGGCATCAGCCGACCCCGTGACCAAAGTACTCGAGTCTCCTGCGAAAACGGGCAATTGTTGTTCGGTGTGACAGCCGCCACATGATGGGGTGTATCCAGTCTCGCAATTTTGATGCTGATACTTAAAGAAGATCTCACTCAATCAAATGGTGCAAAAGCTGAGATGCCAACATTTCTTTCTTGTGTGATTGGCCTGCCGCAGGCATAAACAGCGGGGCAGATGTTGCTCAATCATGCCCACAAAAGTTGAGTGACACAACCATTACCATTGAGAGCATCTCAAAAACATGCAAATAGTGGACGACCATCTTCAAAAGACAGATAATTATACTGCGATAGATTTTGGTATGGTCGAGCAATATGCTTGTGACCTCATCCTCTGCAAAGGAGGAGGGACCACACAGCAAATGCTATGAGCGCCAAAAACCCTTTACAGAGGAGTTGCTGTAAGACAGTGGGCAGGAGCACGCTTCTCACTTGTGACATCGCAGCACCAAACTGCTCCATTATGCCCGTTGTACGTGCCTATTCGCTCCCCGTTGTCTGCATACCACACTGTTGGGTGGTGATCTTTTGCACACGAAAACAGCAGATCGCCGTCTCTGTTGAACCGCAAGAAGGTCAAGGGCCTCTCGTGGCCCTTCATCAGAAGAGGCCTCATGCTTGAAGCTCTGAGGGGTATCAGCAACCAAGGATCGGCTGTATAAGCAGAGAGAGAGCGCCTCTGTCGCCTGAATGAAGCAGAGAAGGGTGGGTGAATTGAGTTTGGCCGAGACCACAAGCTATTTCTCAGCCATTGCCGTTGGCTTAGTACATGCCGTATAAGCTGATGCCGAAATGTCGAGTTCTTTGATTCTACCGGGCAACCTGTCCGAACCAGCGCTTACAGAAGTTCCAGTATACCGGTGCCAAATACCTCCTATAAGACCGGGTTAAAGCTGCGCGTATATCATATTATGAGAGTCTTTCCTTCTGGCTCTTGATGCTGTGCAAAACAGAAGATCATGCAGACTCATGGGCCATTAGGCTCATTGGGCACATGTGACACTGACAGGGGCGTGCAGCTATGAACGCCTCTTGTCCGCTTGTGCTCAATGCTGGAGGCTGACATCAGACGGACAGTGCCATGCTTGCGGGCAACACAGAGTAGGGGTGGTGTATGAGCTGCTCCAGAGAGCGCTGTGGCACAATGCCCGCACTGGCATACAGGTGAATGTTGAAGCGGGGTTGAAGCACATAAGCAGCTCTGGCAGCCGCCGGAACAGCCCCTGATTCTGCTCCTACTTGATGGTGAGTGGCCGTTGAAGGGTCATGGAGCTATGTGTGGTCGCCAACCCTCAACAACAAGTTGTTCATTGTGTATTCAGCATCTCATCATATTGGCCCAAGTTGGTGGTTGCTCTCTCATTGCAAAACCCATGGTCAGCGCCGCGATGTTGCTGCTGGCAATTATTCGTGCTTACAACATCCTTCACGTCACTGTCTGCAGAAGCTGCTGGCCATTGTGTAGCGGGCACCATGAAAAAGTCCGAGCTCTGTCAAAGCCGCCGCCGCTGCCGTGGCCTCACGCGCCCCCTTCCATAACATAGCTCCTAATACTTGGAAGTCCTGGGGGCACACCCCTGCCCTCAAAGGCTCACTCTGACAAAACTCCGCTCTTTATATACATCGATGGGCCTCCAGAAAGGTGAGCCGCTGTGCCTTACGGGCCGAAAGTGTTTGTCAGGTATGTTGTGAGTGGCTTTACCTGCTTCTATTTCCTTCGTTTGATACGTTGAGGAAAGGAACATGAACGGTAGGCACGAGCTCTCCCCTAGTTGTGGCGAAAGCTACGTGAGTTGCAATTGTACTTCTGCTTATTGTGCACCCTGCCATCGTATTGTGTTTGATGACGAGAGCTTCTCGTTGGAGGGTAAGCGTGCTCGTCACCTCTATAGTCCTTCAGGACTTCCAAAGAGTCAGTTAGGGCTATTCAAAGCAGCACTTGCGGACCATGGGCCTTCGTTGCTTTGTGCTCCAAATTTCGGTTGGGGACTTCATGTTGTCCCCGCTGGCCAAGCTCGTCCAACTCCTTCCTTACGAGTCCAGTTGCTAGTTGGCAGCGTTTTGAGACAAAGACAGGAGACGAGCAAGAGACTATTGTAGGAGGATTGTTACAAGCTTCCCACATCTCCGTCAGCAGGCCGCTCGCTGAAAGCATACATTGACAAACTTTGCCCTCATCTTTGCCGTTGCTGTAGGTTTACATCTCACCAACCACGTGAACACCTTGAATTTGGTCGCTCAGTGTGCTCAAGGAGAAGCTGGCAGCCTGCAGGCCCGTGCACGTGGAGAGCGAGTCACCCCGCAATGGGGCGTGCATGCACTCACAGGCTTGCCACCTAGTGAAATGGAGCAATCAAACCAATTGGTGGCACAACACGTTTGGAAGGCCGGGCAGCAACAGTGACGATGACCAGACCTGGCTAGTCTTGAAAGGAGCTATTGCACATTCGGTCAAACCTGGCTACCTGACCCAATTCCGATTGGGACCGGTCGCAGAACTTGCCCGGCGCAGAAGTTGAGACCCTTCGATCTGATCCAAGAGCACTTCATCGAACGGCCCAACTTGTGCAATGCCTGGCCGGTGAGTCCGGTCAGAGCCGATTGTAAAACTTGTTTACGGGCACTAGGCGCACTGGGGCTGTTTGATTGAGTCTTACTGCTTCATTCAAGGGTCCACGTTCTGCACATCGGGCTAGTTCTGCGATTGGTCCCAATCGGGATCGGGTCAGGCGGCCAGGTTTGACGAAATGTGCAATATCTTCTGGAGGTGACGACCCAAGGACTTCGTCGATTAAAGACGAAGGATCAGTCAAATTGTGCATCATTGATCGAAGCCGAGCTGCAATGTTGGGGACACGAGTAGTAGGTTTAGCCACCTTTTGTGAGGCGACCAGTCTGTGCTTCCATGGCCCGCATTTACCGGCTCTTCAAGTTCTAGACCTAACGCTTTGCAGTTTGCTTAACTTGCTTGGTTCTTACTCGGTTCCTCGGTTTGTCGAGCAAAGCTCCCGAGACCGTTATTCAGTTGCAAAGCGTACTTCGTTTGATTTGAAAAGGGGTGCAATATCTGAAACAGACGGAATGGTTTATTCCTTATCTTGGAAAAGGATAAAATGTGTCGAGAAACATTCATATGGCATCATGTATTCGCTTTCGCAACAGTCACGATCGAGTAGTATATGCCTAACCGTCGGGTGTTCGGGTGTGGCGGCCATGTTATCCGGGGCCCTTGGGCCCGAGCCTGATTGACGATTTGACGGAGATTGCGAATGAAAAGCTGTCTGATTGCACATTCAAGCGTGATCTCATGGAACATGACTACTCGACTATGCGCACTCTATTCTCGTAATGCTGGCATGAACCAAGCATGTAAATGACCATCTGTGTAGAGCCCATATGCCAACGTCGAGAATACTGAGCACTCTAGTGTTGGGGACACGACTCCTATCTATGTATTGCCTTGGCTTTCTTGTCATAATCGTCGCTTTGCTCGGATGCACTGCGCATTGGCCTTTACTCAGTAAGATCACTGGTCTCTTTTCAAACTCGCCGTAGCCAACCAAAAGATGAATTTGAAGATACTCCAAGGATGGTCTCTTTTTGCACCGCCGTAGCCAAATAGGCCATAGCATAGGCTGCTCATGGCATACATGTAAGAAACGTGTGTCTCTTAGACCTAGATCTCTGCTCGACTCTACCAATTAACATACCATTGCAAGGAGGCTATTAACATCCCAAACCGATAGGTACGTAACCCGTACGTAACCGGGACGTAACCTTACGCCGAACTGAGTAAGGCCGCTAGCTGGCCAATTTCGGCGTTGGCTACAGCCTCAGGGGCGCGCGCACACGTACCTACTAACGACAAGTTCGCGGGAACGTCAACGTGTGTGCAAAAGGTCAGAACCGTCCTGCTTCCGGTCGGCAATCCTCTAAAGTTCTGTTCTATCCACTAGAGTTCCAGCAATCTCGATCGTTCATCCTACCATCTGACGGCTTGCATCTCATAAAGCGCCCGCAGTTGAGAGTAAATGCACGAGGAGCGTGGGGGTACGAAGCTTCGGCGCGGCAGATCTAACGGCTAGCCCTGTGTGGGTGGCAACCCTAGTCCTTGATTCACGAAGTCAGACTGGATCGCCAGCCACCCAGTCAGACCACAGAAAATCGCGTGCTGGAAATTGCTCCCAGCCACGTCGGATTGTGAGTCATGAGTCAACACGCACTCGGTCTTCGCCGCATAGCGCCTCGCGCCCCTGAACAATGGCGGATACCGACTGCTGCCTGTGAATTGTGGTCATTGGATGCCGAAGCCTCCTCTTCTGCCTGCTTCAGAAGCCAGCCGTGCCACGTTGGAAGCACGGCATTGTAGCTCTCCGTGGAGTCCATGATAAGAAGTTGCAGGGGATGTGTTCAGCATTCCTCTTTGGAGGGCCCAGGCCTCAAACTGCGATGTTCTGAGGATTGATTTTGGGGGAGTCATTTCCTTGGGAATCGGGGTGCAGAATTGATTACAGGGCGTTCAGAACGGTGAATAATGTTAGAGGTTGCAGGACATGCAATGGACGACCGGGTGCTCCTGGCCAGTGTCAAGAGCGGGGTGTGGGACTCAGTGTTGTACTCGTCTGTTCTCCCACTGTGGACGTCCGTTGCAGCGGGGCTTGTGATGGGGTGGGGGTGGAGGCACAGGTGGCTCCCCCTCCTGACGCTCGTTCTGCAGCGACCAACCTTGACCGCCGGCGCTACAACCCCGGCGCAAAAGAGGTTTTGGCTGGGCCTGACAGTGGCTGCGGGTGTCCCGCTGCTGCAGTATGCCTGGGGGGCGTTCTCGCAGAGGGTTTGGAAAGGGAAGCAGCACAGGTCAGCCTGCTGCGACGTCTGTTGGGTCCCAGCAGTACTTGTCGCTGACTGAACCACATGGGGTTTGCCTTGGCATCAGTCTTGCATGCCTTAAACGTCCTCCTAAAGCAATACCTATGACTGAGGACGTATCAGCCGATGAAGCGTAGTCATGCCAAAGACAACGCCTGTATATCGTTACCAAGTTTTCATAAAGAGATGGCACCGTTGGGTTCAAAATTCACCTGAGCGTCTGGCTTTGCTGTGGTCAACTGTGTGTAAACTTGGTCGGAACTTTGTGTTCACCATTGTGTCAAGTCAGGCTATAAGAAGAGCACCTGTGGACCCTGCTTCCTGTGTTCGAAGTCGGGCCCTCAAGCTTTTCAGTAACACTTTATTCAAGTTTTCCTTCTTGTTGCTGTCCTATTTACGATGATTGGGTCAAGATGCTGTAAATACGCTTTCTGATGTATGCTTCTGATCGTCAAGCAAGCTGGCACAGTTCCAGAAGTTTGCAGCTCAACTCCACCTTACGGTCTGCCGGTGAAATCAGGCCTCTGACGTCACTGTCTGCTCTGCTCTCCCAGCATTGAAGGGGCCGACTGCCGCGGGCGCCCGGAGGCCCCGCTGACGTCAGCATCTCTGGCGTCCCTAGTCACGGAGGCAGACCTGGCTGACTTTATGCGGCAGCTGAATGGGGAAGACTTGGAGGAGATGCCGTGGGAACAGATCCTCGACAAGACGTCAGAGCACCTGAGCTATGTATCCTATCGGAGAGACCCCAGAGTGAGTCACTGGCCCCTCTGTCCGTTCTTCCTTGTTTCCACGCTTCACAAAGATGGACATATGAGGCTTCTTGTAGCAAGGCGGATGGTGGGGCTGGGGCGGAGCTCACAAAATGATCCGAGAAAGTGGTTTTCGTTGCTTGCAAGCATTGGCATTTGCTGCACTGGTGAGAGCACTGAGTATCCCTGAGGCTATCTTGCTTTTATGGAGCTTGGGGCAAAGTCTGAGTAGATGAGGCTGGAGCTGTTAAGAGACACCAAGATGCAGAGCTCTCTCTTGACTGATGTAAAACCTGCTCTTCGAATACCCCTTATAGAGATTCCATAGCAGGCCTTCCTGACGGCATGACAGCCTGACCGTAGTGTAGGACCCTCGCGTATCTTAGCACCATGCCAAGTTCTTATACACTCTCGCTGGATTGAAATACATGGTGACCTTTGAAATAGTTGACTGCAATGGACGGCCCCCGCTGCCGATGCTGAGAACTAATTAGTTGAACTGACACCCCACTATCTCCCCCGTGCAGAATGGCGGTCCAACACAGTATTTGAGCAAGACCACCTTCTTTGGTTGCTCCCCCCCCCTCCTGCGTGACTTCTACATGGACGATGAGTACCGTGGCGCCTGGGACAGCTCCCTGAACAGCGCCCGCCAGCTGGCGCTCTGCAATGAGAGTGGGGTGGAGGTCGGACATTGGGTCAAGAAGCTGCCGCTGTTTGGGGCAAATCGGGACTACGTGCTCGCATGGCGTGTTTGGGAGGATAGCAAGGGGAGCTTCTACTGCGTAACCAAGGTCGGTCCTCGTTGCCTTCGCCTTAGAACACAGTTTGAGCTTAGTCTGCCAGGTCTTGCTCTTAGGTCGCATCCGCTGGTTATTTCTTTGGAGATTTCATTCTGGTGTGTCATCGACCTCAGGTATCAGATTTGCTAGTCGCTGATTCAAGAGCTTTCGAGCTGGCAGATCGTCAAGAGTAGCATCCTATACTTGAAGGAACACCCGAATCATCAGCTCGTTTCGAGTCCGAAGTTACTTGATGACAAAATTACTTTGACAAAATGTAACCTCTTCAAGTTGCGCTGGTCTTTTCAGACCTTGCGAGAAAGCTTATTTGAGCAACTTCAGGTGGTTCAAGAGAGTCGAAGTTGACAGGCCCCCATGGTTAGTCCTGCAACGAGGCAGGCGTTTGCCAATCTGATTTATAGACCTTTGCTAGATCCTCACGAGCTGTTCATAGCTTTTGACACGTGTCTGACTGCTTGCAGGCCTGCCAGCACCCCTTCGCTCCATCTCATCCCAGCACGAAACGGATCGAAGTCTACACCTCGTCTTGGCGAATAAGAGCCGGTGAGTTATTGCCCGTTCCTCATTCTTCTGCAGCTCCTGCTAACGTGCATGGCGAGCTCAATCAGGCCCGTTTTTCTCGATTTTTCACAGCAGTCGTTCGAGGAGCTGCGGGTTGCTGCTACGCTCCTGGATCCTTTTTGAGGCTACATCAGGGAAGGGGCATGGAGTACATCCTCGTACGAGAAGCCGACGCAAGTTCGTTCCCAGAACAGAAAAGTACATACGCACAGTCCTCTCGGCATCCTTGCGCTGAAGGTCCTTGAAGCCCGCTGTTTCTGCTTGCCTGACCGTCGCCGCCGTTTCCGCGCAGTCCCGTCGATGATTCCTGGGGGCCCGCCCTCGAGCGAGGTCACCCTAGTTCACCAGGAGGACAGCGGCATCCAGCGCGACATGGCCAAGATGGCCATCCGCCGGGGCGCCTGGAACTTCGTCAAGAAGATGGGGCCGGCGCTTGAGGGCTACACGCACTGGCACGCCACGCAGCGCGTCTCGAAGGAAAGCGCGGTCTCGCTCGCGCACCGGCTGCCGGAGCACCTAGACCCGGGGGGCCCCGCCGCGAGAGGTCGCGCGGAAAGCTCGGGGGCGGAAGGCGGCGAGCTGCGGAGGTCGGCCTCTATGCGGGGGAGCCGGCGGCGGAAGATTGCGTTGGTCGCGGCGGGGGCGCTGCTCGCGGCGGCGAGCGGAGGGGGCCCGGCTTTGGGAGCGAAAGTGTTGACTATGGTTCTGCCCGTCCTTGGCCGGAAGCTGAAGCAGAGAGGGCGGTCGTAAAACGGGTTAAGGGCCCGTTTGCGTAGAGGTTGTATCTTAGGACGTGTTGCTCGCTTTGCCGTTGGCGCGAGCCAACAATTGACCGCTCAAATATGAAGAGAGCCGTGAGGAAGCCGTTCGATGTGCCATAAAAGGAGAGCCGAAATTAGGAAACAGATGCCATTTAAGATTGATTAGGCTAGCGAAGACCGTAGAAGGGGTAAGTTGTGCTCATACACTTCGAGAAAAGGCGCCGGAAGGGTTTGCAAAGCAATATAATAACGCATCGGCTGCCGGGTCGAGCATCAAGCATCCTTCGAGATTGGGGGCCTTTTTAGCGAGTTAGCCTGCTGTACAATAACGTCTCGAAACACCGATTCTTTGCACCGTTAAGGCAAGGTGCACCCATGAAGCAGAAGCCGTTAGGGTGGACGTTAGAATTGATTGCGAAGATTGATCATATCTTCAAGGAGCTAAATGCTCCAAGTGGGGCTTGCATCGCGACATTGAAGCAGCGTTGTTATAAAGGTCAACCGAGATGTCCCGTTTTTGACAATGCTGAATCACCAACATTTCCATGAACCCGATGTGTCTGGATTTTGACATCCACCAGAAGTCATGGACAAATTGTCAGTCAGTTCCTAAGTTCAAGGCTTGCACGAGGCATGGGCTCCAAATGAAGCACGGCAAATGCTACGGCCAAAAAATCTCATTATGCAAAAACATGTGCATGATTGCATGCTTAAAAGCTCCATCATACTCCAATGCATCGAAACCAATTGACCCAGTCCTCTGATTTCCTTTCGCTTTGTTGGCTTCGATAGAATTCCTTCCCTACAGATAATCAACTCGGTTCTGTCGGGTTTTGTAGCTCAGCCTCAACGTCCCTCCGAGGACACGTGCATGACTTGCTGAACACAAAAGGCGACACGCAGCTGTGTCGTGCCGGAATTGCGGCGCTCAGTTGGATCGTGCCACCAAGGCAATTGCAAAGTCAATGCTAAGGTGGAAAGGCATGGGATCGACCAGCATGTTGTTATAGTACCGGAAGACCTTCAAAGATGGAGTAACCGGCCCTCAGTTTCTTGGTGGTAAGGTTGTAAGGTACTATGCCATTTCAAATTATAATGTGAGACCCACTAGTTCATTTGACATAGCCTCTCGCGTCGTTGCGACGCCGTGCAGTCAATCTTCGAGCAGACCACTGGCATCTTGCCACATGCCGTCCGCTCTACTGTAATTCGTTCAGGGTTGGGGCCCTGATGTAGCTCGACGTTGACGAGCTGGACTCAGTGGTGACAGTGAATATGTTGGGATGCTGAAAGCCTTTGCGGTTTTGCATGGCCGCTTCCAATTGTGGCAACATTGTAGGTAGGTATAGGGGAAATTTGAAGCATATAGAAGGATATCCCTATGAAGCATATAGTAGGTAGCATCCATGGCAACTCCTCGATATGGGCTCGATATGAGTTACGGGTAGCCGCACACGGGTTACTGCAGAAGTACCCTACTGCAAAAGGGTCACCAGTGCCACGTGGACAATTCATCTGCAGCAAGACATGAACAATAGCAATATGGATAATATAAGAAGCGGTACGTTGGCCGGGCCAACTCAAGGTCAAGCAGGTGAGTGCCACACCATCCCAAGTAGATAATTAATACGACTGGAAGCGGCCGGCGAGTGGCCGTAAACAGTTCGCCGCAGTCTACGGAACCTGACAATGCTGATGGCCCGCACCAGAGGTCTTCCAGGCTACTATCATTTCGGGGTTACTTTTCTGCTGCTCGTGCAGATCTATGAGGCATAGTATTGATATGATGGTTCTGGCCTGACTGCGCCGCCTGCAAGCGGACTGAGATTCGCGACGCTATCTTAAAAGCGCACTCATGTTGATCGAGATGCCTCCTCTCTCATCCTCTCCGAGCTCAGTGGCCTCAACACTGACCCGCAGAGCCGCAGTGCATGCTGTGCAATCCCTGCGCAGTCGTGCGGAGTCGAAGCTGGCCATCGAATTGGCCACCAAGGCAACTTACTTGTCTCAAATGACCGCCACCGGGATGAGGTGGTTATCAGGCGAGTGGTCGGAGTACTTGGTTCTCTTGACTTTCTTGCCAATTCGCTAGCTGTGTCTTCGACCGCACTGCTCCATTCTTCCACTCTTGTGTCGACAGTTCCAGCAGCTCACCTGGCACCGCCCATGGGCCAGCCGCGGACGCCTGGCAAGGCTGCTACTGCTAGGGCCCAGGCTGCTGCCAGTGGTCGCCGAGATAACACTCGCACCACGCGTGACGCTCGGCGGCTCGACCCTGTTGCTGACGTAGGGTCTGATGGCATAACTGGAGCCTGACTTGATGTCGCGTTCGACTCGGGGCTGGGTGGTGTTCCGAAGGCACTGCGAGCGGGCATGTGCACAGGCTTGTGGGCATATGTCAAGTGGTCACATGCTCCGGCGCAACAGCAGGCAATTAAGTTACTGGTCCGTACGATTAAATCTCCTCGGCTGTCTACAATGTACCATGACGGCACAGTTTAGGAATAGTAAGCCGTAGGAATAGTAAGCTCAAACCAAACACTAAAAACCTAACCTAAAAAAACTACCCGCTCCGCACGCGTACCCACCCTAACCCCCAAACTAACCCTACCCGTTCCAGGCTGGTGAGCTTACTATTCCTAATCTGTGTCGGCTCCAATGTACGGTACATGCTGTAGGACTACTGACTCCTGATCGAGTAATCTGCTCGCTCTCCAAAATTAGCAATTTAGCAGGGTACACCCAGTCGAACGATTGACCTTTGGCTGCAAAAACAGCTGCTAGATTACGTACTTCAGCTGCAGGTTTGATTCTAAATTTTGGAGAAACGACTTCATTGCAAGAGGGAATTTCAAATGTCGTGAGCAGCAGGTTTGCCGTCGCGTTTGCGCCTCTCTTCAGGACGTCCCCCAACTCACAGGAGACTTCCAGCAGGTCTGCAGCAAGTAAGACTAGACTAGAGTCTGCTAGCTGTCTAGGAGTGCCCTTCAATGCCGGCAGCTTCAACGATTGGTGCAACAAGAGCAATGTCATGCTCTTAAAGCATTCAAAGAGCGACTATCAGCAAGCATCAGACCGACCTGACATCAAGGGGTTGAGAGACTACGGCAAAGAGCTGATCAGATACTGACGTGCTGTCTCCAGAGATCTGGAGGACTGTCGGTCAGACCACGAGGTGACTTTGCCGGATCCGAAGAAACCGGCTGTGCGAGGCATTCATTCAAACCGCAGCATTGCAGCTCAATGATCTGAGACAAGAGAGCACTGCAACTGTCTCGTTTTTCTGTCCCGAATCAGCCGCTCTAGGAAGCTCACTTGCCAGCATCTGCTTGAGGGGATCCCTTTCATCCAAAGCATACTCTTCTCATATCAAAAGGCCGGGGACGGGGAAATTGACGCAACATGAAGCCGCCTCTCCAGCACGTGGTGCGGGTCTGCTTCTTCCTAGGATGCACAGGCCTGCTGCCTTTCCTATGCATCTCAGTACTGAAATGGTCCCTCCAGGACTCAATTCCCAAGGACTCAAACCCCATCACTGCTCCCGGTGAGAGGGGGTTCCCTGGCTCTGAAACAGACCCCGTCGAGACAACCAGCTGCGAGGACTGCTCCCTGCCGGCCCGACGCCTGGCCACCGAGCAGGACGCCGACGCGGCGCTGACGTCATCGCCCGCGCCCGCGTTCTGGCCGCGCAACATGGGGGACAACGCCAAGACCGGGAGCGTGCGGCCCTACCCGCACATGATCACGCGAATGTGCATCCTTGGGGAGCGCAACAGCGGGACCAACTGGGTGGAGAAGACGCTCAACATGAACTTTCCGGGGGGGCAGCCGCTGCGGAGCGGAATGGTCTCCAGCGACTGCTACCGGCACAAGCACTGGTTCCACTTCCCGCAGCTCATGGAGCCCCTCGTGGAGGTGAGGCCCAAGCAGCCAAGATTCTCAGTGTGAGGTCTTTTCGTTTCCTTTTTGAAACCAGCTGTTTTGCACTGAAGCTCTCGAAATTCGACCTGGTCAATGAAGGGGCACTTTTCAGAATCCAAGTGTCTCCAGAGTTTGAAGTGCCACTTTTTCGAATTCCTCTCCAATGAACGTGAATATTGAAGTGGTGGGCTTGAATTGGCCCCAGATCAGGGTGGAAAGTGGACCTGGCATGTTGATTGGTGTGAATCACTTGTGAAGAGGAGGCAGCAATGCATACTTTCAGCTGATGGAGCTGATGCAGGAAGGGCGTTTTCCCCCCCTCGGATTGGGCCTGGTGGAACCATACTCCTTTTTATGATGAAGGATGTGAAACACTCTAAACAAATTCTGACTTCGGTTGGCCAACAAGATCCCTGGCCACTTGCTTTTGCTTGAGGTATCGGCAATTCTGTTCCCCTTATTCGAACGCGTTGCCCTCATGTTTCTGCTGCCGGACTGCTTCCCTTGGAAGTTCCTGATCGAGTTTGGAGGTATGACCACTTTCGCAAGTTTGGAACCTCTTGGAAATGAAGTATGCATCGAGCCTGCGCGCTCCTTCTATGGGGGGACTGCCCCTGTTCAGCCGCAACTTCTGTGTACAGTCTCTCGCAAAGTCCAAAAGTCGAATCCACACGAAATTCGTGATTCGAAGGTTCACCCTTTCAGGTGCCGGATGTCGCTTCCCTGGCAACGTCCAGTCCTGCGCACGGGTCCGTCTTTGACAATCCTCAGTTTCACAAGCTTCAAGCTCGATCCCGACTCTGATTATAAGCTCAGTCCTCTTCATCACGGCTTGAGTCGTTCCCTTCTTTTTTCTCTTGTTGAGCACAATCCGGCCCCGCTTCGGGTCCCACCTTGTACTTACGCAAGCGTGCTTGCGCTGACACTTTGCTTTCTACTAACTCCAGAGGGCCCGTGGGGCATCCCCCATAGGATTCTGACCACTGCAGTGTTCCTTATCCGCTGACTCGGACGAAGCTCGCACCATTGCCGCTAGTAAGCCAGGCGCTTTCAATAGGCTTTAAGCCACCGCGGGAGGGACTCAGCCCCGCCCCCCTCTGTCCTCGCAGGATGGCGATCTCGTCTTTGTGGTCATCCGCAACGCGCTCGATTGGCTGCTCCACTTCTCCGCCTCCCCGCACCACGCGCACAACCACCACGGCCTGCCCATGAACGAGTTTCTGACGCGGCCCTGGACCGGCCGCCCGGACAACGACACGTGTCCAACCGAGCCGCGGCTGTGGATGTTTGCAAACCCGCAGTACGAACCGTACTGGGCAGTGTACGGAGGGCCATACGCCGAGGTGAGTTGTGAGCTTATGGGGCTTCTTACGGACAGACTTGTTGGAACCGATTGCATATACACTGCTGGAAGGTCTTCGACTCTGAGCAGTCGGTCCAGGGATGGAGTGGGCGCCCTAAGGTTTTCGATCGCGCTGAGGTTGTCGATTGGAGTGGAACCAAGTATTAGATCAGCGCCGTTGGAGTTGGCCGACGAGCACACACGCCGGTAGTTAAGGAGTCTTTTGCGCGCGAGCACGTGCAAAAACAGCGCCCTGACGTGTTCTTACCTGCCGGGAAGTAGAAGTCCGTCACACCGTTCCAGAGTTTGTCTTCGTTTCCGAACAGACTCCTGCAGATTTCTCGAACTCACCTTGAAGTTGGGACCTTCTCGCGCAGGGCCCTATCCGGGACGTGTTGCAGCTGCGCGCGATGAAGATCGACAACTTTCTGCGGCTGCCGCAGTGGATCCCGGCGGGGCACGACCGGGTCATCTTTCTCAGGTAAGTGCAAACTAGCTTTTTTTCGAGACATGAAAGGCCGGACTCGCAGGCAAAATCGCGATCGGTTGGCCGTCAAATTGCGCCCTCCGACCACAACCATCGAGCTGTTGAATTAGAGAGTGAAAGGTGCAGCCTGCCGCTAGTCGGCACTTTTACGGAGCGCTCAATTTTGACGACTTCACCCTGTAAAAGCGCCTCTGTGGGCGACTCGGTTCGTTTCCGTGCCGAAGCCCTCTTTTTCGCGTTTCAATCCAGCAGAGGGCCAGTAGCACGTCTTCCGACCTCTTTCAATCGTTGTCAACGTCTCCCCAGGTTGAGACCTCGTTGCTTCGCCTTTCTTGGATCCTCGTGTCATAATTCGAGGAGGTCTCCTTATCGGATTCCTTCGCCGTTCCTGGATCTTCAAAGTTTGCCAAGTACTCCATATCAATCACCTGACGCACTGTTCTGGCATTCCGAGATCCGTTCTTCGAAGTTTGTCAACCACTACATATCAATCACCCAACGCATCTTTCGGAGCTTCTTCGGACCAACTTTTTGTGCTCTGCAGATACGAAGACCTGATACGGGGCGACGCCCAGGGCTTCCGCAACCTGATATCGGAGCTGAAAGCGCACTTCAGAATAGCGGGGCAGTGCGCCAAAGACCGGATGCCCCCCCTCGTGTCCATGGGCTACAAAGGCTCCGACTACGATCCGGTCAGCCTGATGCGGCTCGAGATCGGTCAGGTGAGTTTCAAAAGCACCGAACTTCATCTTTCTCACTTCACTTTGTGGCTCTGCTCGAACCTGTTTGGCCGACCCACTGGATACGGGGGGGCTTTTTGTGAAGCTCTTGAGAGCGGACTCCTCACTTTCGGAGCACGACGATATCTTTGTAACGATATGTTGCCGCTGGAAAGAGGTGGGCATCAGTCCATTGTGGAGGGATTTGCCGATAAAATGCAGCTAGGCAGATTCAAACCGTGGCAAAATCAGTCTGGGCACCGTGTGAGCTTCATATGAGGTTTTTTGTCGAATGAAAGGAGGCTCAAGCCACGAGGAGTATTGCCTTGTCTCTCAGGGTTCATTGCTCCCCAGCCTTGGTCGCCCTGTGGATGCTTTCTCAATGAAAACATCCGGCGCCAGATTGCAAGCTCCTTGATCATCCCGTGGATCTGTTGACTCTTTGATGGAACAATCTGCGCGTGGTATCAAACCGGGGTCTCGGCACCATGCGTTCAACAAACGAGACGCGATTCACACGTGGAAGTTCTCTTTCAGATCGATTTCAAACGAGCTAAGCTGAATAGCGTTTGACAGACTATGCCTGCATGAAAATTGTCCGGTGAAAAGTTCAAACCGAAATCGTGTACTTCAAATTAAACTACTGCCGCTCATTGACGCGCGCCGCTCTTCGCAGGTGCACCACAGACAGCAAGTGAACGGGACCGCTCTTGCGACACCGGAAGCGGTCCGGGCCTTCCGGAGAGGAGCGGACTTGGGGCTGGAGGAACGGATCGGGTACAAATACGATTATCTTCCGTCATATTCCATTTGACCACTGCCCGATAGATGGTGGGTTCTGCCGTGTAGTACTGTGGCAGAAAATCAGAGCGCCGCAACCCAGTCTCTGATTGACTGGAATACAAGAATTGACACTAACCGAACAGACACTGCTCCAATTGGCAAGCTAGACCGCGACTGGATACATTGACAATACAGATTCTAGTCGTACTCATATTAGATCTGGTTTGGACAGAATCTGAATTCATATTAGGTTCGACTTGGACAAAAACCGGTATGGTAGACTTTAGGCGTTGTTGTAGAAGCCGAGTCGCTCGCGGCCTGCCACGCTCACTGCAGGTTTTGTCAAAGTTGGCCGCCTGTCCGTTTTCAATGTGCGCCCAGAAAGTAGCCTGCAGTTCGATCCAGTAAAGTGGATGGCTGGAGTTCCGCAGACGGCCCAGATTGACGACGGACACACTCCGGCCAGGTTTGACAGAGCTTGCGAAGAACATTGCGTTGTAGGTAGTTGTATATTTAGGGATGCCGTTCATTAGTGCAAACGACTCTCAGACTTCCACACTGTGCAGCGACTTGATAAATCAAAACAAGGCGAATGCGTTCACTTCGGCCTTGATTCAATGAGTATGGACAGGCCGGGCCGCTTAAGCATGTGAAGCTACAATTCAACCGTTTCCACGTTGCTAAGTTCAGTGACTGCTTACATGCCACCAGCCTCTTGCGGATGCAGACTCATGCAAGGAAGTAGCCATGCGCGCACCGTTCACAACTTGACCATGTAGCTCTTACAACGTCCTATATGTGTACGACGTCGCTTAAGAACCTTACGGCTGTCAAGAACACAAGTGAATCAGGTTACCCGCCGCAATATACTAAAGAGTGCGCTGCATATGTGCCGCCCGCCCACCCGGCATCCGCGGCTTGGGTTATATATCGATCGTTTGTGCCGATCGCGTGTACGTTTGCAGGCTCATGCGCGTAGATCCGCAATTACCAACGTCTTTATCAGCCGCTACCACACCGGATTGGTGCAACATCATTCCATGAGCTCATTGACAAGCCGGCGCGCTATAGACCACAATGCTCCATGCCCGCGCACAGGGACCGATTGCAGATCGTGATAAAGATGTATGTGGACTACAGCGGTACGTAGCATCTCCCTGTTTGCGATAGAAGCATTGATTCACCAGGTATTTACACGAGAAGTACGAAGGGACGGTTAGGCAGACCTCCTGGGCCTAGCTCAATTATGCGGGTTTCTGTCTGTGAAACTGTAACGCCCCTCCGCAGAGGTTCCCATTCGTGTTCGCACATGTAACCTATCCCACTAACCTAGATCACGAGGCTTGATCAATTCGACCGCCCGCAAGCTGACTCTTGCATGTCAAAAAGCTTTACGTGACCCCCGACGCCTTCAGAAGTCCATCCCGCCCATTCCACCCATTCCGCCCATGCCTGGGGGCATGCCCGCGGCCTCCTCCTTGGGCGCCTCCACGATCGTGCACTCCGTCGTGGTCATCAAGGATGCCACGCTGGCAGCGTCCGTAAGCGACGTGCGGACGACCTTCACGGGGTCGATGATGCCCGCCTTTACCATGTCGACATACTCGCCTGCGGCAGTGGATGCGAGCTCTCAGATCAATGGAAGATATACACGGACTTCTTGCACAACGGAGCGGCGTTGAACAGCGGACCCCCTCAGCATTTCAATGATGCCAATGCTGTACGACAGGCGACCGGCGACAAGTGTGCGGTGTCCGGGAATTTACCCACCCTTGAAAAAGTATGAAAACAAGGAGCCGCGGCTTCCTTCATCAACGGTCAATGATCGACGATCCAAAGTTCTGGAAACAGCGCAACCACCAATCAATGTGAAGAAGCCTGTTTAAGGACCTGAAAACCAATCAACTTGGGGACACTGTTTAAGGATTTGAAAGTCCAATTACAGTCCATTCCAAATGCATATTCAGAGTGGGCGCCTTACCCTTGGCCGCGTCGTAGCCCAGGTTCGGGTTGTCCTGCTCCAGCAGCTTCCCGACCACTACCGCCCCTTCGACGCCCGCGTTCTGGGCTATCGTATACGTGGGCACCTGCAGGGAAGCGACTGTCAGCGATGCGGGCTCACAAGAACGTGTGCACTTCCGCTCGGGTTGTGACATAGGTATACTCAGGAACCGGTTTGCTTGCAAAACTTTGAAGAAACACCCTATGAACTTGACTTCCAAGTTCTTGCGGCGAGTCTGCAAGGTGGGCAAAACTGATTTTGCGGCCCACTGAGTCACAACGGAGTATCTGGAACCACGATGCAGCGAACGCAAGCATAATCGAATCCTTGCGGACAACGCACAAACGGGCTGCCTTTCCTCAAGTAGGGACGACAGTAAGAACCAAAACATGACTAGCTATGCTGCATTCCGTCCTAGATTTCACCGGCCAAGGTAACGCCGCAGCCGAATTGCCTCCTGGCAAAAGATAAGCCTCGGAGCCTGACTGTTCTTGCCTCACCTTAAGCGCGTTTTGAATGATCTGATAGCCGATCTTTTGGTCGAAGTTGGCGGCCTTTTCAGACACCTTAGCCAGCTCCTTGGTCGCGTACAAGAGCGCGGAGCCACCACCTGCGAGGAGCGACAGACGCCACGTCAGCAGACCGTAACGCGAGAACGCGGTTGCACTGGCGGGTCCAAGTCACTGAGGGCCCCAACCCCACGTAGCAACCCCCAGATAAGAATTTCTTTGTGCTTTTACATGACGACAGCCTAAGGGGTCGATCGGCGGGGCTTTCCAGAAGATTGACGACCTTCGGCGTCAGACTGGGAGTAGAGCACCGAACGGTACTTTGAAGCGCTTGAAAGGTTGAAAGGAAAAAGGTGTCGTTGATGCGACTGAATGAGTCGAAAGTCGCAAAGAAGGGCGGACAGAAGACCGGAAGCAGCGGGCGCTTCCTCACCTGGGACAATGCCCTCCTCGACGGCGGCCTTGGTCGCGTTCAGCGCGTCCGTCACGCGGTCCTTCTTCTCCCCGACCTCCACCTCGCTGGCGCCACCCACCTGAAACCGGCACACGCAATGACTTCGCGGGCTGCTTTTCAGGGAGCGAAAGGGCTTCTTGCCCTTACATAATGCAGCTTCAACCAAGGAGAGTGAAAAGTCCAGTGCTCTTTGTGTTTATCGGGGCCACGTGGGCGATGATTGGCACAGAAGTTGTGTTCAAAGAGAAGGCTAGTGGGACCCATGAACCTCGTCACAGTGGCCCCCCTCCGTTGGCACGGCTCTGCAAGTTTGCGGCTAGAGAGCCATCCGGATTCGAGACTTGCGGAGGAAAGTTGTATTTTCTTTTCGAGTGGGGTGGGCGTACCTTGATGACTGCGACCCCGCCGGAAAGCTTGGCCAGCCGCTCCTGCAGCTTCTCCTTGTCGTAGTCGGACGTCGCCTGGTTGATGCCGTCCCGGATCTGCACGCAACCGCGCACGCGTCAATGGACACTCACCAAGCGACTGCACGTGCCACCTACCCACGCTCGCCACGTGTCGGCGCCCAGCTGAACGTGAAGAAGCTTGGCTGCTTTGTGAACGTAACGACAAAGCTTTCCTCTTTTACGAGAAAGGGGAAGCCAGCGACAAGGACGTTTAGGAATCAGCCTCCATAAAAAGGTGCGCAGGCATCGCTGTTCGTGGAAGGTGCCTGGACGGAAACGGCAGGTGCTTCTCCGCCCCTCACCTGCTCAGTCCGCTCCTCGATCGCCTTCTTGTCGCCCCCGCCGTCTAGCACAATCGTGTCGTCCTTCGATATTGTGATCTACAAGCAAGCGAACGTAACGGTTACCTTGCGGTGCATGTAACAAAAAGTGACCGTTTTCGGACTCCAGGTCAAGAAGCCTTTAACCTCGTTCCACGTTCGCACGCCGGATCCCACGAAGCGCTATCATGTTGCCCTCTGCTTTCTTAAAAGCTTATCATGGACTTTTCGTGAGACGCTGCAATCAAGTCCCTTGCAAGAATTGCGCATTCAACTGGAGGGTGGAGCCAGTGGCTGCAAGTACTTTGCCGAGACCATTTCCACTGCGTCACTATTTCCCACCAGCGAAACCAGGCCGGTCTACACCCCAGGAACAACTTAGAAACCCCTCTTCAGCAAATGTATCTTACAACCACATCAAGCTGAGCAGAGCGCCCAAACAGCACTCATTCCAACCGGCAATGAACGCATCCGACGATAGTTGTCCCTGGACGACGTCTACCTGACACCTCGTCTAGGGGTTCAGGAACCTACGGATCTTTGAACTTCTAAAGTCTTGAGAGTGCCGTTCACCTTTTTAGCGGAGCCCAGCATGTCGGGTCCCACGTTCTCTAGCCGGTGCCCCAGCTCCTCGCTCACCACCTGCAGCCACGTGGCCGAAGGGTGAGAATCTTCTGCCTTCGTTTCTGGTCACTTTGTTGAATGTGCACACCCAAAAGCTTCGTTGTCAATCTACCAGTCATCCCTGCCGCCAACGCGTTGCCTACAGCGTATTGGCCTATGCTGCAGCAACCTCAGGGACTATTCCCCTAAGCCGCACAAGACTTGTCCTGCTTACTAGACAGATGTGCTTTGCAGCCTCGTTCGTTCAGAAGCTTCAGGGACCATGTGAGGAGGCCGACAACGACTTCATCTGCGACTTGGCCGCCTCATGCCGAGCCACTCTAATCTTTTGTCAACTAAACATGTATGCAATACTTCAATTTGACTTTCGCCTATTACAGCTTCTGTGCAACTCGCTTCTGTGCAATTCGCTAAGAGCACGTGTGTCCCCCCGTGAGGACCGTCATACAGCAGTGACAAAAAATGGTGTCAACTCATGCGACGCTCTATTCCTACGCTGAAAGGTAGGATGTCCAGCGATTGGCCTGGCTTTCGTCTTTGCAAACAATATGAAAGGCTGAGGACACTCACCTGTCCCCCCGTGAGGACCGCCAGATCCTGCAGGTTCGCTTTCCGGTTCTCGCCAAACCCGGGTGCCTTAATGGCAGCCACCTGGCCAACCACAGAAAGCATGACGTCAGGATGACAAGATGGGCATGGAGGTCAATCGACCAAGAATCGCAAAGGGACATAGAGCAATGTATCAACGTGGCTGTTGCTCCCATAAAGGGGAGCGTCAATGAACACCACTCAACGTCCGAAAAGCATCGCAGCGTTTCGTCCTTCCACTCGATGAGTGAACACGCGGAAGTCACAAAACTTTGCCTCGCTGCCACAAAATGCGGACGTATAGCCCGGAGAAATGGTCATGAGCTCGACAGGGCTGTTCAGAGACAAGAGGTTTGAGAACGGCGGCAAGGGACGTAGGATTAGCGCGTCCCTCACCTTGACCCCCGCCCGCATCTTGTTGACAATCAGCGTCGCCAGCGCCTCGTTGTCCACGTCCTCCGCCACCACCAGCAGCGGCCGTTGTGACTGCACCCACGTCAGCATGAGGTCAGCACAGACAACGTGATTTGAATGCGGGGCTGTCATAGGCTTTCAGAAGCAGTAAGTGACGGAAAGCCGTTGCCGTGAGCTCTAGAACCCGAACTCTGTGCGACTCTCCTCCAGAAATGGCAGCCAAGGATGCGAATGCAATTGTTCGTTTATGACAGTCGTGAGAGGGTCCTCGATTGCTTCCCTTCGCAATAAACAAACCGCTCTTCGGCTCTAGAACATTCCTGACTGAGTAGTAAGCTTGGGGCCCTCAAAAACGGTATGAAAGCGCTGATGGGGCGGTGGTGCGCACCTTGAGCGCCAGCTCGAGGACGGGGATGATGGAGGCCATACCCGACACCTTCTTCTCGATGATCAGGATCAGAGGGTTGTCCAGCTCCTGCGCGGAAGCGAGAAGGAGGCGGTAAGGGCGATTGACACAGCTTTGCGGATCATGCCTGGCGGATCACCTCGTTTCGGCATGGCGTTGTTCGGAGCGTTGCTGACCTTGTCAGGCGGGTTGTCCTGTTCCAACGTAGCCTTGCTCTATCCCCGTGTATACCTCGAATCCCGTATCTCAAACCCAAGACGTCACAGTCCTCCTCGCCCCGAGCAAACCGCACTCGAGCGATTCTCACGTACTCAACACGGGACTGGCACAACACAAGGGTTCGACTCTTAGTGAAACAAAAGAGAAGCAAGGCTCGACCTCTTCAACTATCCGATCCTCCCACACTCACGGCGCACTCACGGCGCCTTCTGAAAAGAGCAGGATCGCTGAAGTCGCAGACGTCTCCAAACCACCAGAAGAGAATCTTATGCACGGGACGTACCGCCTTCTGCGTCTTGGTGTTGGTGATGAAGTAGGGCGAGATGTAGCCGCGGTCGAGCTTCATGCCCTCCACCACCTCCAGCTCGTTGGTCAGCGTGCGGCCCTCCTGCACCGTAATCACGCCCTCCTTGCCCACCTTCTCCATCGCGCGCGCTATCAGCTCGCCAATCTCACGATCGCCGTTCGCGGAAATTGTACCCACCTGAAAAGATGCGGCACAATCACCTTGTTGACCAGTCCGGACAGCAGATTGCGAGCACAAACAAAACCTCGTCGTTTTCGAGATCAGAAGAGACGAAATGAGCAGGACATAAGAAGGCAATGAAAAAGCTTTCAAAGCTTCTGGAGGAGAGCGGTGCGTTTCATGAGCTTTGGAAACATGGCACAGCCTCACAAGCCTGCGCAATGACAAACAAAAGCCTTACTGACTACGCTAGACTGCAATCTGAGCGCTCTTGACATCATGGCCTTGTTTCTGTGGCTTCCGATTGATGCCCAGAGCCTCGAACTCTTTCTAACAAGCTCAAATTGTTCAAGAACGAGACAAGAAGGCGCCCGCCGTACCTGTGCAATCTCCTCGGAGGTGCTAATCATCTTGGCGCGGCTCTTGAGGTGCTGCACCACATGGTCCACAGCCGCCTGAATGCCTCGCCGCAGGTCCATCGGGTTCATGCCCGCCGCCACCGACTTGCACCCCTCCGCAAAGATGGCCCGAGTCAGAACCGTAGCAGCAGTGGTGCCTGGCCGGGATTGAAGGTAGAGTTCATTAGGAGATAGGATGTAGTGGAGGGAGGTGAGAACAGGGTCCGCTGTGAACGGCAAGTCGGATGGCTTCAGCCCGTTCTTGAAAGTCCTTGGAAAGGTGGGCCAGGGTGCAGATTGACAGCCTTCAGGCACCAAAATTTGAGGGACCACCTTTAGGCACCAAGAGATTGAAAGACCAGAACAAAGGCGACTTCCCAGAAGCACTATCGATTGAGGAACCTACTGAAAAATGTGTGCCCAAGATGAACAGTGACCATTCATGTATTAAAAGGGGGCCAAAGGAAGGCCAATCGCAGCATCAGTTGGACACCGATGCCCCCTCAGATCAAAAACACCCGCTTTTTGGAAACTCCTTGATCAACTGCTGGCCTTGCAGACCTGTCAGAAGGAAGATCTGCAAACCAGCCGTTCGTTCGAGCCATGCCAAGAATGAGCAAATTCTCACCATCCCCCGCCACATCATTGGTGGCGCTGGCCACCTGCTTAACGAGGCTGGCCCCCAGGTTGGTCAGCCGGTCCTTGAACTCAATGTTCTTGGCCACCGTCACGCCGTCCTTCGTGATCTTCGGCCCCCCAAATGCTTGCTCGATCACAACATTGCGCCCCTGCGCAGGCCGACAGCGACAGTGGCATCGTGTGTGAAAGTTGTTAACTTCAATTTGCTGGCCTTGCATCCGTGCAGATCTGCGATTTTCTTCATAGAATCGATCTACAGCGAACAGCATGTTTGTCAAAGTAATCGCCTTTCAGAACTATGCGCAGCCATGCACCACCGCGCGGCTTCATTTTTCAACATTGCAAAGAGCGAAACGAGAGTGCTTAAGCCATGTGTCATCAGCTTATGGTGGTACCGCAGTTACTCACCTTTGGTCCCATCGTCACCTTGACTGCGTCTGCCAGCTGCTCGCAACCGTGCAGCATCGCAGCGCGCGCATCCACCCCAAACTTGACATCCTTGGCAGCAAAGTTGCGCACAAACTCGAGCTGCGTGGAGTTCTGCAAACTCAAGCCAAGCGGTCAGCGGGCACAAGAGGCACGGAAACTACGCGCTCATTACAGAAGACTACACAGGGCGACAACTTTCTAAGGCATTAAGCAATGAAAAGGAAAAGCTGAGCAGAATTTACTCGGACCTCAGCTGATGCGGAAGATCAGCTCACCTTGCTTGCACTGCATACAAGGAGAACACAAGAAGAAAAAAGAGTCAGTCAACCTCATCTTGCATCACTAACCTCATCTTGCATCACTCAAACAATACAAGACCAGTTTCTCAAAGGCCGCTACTTCCTCGAGATGACTGTGATTCAAAACGCAAATCTTCTATGCCAAGCGTCGGCATTGTTAGAAGCAAGCCAAGTTCAGACTCTCAAGATCTGGTAATGGTCGACAATTGTAGGGAGTCATCGAGTACTTGATCAACAACATTCTGAAATGAACACGGTTTCAACAGCAATAAAGGTAGCCTGACAAAGTCAACATCATGTCTTAAAGATTGACTTGTCTACCACCAGTGCTGCCCGCAATGAACCTTATACTGTCCAGAAGAAGTGAAGAATAGAGCAATGATGTGCATTGCTAGAAGATTCCTTTTCCTGTATTCAAGCAATCTGTGCTTGCGTCCTCACCTGTGCGCCGCAGCCTGCACGGCCGGGGACAGAGCGCGGTTCAGATTGCGCAGCATCGTGCCGGACCCGTACAATCTAGTGTGTCCTGCAGCCCTTTTACCACCACTGAGCGCTTCTGCTGTAGCTCTTCAGCTCAGGATGGTACGCACTTTTACACCTGCCCACACCACCATTTTCCATCAGGATCAGATCTTTCTAGAAACGTCCTCCTGACAAAGCGGCCGCGTACTCTACGAAGGTGCGGCCGCGCGTCGGTGCAGTGCCGCGCGCGGTGGTTTCCGTCGCGGACGGCGGCCGCGGATCACGAGCTCGCGGCCCGGGGCCACCTCCAGGGGCCACCCAGTCACGCGCGGCCCCCATATCGTGACTTCAACGTCAAAGCAGGTCCCGGCTGAGCCTGTTAACGCACTTAACACGGAAATCCGTAACGCTTGACCCAACATCATCTGGGCTCGATGTAACCAGCTCAGTCTTCTCAGCTGCCGTCTTGCATTCAGCATGGCACACCGGACTCACATGCAGTTCAACCGATGACTGAACCTGTGAAGCCCGTTATGTCTGCAGGATTTCAACGACCTGTGCCACATCTTCTCAGCGACACGGTCACGTTCTTGATGCTGTCGGGCCACGCAACATTAAGCGCAACAGTCGCCGCGAACGATCTGCGCCCCGCGCTCATGCATGTTGACACCTCCAACCGATGCGCTTCGAGATTGAGGTTGCAATCGACCTACAAGTCGAATCTCGTGCTGGCTGTCTGCAGTACTGCGAGTGAACTCTGTTTGGTGGAAGTGGCAAACAGTTCCGTGTGCGAGGCACGAACATGCTTTCCAGGCTAGGCCGCAGGCACATCACGCAGCGAAGTCAGAGAAAGAGAAGCGAGTGTTACTTGCCGCTTTTAGATCTGAATGACCGTGCCGCTCTGACAGAAGGACACTTTGTTTTGCCGTGGATGGTGATTCCTCCAAGAAAAAAGATCCGGGCAAGGGAATGCACCCTTCCAGCCATTGGACACGGTCACAAAGGTTGTGGCGCCGAGAAGACGCGGATTTCATTACCCACTGATTTGAAAGATGCGGCGCTGATTCAAGAGCTCTGGACAGCTGTCCACCATCCAAGTTCAAAGCAAGCAGCCCTCTGTGTGCGGATTGACGTCAGCATGCAGCCAGAGCCGTTCGGTTCGGCCCCCTCGCCAGAGTTCCCGGAGGCGAACAAGGGATCCCCAGCGCTCGTTCCGTTTTCGACTTTCCAAGCTGTTCAGAGTCCGACGGCTCGGAAGAGGACGCCGCTTGGGGCGGCTCATGGTACGGACACTGGACCCGGGAATTGGAACTAGAGCGGGCCCAACGAACCGGGCACGCAAAACCGGGTGGCTCGTCATTCCGGTGCCCAGTCTGCGTGTCTGGCGCCGGATCATACCGCGGCTTCCCAAGCCTGGCGGCGCTGCTCCAGCATGCGAACGACGTGACACGAGTCGAAGCGCGAAAGAAGGCACATGAGGGCTACGCGCGCGCCATTGCAGAGTCGCAAAAGACACTCATTTCTGCGGACCGGGAAGAGACGGCAAGTAGAGAGTTCAGAGTGGAGATCGCTGACCCAGGAAGCATTGTCAAGCCGCCCATCGTGGTCGCCCAAAGCTTGCGCCCCGGGCACAATCGGGGGAGAGACCATGAGCGGAGCATTGGCTTGGAGAACGTGCTCGGGGAGTCTCTCCAGGCGAAGGGATACCCGGTCAGGCGCGTGAAAGCTGTGTGGGATCCAAGGGGCTACAGGCAAACCGCGCTGGTCTTCTTCGATGAGAACGAGAGCGGGCTGCTGTCGGCGCAGCACCTCGCGGCGCGCCAAGAGCAGCGGGGCGCGGGGCGCGCCGCCTGGGAGCGCGCGTGCGCCGTGCGCGCGTGCGCGCTTGAGGCGAACGAGTGTGCGCGCGTGTTCTGCTAACTCGCGACGGTGGAGGATATGCGCGCGCTCGACCCGGGCGCGAAGGTGGCACGCTGGCGAGAGGAGACGCTCAAAGCGGTGCTGGAGCGTTTGGCGGAGGAGAGGGAAGAGGTGAAGGCAGTCAAGCTGAGCAACGCCAAGGCGGGGTGCGCGCTGCGCGCAACGAAAGAAACGGTCTCTATGCTTGAGGGTGAGAAGAAGGGCCTCGAACTGGAGAAGGAGGCGCTTAGGAAAGAAATGGACGCGATTCGGGCCGCGGCGGAAGAGGCGAAGGCAAAGCACGAGCGGGAGGTGAGGGTGCGGTTTTTGTTCGATGGCGAACAGAAGTGTTGTTTCTATGTGGGCGCTTGCGAACCTTTGAGATTCTGGACACGGTGCAAGGGTAGGACGATAAGGCGCGGAACATGCGTTACGAGCACTTCAAACTCATTTAGCCGGAGCGAATGACAAAAGGATAGCCGTGGAAGGTCGTTAAAGCCGGTATTTCCGAAGCTGATGATAAAAGCAAAATAATTTTTTCTTAGGCTCCACGAGGGGATGCCAGCAAGGAACTTCAAGAGCCCGGAAAGGAGGTGGGAGCTAAGTCAAACAGCAACCATCTTTGCAGGCGGTTCTTTTGCGCAAGGAACTCGCGCGCACGCTCGAAGCTGGAGCGAACCTCGAGCGCGCGATGAAGCGCCTCCACGAAGAGCTGCAGGAGGTAAGAAGCACGGGTGTCACACTTCGTGGTCCGCTTTGAGCATTTCCAACAAACAGCGACAGTTGAGATGGGAAAACCGGGCGTTGGAAAACCGTTGTTCGCACTGCTGGCGTGCGAGTGCGCCCCAGTTGAAAAGATCCGCGCCAGCTAAAATCAGGGCCCGCAAAATTGCCCCGTCGCATGGAATCACTCCTATGCTGAGAGAACAGGTCGACAGCCCCTTGGTACTTTGTACACCAAAGTCAAGGAGTCCCGAGCCTCGGGAACTGAGTCACTGCGTCTGTCCGTCTGTAAGAGCCTACCTGTTCCGCGCAAGCGTTACCCAAGAGCACCTGGATCTCGTCGAAACGAAGCGCCCAAAGATCTGTTCACTTGGTCGCTTTCAAAGCAGTCCTTGAACTGCTGGCTTAGACTCATGCTTGCGCGTGACGCGATCATCGAGCCACCCTTTTGACAGCAAATGGGCTGCCTTGACGCGCATCAACTTTTCTTGCCTTTTCCCGTCAATCTGACCTCGCCTTTTCTCTCCGCAGTCTGACCTCGCCTTTTCTCTCCACATTCTGACCCCGCCCTTTCTCTCCCCAGTCTGACCTCACCCTTATTTTCCGCAGGTTGGCGAGTGCGCCGTGTACAGGAAGAATGGGACGGCGACACCGTGACCCGTCACTTGCTCATTGGAGGCAACTGCGGGCATGCTAAGTTCTGCGCGCAATGCTGCCAAAAAATCGTGGGGGCGAAGCGAAAGAGATGCCCCGTTTGCAAGTGCGACCTGGAGGGAGAAATTAAGTTCCAGCGGATCTTTTTGTAGATCGGATCGAAATGGTGATAGCAACTCAATGGTTCAGACTAAAAGGATCGAAGCCGTCGCTGGAGTCTATGATTGACTGTGCACAATAGGGAGGCAGAAAGCATATGGGAGAAGCCAGAGATATTTAGGCTAGCTGACTTCCGCACCTGGCGGGCGGCCTCGAAGGGACCTGGTTGTGCGGAGGCCAAATGCAGATAGCAGGGACTTGTAGAGAAATCATTGCCGCCCACATTTAGGCAATATGCTAGGGTAGAAGACACATTCAATCAGTCTAAAAGTCGACCCGATCTTAGGTCATGAGGCTTCAGTACGCGCTGAACTTAAGATCTGTCCCCACTCAGAATGGTTAGTGCGAGCTAGCTAGCTCCTAGATAGCTTAGTGTATGCATGATCATTGCGATGCGCAAGAATTCGCAACCTGGTGCATGGCACTCGGTCGACCATGTCTGGCACATGATGGTACATACATGATGGTCTCTTTTCGTACGCCGTAGCCAGTGCGGCCATAGGCTTCTCATGGCATACAATCGTTTGAGTTTGAAGGTGTCTGCAATTGAAACATGAACAACTACCTACGTACCAGATCTTACCCGTACACCACAGATCATAACATGGAAATGTCCAATGAGCATGATTGGTCGAGACCCGCGTTTCGGGTCCACGATAATCCTATATAACTGCCTCAGTATGTAAGACACGGAGGCAGATTGTCAGCGTGACGCGTTGAATCGTGTTTTGCTGGCGGAAACTGTTGGAAATTCCAAAGTGATTCCACATGCAAGCTCTCACATCATTGTCGAGCTGTTATATGATGATATCAGAAGTCAAACAATCAAGCTATACTAAGCTATAGCTAGACTCATCTTTACTCACTTCGCACGAATCTAGCATGCGAAGCGGGCCTGGATTAGGCAGATTCAATGAAGTATGTCACATTCTTTATGCAAGACATTTGGTGCGCGGTTGTGCAGTGCACTCGAAGCACCCATAACGCAGTTGCAAGTTTCCATGCTCCGATCAATCAAAACTCACTGCAAGAGGGCTTGATCAATTGCGGGTTTATTCGGGGCAGTGCGTATTGTCAACCCTCCGTCCGAATCGTGATTTGGCGCGGCGCTACCACTCCCGTCTGTCCGCACCTGTCCAACAGGACACCCCGTTTCTTCAGCATCAGCTTGCGGATACCGAGTCACTGCCGCAGCCGCTGTCGATAGAGGCGTTCCTGTGACGTCCTCCTTAACCGTACCCAAACCTTGCGGATCAAGTCTGACACCGGCTTCTCCGTCTATCCCGACCACGCTATCTACAGCATCCAAAGCTGCGGCTTCTCCGCCTTCTCGAAGCCGCTCGGGCGCACTTGCCGGCTGACCCCTCTTCGCCGGGTCACTCTTTTCTCCAGCAACAAGGATCGCGTTCTCCCCTCGAAGTTCTTGTGCATTCCCTACCTCGGGACCGCTCGATCGCCCGGGTTCCTCATCTCCGGCCGCTGTCTCGATGCCAACCTCAAAGTCGTCCAGCGTGACGTCTTGAAGGCTCGGCAAGGGCTGTTCCGCGGCAAACGCAGAAAACGTTTGCGCAGAACCGACCGTCGGCGCGTGTTGCTCCGACGCACTAACTCGCTGCTCCGCAGTAACAGGCTGCTCCGACGCACTGAGTGGCTGCTCCGCCCCTGACTGCACCGACAGGCGGCTGGGGGGCAGATCGGCAGGCGACGCGGGCCCCAGCGACCGCTCTTCTGCGCTGGAAGTGCCCGGGGAAACGCCGTCCCGGGGCGAAGCTCGCCGCGAAGGGCGGCCCCGCACGCTCTTCTGGGGGCCCCGCTTGAGCCCCAGCGCGGCGCTCGACAGCTTGACGTTGTCCACGGCGTCCAGCTTCGCGCGCCGACGGCCGGAGGCCTCGTCACCGGTGCTGGCGGGCCGGGGGCGCTTGCCGCGGTCGCTCCACCTGAGCAGAGGAAAGGATTCTTGAGGTTCGCAGTTGGTTTCTTGTAGAGTTTCGGGTTTGAGGGTTTTGGGGCGGCTTCGTTTCCGATGCTAAGTGACCGGGGGAGCTCTCGCCGGTTGCTCCACCAGGGCAGAGGAGAGGGGGGGATGGGTCGGGAGAGATCTTCCGAGTGGGTGGCTCGGTGTACTGCACCGTTGGCAAACGGGCAAGCACAGCAACCCAGGGGAAACGGATATTGCGTAGTAAGAGATGGCGGCAGGAACGGCAGGAGGAACGTGAGAATGAGCTGGCAAACGTGTATTCTGCGTCCAAAGAGAGGTCAACTACGTACGAGGCGTCACGTTCTCCATCGATGGGCGCTTCTTGAGACGGCGCTTTCAGACGAAGGTCATGGTGCTGAGAAGAGGAGGTTTCACCAGAAAATGTCGACGCTTTCGGTGTGCAAGCAAGGTCCGCAGCAGCGAGAACAGCCCTCACCTTTCGCGCAGCGTCTTGAAGGCCTCGAGAGTCGCGTACGGTAGGCCTGTCAGCGGATCTTTGTACCTGCAGACGGGAACGCAGTAGGGGGCTTGTCGGTCGATGGAAAGCATAGGGAAAGAGAGTAAGAGAACGATGGTGAGCTTGTCGGTCAATAGAAAGCAAAAGGAAGAAGAGTTGAGGGAATTCAGTCACATCCTGCAGCAATTCACCTTCTGCAGAGGCCCTGTCAGAAAAGGAAACCCTTCGTGCACGCCTACGAGCAATTACAAAGTATTGAGTCGCACGAGAAAAAGCCAGAGCCGAAATGGAAGACCCTGCTAAGCTCGTCTCCGTGATGAGGTGAAGCGCCTCCTTTCAAGACAACGTTCCTCAAACGAAAGCTCTGCAACTGACTAATGGCGCTTACTTGCTCTTGGCACAATCTTCTCGCGCTTACTAGCTCTTTGCACGATCGTCCGAAAAGGAGGCTGCAGTAAGATACGGCACTAGGCGCGTCCTACTAACAACACAGAATGCTTTTACGAGGCGGCTTACTTGGCGGGCAGACCCGTGACGGCGCAGACCGACCTTAGGGGATCTGCAACAAAAAAGAGAGCGCCATCTTTCAGCACAGCTTTACGATTGGAGGCTTCGGACGAATCGGAACCCACAAACATGGCAATGAAAGAGACCCAGACAGTCAGTTTACCTCTTCGTGAGAGTTCTGATGTCAAAAGGAGAGCACTTGCGGGAATGTTGCGATGGAGAAAGTACGACTCTGATTCGCGTGCGTTATCACAGGTGACCGCAGTTGTGTGCGTAAAAGTTAAGCTTTCGACTACGCAGCTCGAGCGCTCTACGGCGGCTGTGGCTTACAGGGGGCCGCTTTCGCATTGATGACGTCAGGAAAGGCGTCCATGCGGGTGAACTCGAGCACGGTGTGACCTGCATAGACCGTGCTGGGCTTGACATCCTAGAATGAAAAGCCACCACATCCTGGTCACAAATAGAAAGTGTAAATACTCTTTCGCAAGCCTGTGGAAGATACAGCGGGCCCATTCAGGGGCAAATTCACAATTTACACGCGAACACCTATTCCGCCCTTCTTGGTAGCCGGCTTTTTATGGAGGTGCACACAAGATTTATGCTGGATAGATAGGAAAATCCTGCGGACAGGGCTGGCGAGACCAGTATTTCTTTGCAAGAAGCGCCGGGGCAAAAAATCTGGTAGCAGCCGTGGTAAATTCAAGGTGGCAAGGCAGGCGAGATCCTGACGACGGAACAGACCAAGGTTGAGTTGATAAAAACAAACTTGTGGTCCTTGCGATACTCATCCAACCAACGGCAGGTAATCGCAGTTGAGGTTGAAAAGCACCCAATCCGGAAGGCAGGTCTGCACGGGGGTGCTTCGCTGCTTGGGGATTGCCTTTTCAACCCAGGACCACCCAAAGGATGTGGATCACGAGTCCCTTGACAAAGAACTTGATCCGTATTCGAACAAAACAAGCAAGCTTTTCTGTCTTCCTAGATCAAGTTCACTCACCGTCTTTCGAGTGGTACCGGATCTGCGGCCCTGCGAACGCCTCCTTGTGGATGATAGCCTTCCGTTTGATCTCCTCCTCGCGCGCCAGCATGATTTCCAGCGACTGCAGGTTCGCAATCTCTGCAGAGAGTAACCATCTCCAAAGTCAGGAGTAACCATCTCCAAAGTCAGAGCGTCTTTCTTCGCAAGTCGACACCGCAGCGAACATGGCAGTGAGGCAGTTCTTTCATTCTGAGCGACTCTGACTAAGTGAAGCCGGTCAGCGGGAGACAAGCAGAAACCAAAGAGTACCAGCGAGCATGGACAAGACCAGAAGCGGGCTGTCTCAACCAGAATGGAGTGGCATAGCCCCCCCCGCATGCCGTGCACAGCCGGTTACACACCCAAGCCCCAGCAGCGCAATATCAGGTGCAGTACACAGCAAAATCCAAGTACAGCTTTCGGATGCCAACCATAGGATCGTGAGCAAATCGAACTATAAGAGCGGAAGTAAGGTAAGAGGCCAGTGGAGACTATGTCCAGCGCGCGGCCAGGCTTGCCTGTCTGCGCAGCCTCCGCCAGCATCTCCTCCTGCGTCAGCCGCCGCTCCTCCACCACCGGCTTCTTTTTCGGCACCTGGCAGAGCCACAGCAGCCCGCTCATCAGACAGTCTGATACCACCGAGCAACAAGTCAGCAGGTCCCCAAATGCGTTGCGGGAGTCAGGAAGCACAGACTCGCACAAAGTTACCCTTGCACAAGCAGCATTCACTATAAGCTATCTCGAAGATAACTTGATATACGTGAGCGGCTCTTTGCGAAGGCCATTACATCTGGAGTTTCCCCAAAAATGAAAAGGAACAGATTGCCATTCTGACCCTCACCGGTTTTCTGCTTTTGGCCCTCTGCCGCTCCTCCTGCTCCCTCTCCACGTTCCTCTCGACCACTACTGCCCGCTTGGACCGCCGCTCGAATCCAGCCTCTGCCAACTCGAAATCCTGCTCTGCCCTGGGGCGCTTTGGCGTGGCGGCCTTTGCCTTCGGAGTGCTCTTGTCTGGTTTGATTCCGTCCAGTCTGTCTTGGAACACGGCTTCAAAGGACTTGGTCTGAGTCTTGGGCGTGATTGCGGCCTTGGCAGCAGTTGCGGCCTTGCGCGCGGGGCGCTTTGGGGCGGCCCCAGGCGGGGCTTTCCGCTTTCTTTGCGGCCTGGAAAGGAAGACCGGGGGAAATTGACAAGTTAGACATGACATGGAAATAGTTAGAAGCGCGTGTTTAGCAAGAATGGCTGGCGACAGTTAGGCGAAAAAGTCAGGTTCAGCTTGAGGGTGGAGGATAAAACCTGATAGGATGGAGAGACTTCGATTCACTACTTCTGCATCGAACAAGTTCTAGAGAGTGAGAGAGCTGTGCAATATGCGGCCTACCTCTCGTCTGCCTCTTCCTCACCATCGTCCTCCATATCTTCCTGCAATCCAAAAGGAAATATCAGACAAGAGTTCTAAAATAATAAACAATCTACAAGCAAAATCACTACTGTGGTATCTCAGACGTAGCTGTCCAGAAAGGGCGTACAAGGCGGTTCAAACTCAGCTTCCCAAGACTAGCAAAGGCAGCGATGCAAGGTCACTTCTTACGTCGCAAGGACATCACATTGACGCATGCTGCTTGGAAAGTGAAGGTCTATGCTTTGCATAAAATCAGCTTGGGTTGAGGGCTCACGTCATCATCAAAGTCGCTGTCGAACACGTCCTGCTCTTCCTCCTCAGAGACGTACTCCTCTTGGTCCTCCTGAAAGACAATAGTAAACGAGATCGATCCATGATTGACTTCTTAAGCACCCCTGACCCAAGCAGGCATGAAGTTTCGAGATCTTGCTTCGGCCTGGTGACTGCTTAATCCTAAACCAATTCTGCGGAGTCAAGGTCACTGAGCTCCAACAATAGGCCCTTCTCTGCAAAGAAATCCTGGTGTAACGGTGGTAGTGGCAGAGAGCGCAGCTGATAGTAAGTGGGCGATCCCAAACTGCCCACAAGGTTGATTTGAACGACTGTGTCTCAAGATGTTCTCAAAAAGTCTCCGCCAAGTTTGTGTGTAGGTCCAATCCAAGGCGCAAAATTGACCCTGTAGCTGGGACAATCAGACCTAGAGCCACTTCCTCCTTGGTAGAGAAGGGCATGGGGACCTGCCAGGGGGTTCAACATGTTGCCAAAGGTCCATCTCAAGATGTCGATCGCTTCTAATGAAGACTGCGCAGTGGAGCCCATACTGGAGGCTACACACCTCGGCCTGGCATCTGCGCCACTGGGTGGTGGTAGTGTGATGGTGACAGATATTTGTTCCTTTTATTGACACCACCATCATCAGCAATAGTGGACACGGATCAGGCCGCTCACCTCGTTGAATGCATCCTGGCCCCAGAACGCCTTGTCTGCATCGTCTTCTTCCTCGATCAGCTTGTTCAGCCTGCAGCAGGTGCATCCGCCACATGAGAACTCAGCAAGCATTTCAGACTTTCCATAAAAGAAAATCACAAAACCGCAGATCACAAGATGTGCGAAGTGAAAGTAGGCACCTGGCTGATATGCTCTACTTCGAAAAACAATTCACTATTGTGCATTTTTTTGGCTGACCTCTTCCCTCGAGTGGCTCGTGCTGGTAGGCGCACCGATGGGCCGTCCCCACTTTCCATGCTTGCAGTGCTACCTAGCAAGTTCCAAATCTCCAAATTGCCGCTGGAGTCTTTAACGAGGGTTAGTCTTTTCAAAATGTAGGTAGTGTTTCCAGCTCAATGCCGCTTGCTTTTGAGCACCACCATCTAAGACCACCGGTGCCACGATTTGTTGAGCCACGAACACGGGCCCCCTATCAGCATGCCCGACGCAGCATTTGTTCCAGACTTTTCTGGAACCAAAGGGCGTGCCTTGCAGAGGAAAGGAGCATGCAAGCCCCCTCCATTTTATTTCCTGAGGCTTTGCATTCAACGAGCAATTCCAAACAGGTTGTCATCGGACTGGAAGATAGGCAGAGTTGAGATTTATGAGGATCCGGCGTTGATCACATATGTCATAAACAGAAGCCTTGCTTGATAACGCTCCTGCTAAAACGCCTTGAGCGTTGCAGTCCTCCGAAGGTTGCTCTACTTGCTGACGTCAGCCGATGGTTAGGGTTGCCGGTGCGGTCTGGGAAAGATTGGCTGGCGCCAGAACAGTCGGCACATGCAGACCTTCACTCCGACTGTTCACATGAGCCGCTCCCTGTCCACCCGGAAACTGCACGCAGCACAGCACTCCTTCTGGAGTTGAAGTTCTTGGACGGATCGAGAGAAGTGGACGGTTTTCTTGGGTGTGTCCGTTTCTGCTTCGCTTCCCCCCTGAAGTTTGTCTGGCAAGCGCCTCACACCCAAGCATGACGGCCACCGCAAACGGGTTCCACGCCCCATGGGAACTCAAGCACGGGCCGGCGTCGCCTCTCCCCAGAGAGATCGAGCTCGACAGGCTGAGGGAGATTGTGCCCCTGGCTTTGGCGCCTGAGCCGGAGCACTCCCCGGCCCCGGCAGCTTCTCAGAACGGTCACCATAAGGAGCCGGTAAACTATGACACCAGGCGGAGGGTGCAAGCGGCGTCTCTCCCTGTGACGGAGCCAGTGGCGGATGCGGAAGGGGCGTCGGATAAGGAGGCGTACATGGCTGGGGTGCTAGCAAAGTTTAGGATGCACCTGGAGGAGCGAACACGGCACCACCTAGGTGAGCGAGTCAGGGAACCGACAACGATAGTTTAGGGTTCCAGGGCGTTCGTCGTACTGCCTCCGGTTTCTTCATGAATGATGTTGCTTTGATTGCTAAAAAGTGCGCAGGTGGAATTTGTTCCTTTCACCGCAAGCTCGTCCAGGTTTTGTAGGACGGGCACAAGGGGCTCGCAACTCTGCCATTTACCACGATGTGTTGTGTGGTTTTGGTGTTGCATGCATTCCAAGCTTGGTAATGAGGAGTTTCTTTTCTCTCTCGGGCCGCTGCAAGTTGGTCCAATGCCTGACTACCTTCACAACCGGGGGTGGTGCATCCTGTGACCTCCCTTTGATCTTGTGCAGGGTACCCGTACAATTTGGAGTTTGATTATGGGGCGCTCTCCCAGTTGCAGGGGTACTCCATCAACAATCTCGGGGACCCGTTTATTGAGAGCAACTATGGCGTGCACTCCCGCCAATTTGAGGTGCGCTTGAGTCCTTCCGCGTGCGCTGTCAATACGCCATCATTCACACTAGTTTTCTGATGTGCCCCTTAGAGATCCATCTGCGCATGGGGTAAAATGATGCTGCGCAAGTTGTTCCCTAATGTATGTGTTCTGAAGCTAACTTCCTCCTAGTTCTCTTGCTTGCCCCTGACATGCGCCCTCTCAATGTGCTTCTCAGGTTGGCGTCTTGGACTGGTTTGCCCGGCTTTGGGAAATAGAAAAGGATGATTACTGGGGCTACATTACCAACTGCGGCACGGAGGGCAACCTGCACGGCATCCTACTTGGGTGAGCGGCCCTTCTGCCTTGTTGAGTAGGAGGTGTTTCGATTTGGCCGCATGAGGGGCTCTTCATGGAGTGTCATGCAGGCAGGCTTTCATATTTCAAAGGCTCGAAGGGCGCCACACTTGATTCCAGGGGGGTACTAGTGAGGATGGGAAAACCTGGCGCTTGGGGAATCTTGTTAGCGATTGAGATTCCCGGTAAGCAGAAGTCACTTTGTGTTTGGCCCTGAGCATAGGCTGCCGGTGATCTATCATCCCTGTCTCTACATAGATGAAGTCTTTGTAGAGAACCAAGACAGAGTCAGGACAAACATACACTGTAAATAAGTCCAGAGAGTGAACCCTCAGCTCTTTTGTATTTTCGAATGCAGGCGGGAGGTGCTTCCTAATGGCATCTTGTACGCGTCCCACGAGTCGCACTACTCGGTCTTCAAGGCGGCGCGCATGTATCGCATGGAGCGGGTGAAGGTGGCCACGCTGATCACGGGCGAGATCGACTGCGCGGACCTCAAGACGAAGCTAGAGGCAAACAAGGACAAGCCCGCCATCATCAACGTCAACATTGGTGCGTGCTCTCCGTCCTTTCTGGACCGACACAGCAACATCTTAAGAATAGGAACGCGGCCCATCAGCCTGCAGAATGTTGCACTCGATCCTCTTTGTTGGTTAATGCCCATTCCAGGCACACTTGTCTTGAGTACATATGACAGGTTGAGCAACCTCACTTCTGTTCGAACCAGCCTTTGTTTGGAGACACGCGTTTCTGGGGTTCAGTCGTGCAGTTCCTGGGGTTTGCTCTCAACGACATGGTTCAGGGAATGTTTGTCAGTTTAATGCATGCGATTGCTTCCCTCTGTCTAGTATAACGCCCCCGCTGAAGCAGTCCCCTTTGTCGTATTCTGTTATTGCAGGAACGACTGTCAAGGGTGCAGTGGACGACTTGGACCACGTCATTGAGACCCTCAAAGAAGTCGGATACACGGAAGACCGGTTTTACATCCACGTTGATGGGGCGCTGTTCGGCCTCATGATGCCCTTTGTCAAAAAGGTAAGCAGAATTTTGCTGGTTCCTCCTTTCAGGGCGGACTATCGGCTCCTTTGTCGGTCCGAACCTTTTGAAAGTTCGGCGCCTGGTTTTGTCGGTAACTGAGTTTAGGAAGACTTTTATAGCGAAGCGTTTTGAATGCAGGTCTGCAGAGGTTTGTCCTGCAAAACCAAGGTGCTCCTGGAGGTGCACTGAAAAACTGTCGACGAGGGCCAGCAATTTCTGGTTCCCCTTTCTGTGTGCATTCTTGTAAGCCGGAGGTTCTGAGTTCGGCCTTTTAGAAGAAGGAAAGGTTGACCTAGTTTTGACCACAGCTTGTCTCGTGTAGATCTGACCTGGGTCCCTGTAACGATTATAATATGCAGCTGTTGCAGCTGTCGTAGGCCGGAGCTTTCCGTCAAGGATACTCAAAAAGCGTAAACCATATAACCATGATAAGAGAGGGACGTCACGTGCATGCGCGCGCTGCCATATGGAACCATGATTATCCTCTTGCAGGCGCCCAAGGTGACGTTCCGCAAGCCGATCGGCAGCGTGAGCGTGTCGGGGCACAAGTTCGTGGGGTGCCCGATGCCGTGCGGGGTGCAGATCACGCGGCTGCGCCACATCGAGACGCTCGGGCGCGACGTCGAGTACCTCGCCTCGCGGGACGCCACCATCATGGGCAGCCGCAACGGGCACGCGCCGCTCTACCTCTGGTACACGCTCAACCGGAAGGGCTACCGGGGCTTCCAAAAGGACGTGAGTCGGGGATGCTCGTCTCAGGCCGGCATTCGAGAAGTTGCAAGGGTTGGCGGACAAGGATTATGTTTGTGTCTGCCTGATCCGCGCGGCGTCGGTGTTGCGAGGGTTGTGGCGGATACGATGTGGACGTCGCTTGTGTTCTTGCTGGGAGGCGCAAGTCCAGTACTGTTGGAGGATGAGAAGGGTCTGCTGTGCATACGAGCTGCACGAGTGCGGAGTGTCTATGCAGGTTGAGCTGAAACATTGTTGCGAGTGGACGGCGCGAGAAGAGTGATTTTGCGGTGGGTCAGTTTTTTCGGTCATGTTGACAGCTCGCCGGCCAGTCTCCGTGTCTGACTAGCAGATGCAAATTGGCAAAGTCTGACGACGTCTCGATGTCTTCCCGTGTGCAGGTCCAAAAGTGCCTCCGGAACGCGCTGCTGCTGCAGAGCAGGTTGAAGGAGAACCGGTTCGGGGCCATGCTCAACGAGCTGAGCAGGTAAGGCTCTCTCCCTCTGCTTTGCATCATTCACGGCAGTAGGCGTCAAAATCGGCTTTTGGATTGGCTTCTGCAGTGGGCCGTGTGCTTCTGCCTGCTGCCTGGAGAGGAGCGAAAGCTTGCAGCGATGGACTGCTTAGTAACCAACGTCCGTCTTATGACGCAAAGAAAGCCTTGAAATATTGGGCACCACGCTCTCCCGCCAGACGCCATCGATATTTTGAGCACAGCTTTAGAGCCCATCAGAACCCAAATGCGAACCAGATTCCATATCAGAACTAGAGTCTGCTGACATTTCCCCGTTCGCGGTTGTTCCCAGCACGGTCGTGTTTGAGCGCCCCCCCGAGGAGGCCTTTGTGCGCAAGTGGCAGCTGGCGTGCCAGGGCCCCATTGCGCACGCGGTGGTCATGCCCAACGTGTCCGTGGACACGCTCGAGGAGTTCGTCGAGGAGCTCGTGGAGAGCCGGGCGCGCGCGTTCCCAGATGGCAATATGTGAGGGATCTTTCAGGATCTTCCAGTCTTCAGGATGCCTCGTTTGTGATCCGTTTATTTGTTTATTCAAGAGAAGAGTGCTAGACGAAATTGAGGACCGTGCTTTTCGATTTCAAGGCGGCCGACGGCAGGTGGCGAAAGGGTTTTTGGTTGAACTTCTGTGTTTCAACTCCGAGCCGTCCGGACAATGAGCTTTTGGTGTTTCTGGAGAATCTTCCCCTCGGTCTTGATTGAGAGACACTCGGTAAAGAGAATGTTGCTGATTTACCATTTTTGCACTGTGCTTCTGCAGTGTCGTCCCGTGCATTGCTGAGCAGATTGGCGAAGGCAACTGCATGTGCATCAAGCACAGCCCGCTGGCAGAGTAGAAACACGACAGCCGCGTCTGACCAGACAGACAGCATTCGCTAAATAGGCCGAAGGCACTTCTAGTACCTAGTCAAAGGAACTTTACAACCTGGGACGGTTCTCAAATACATTCCGTTCGACTGGAGTGATTGCTGCGTATGTATATTCTAGTGAGCTTAGTTTCATAGGTTCCTGTAGTCGATTGATTGTAGAATGTAGTCCATCTGGCCAACAGCCACTTCTGAGTGTAAAGAAGCAGTTGCCCAGGTGTGTACTTAGTATAAGCTAGTTCTGAATTTAGCTAGTAACTACCTGGTTGAAGAGGCTCAATGAGTTTGTGGTCAACAAACGTCCGAGTTGTGCCAATGTGCAGACTATCTGGCAAGATTGACGAGGCAATTGCCTTTCAAGCTTGTCGTTGCGATCTTCGTGTCTCAAAAACACATTTGGAAGCACATGCGTTGCGCCATGGGTTGGACGCCTGAGTTATGGGAACCTTACGAGGTGCATGTACTTACATACTGAAGATCGAGTTGTTATGTCCGCTTTAAATAACGCCCACCCATGAATGAGTCTGTGAGAGCTTCAAGCCAACTGAACTGCATACTAAGCTTCGATTGAAACACTTACTTTTATTCAGCAAAAGAAAGTCGATCCTAACAATGGGTCCCGCAATATATACATCATGCAACCTGCTCGCATATCCGGCTGTGGCCGCCTTATGAGCTAGCTGGCAGATGGAATGATGTTAACTTCTATAGCTTTTATTATGTACTGAATGCACCCTAGTTATATAGCCGCCATGTCATGATGGCTTGGATCCGCACGATCTCCGCGGCAGCTACCCGGGCCGCCCGGGCCCAGGATAGTTTGTCACACATGCTCGACTCTACAGCTGTAAGTTATGGATCGATATAATTTTACTATGCAGTGCAATATCATCCATAGGCGAAGAATGATCGACTTTCACCGTCTGCGCTTATATATAGAAACGATTATCCATCCGACATCATTACCATGTCCGACAATTGAACATGTTCAATGTACGATTGCAATGTACACCGGCTTTAAGGAATTCTTGAATATGCTGCAAGCTGTATCACATGCAAATAAGAGACTTGGGCTCATGTCATATGTCGTCTACATTGGGTGTCATCCAAGGGATTCAGGCACCCGCGGACAACATTTCTAAGGAAGGAGATATGTGGAAAGTCAAGCTAGAACACTGCAAGTTCGAGGGGTAATGTCGAAACTCCATGTTGGGAAGGTGCCAGAGCGACTCATATGCCTTCTTTCAATTCTAGTGGCTTGCGTGATACAACTCAACTATTGGCTAAGTGGGGAATTGACCGTACCATGTACAGAGCTCGCTGATGCAGAAGCCATGTGTTTCCTACCGGATCGAAACGCGATTAAGTGCTTAGTAAAAGCTCCTTAAACGCTGCACTTTGGACCTTAGAAGTTCTAAGAATTTCAGTTTGTTGCGGCGATGACGTTCAGTTGTGAATCTCTTGGCAAGTGCACTTCTGAATAAGTACAGACTTAGTCCTGTTGTCATCAATCAGTCTTACGATGTGAGGACAATTGTCCTCATCCGGAAACTAGGGCGAGCCACCAGCAACACTCCCCGCGAGCATATGGTACAGGTCATGCAACAGGTGGGCACATTGGTGGCCTGCAATCCTCCGTTTCCTCCATTCTGACACAAGCCCCACCTGAGCACTCAAGAATAGATTATGTGATCTTGTGGATCGCGTGCATTGTGTCGTGGAAGACCTCGTTCGCAACGTTCCCGCCCATGGTCCACCCGAAGCCAGATGACATACCATTCGCAATGTTGTTCCCCATGCGGCCCGCAAACTGGCCCCACTGCGATGGGGGCTTTGGCCCCGCTGGAGCAGCGTGCGCAGGCGCAGGTGCAGGTGCCGGGGGGGGTGCCTGTGCCTGCGGCTTGGAAGGCTCGGGGGGTGGTAGCGGGGTCACATTTGGTGTGCCTACGATACCTGGGTTGTTGACATTCGGCTGTTGCTGTGAGTATTGCTGGGGATACTGCTGGGAGTAAGGATAGGGCTGTCCGTAGGGCTGTCCGTACTGCGGCTGCTGACCATACTGTCCGGGGGGAGGTCCATATTGGCCGGAAGGAGGCTGCTGGCCGTACTGTCCCGGGGGATACCCGTACTGGCCTTGCTGGTCATACGCAGGGGCGTATCCGCCATACCCAGGTTGCGGGTAGCCGGGGGCGTAAGCAGCTGGCTGGTATGCATAGCCTTGGAATCTGCAGGAGTCACACCAGCCACATTACCACCGGGGGACGGGCACTTGGCTATGAAAGCCCCCCGAGAATCTTGCACTAACTCGAGTGCATGATGCAGGACTCAAGTGGACTGAAGACTTCTGTAGCCAGAATGGCTAAAGCACGTGATGCAGGACTCAAGTGGACACGTGGCTTTAGTGGCCAGCGGCACAGAAATAAATCAGAGTGCAATGGAATGCCTCTGAGTCGTTGAAGCTGGTCAGGATTAGAAGCTTACACTTGAGGCTGGGTGCTTGGCGAATATGCAGAGACCGGCGGGATGTACCCCACGGGGGGAGCCTGCGGGATGCCCTTCTCGTCCCTGGTTTGCTGGAGGAGCGCGGTGATGCGGGCGTGGCTATCAGGGGTCAAAAATCTGTTGTCGTGCAGGTTCTGCAGCTCCCTCTCCGCCTCCTTCAAGAGGTACGCTTTTAGGGCGGGGTCTGCACCGCCAAGAGGCTCCGGAGGAGCGCCGCTGCGATGATGCGTCCGAAGAAGGTGGTGAGCAAAGGGGTTCTGGTTGTGCTGATGACCAGCCACAATGGCCAAAAAGATAATAAACAAGGAGGATGCTGAGGGATTTGCAGATTGACATCATGAGTATTTCACTGCTTTTAGGACACACTTTGACCATCACTTTGAACACCCGGGGCAGTAACACGAAAGACAAGGGTGCAGAAAGCACGGGGACTTGTTTGGAGGGACAGCGAGTCGAGGCCTGGGTTTATACTAGAGACGTAAAAGTCGTCCATCAAGTGCTGTTTTGCAACGCACATCAAGAAGGACGCTCCGCAATGCCTCTCAATGATCTCAAGCATCGAGTTCTCCATCAGTTCCAATCATCATGCGGATAGGTTACATATCACAGGGACTGTGGCAGATCTGCACAGCAGCACCTTGTCTGCTATGCCTACCTTGGAGGCACTGCGACTGGCGTTCCGTCCCGCTCGTGCTTCAGGATGCTGACAGCAGATGCATGCGTAGGCGCAGACACCACATGATTGTCCAGGAGAGTCTGCAACGCCCGCTCTGCCTCTGAAAAGAGATGAGCCCTGAGGTCCGCCATCTTTCCCGCAACTGACAGTAGTCCGTCCCTTTCTGATTAACCTAACAAGGACACCCCGTAGCTGTTGGTGCTCAGTCGATTGCTCACGTTTATTATACCCCTGTTTTACCTGTCTCCTAAAGAAAAGGAAAGATGCAAGTGCCCCGCCAACTTCCCTGCAGCCTGCCCGTATTGTACCCACCTACCTTCCTTCTGTCACAGGTCACAGCAAGTCCACACTGAAAGAGCAGAAGATACGGTGCAAATTCTCAGCATCCCAAATTCCTAAATCGCCATCAAATCAGATCGGATCGAGATTGACACTACCGGTATTTGTATACCGCCTAATTATAGATTTACCTGAATAAATGCTAAGCAAATGCGAATATTACCGCGCGCACGAACCGTTTCGCGGCCGCCAGTGCGACCGGCACCAGCTTCAGCACAATGCGGGTTACGGAGGTTTGAACATGTGAGCTGGCAGAGGATCCGCCACGTCAGCTTCTTTTCCGGGTCGCGCTGGCCTCACCGACGGCCGGTGAGGCTTAGAATGACTTTAAACCGTCCGATGAGACACGCAGCAGTCGAGGTGGACACTGGGGAATTCGAAAACCTGCGCAGAAGGAGCATTGCGAAGGGGAGTGGGCTGCATGGCCATGGCGTGCCTCTTTGTTTGAAAAGTATTTTGTTGAACGTTCTAGCTGCATGAGAGTTGTGAAGGAGAGCACGTACCGGTTCCGTAGTTGGGGATCCCACGCAGGTCGATTCGGGGGCCACTGTTCTGGGTTGCAGGTTGAGTAAGAAAAGGAGGAATACGGTTTGTGGAAAAGGACTCATCGTGCCCTTGTGCAGCTCGGGGGCGAAGTACGGGGCAGGCGTCTCTATTCAATGCACGCTTGTGATTGCAGAAAAAGCTGTAGTTGCTGAAGAAGTGATCCAGAAAGATTACCCGTTGATTGAAAATAAAGTCAGTGCCCCCTTCATGGGTCAACCGTGACTTTTCAAGAACCATGCAGGCTTGAAAGGTTTAGAGCATAAACCGTGATAGTTTTGCTGTCTTATCATCGAAGAGATTGTTGTATGCAAGACACTTCTGCATCAAAGCAGCATATCACAGAAGCACCAGCAGCTTGACACAAAATGGCTGAGACAGGAAATGCATCCACGCAGTTTGGCACCGAGCCTGCTCTAGTGGGTGCAGGTATGCTTTCTAAGTTTCTCAAAAGCTTTTTGTGGATGCTCTTGGCTCTGATCTTGACGCATTGTACGAAGGGGCACTTTTCTAAAACAAAAGCTACCTCGCTGAAATGCTCAAAATTCTCAAGGTGATCCCTCAGATCGTTGATAGCCTCTGATGGTTCTCTAAAACAATCTAGCTTGCGTGCTGATCCTGTCGTCTTGATGGGATGGAGCCAACCACAGCAAGATCAGGCGCAGTTTATCAGAGCTACGATCAGATTATCTTCATCTTTGCATTGGTTTACCAATGGTAAAAATTGAAGAGGACTTAAAGAGAGATTAACAGTGACCAGAATGCATTCAAGCCGCAGATTTAGAATTATGATCTGCCAGCTCAGTATTGCTAATCCCTCTGCCTGCGCAGTCCCTGCCGCAAGAGAGTCTGCAGATCAGGCAGCTGAGCAAAACCCAGCCATCCAGGTAGGCCTGCTACCAGACACTTGACGAGGTCAATGCTCAGATCTACCGTGCAGCATCCGTCAGAGTGCAGCATCTATTGCAATCGCAGAGCTACCTGCAAGTGGCCACAGTCCCTTAAATTAACCATTTAATGTACTGCTCGACTCCCAAAGACCTTGTTTGTACAATTGAGGTTTTGTGCTCCTCTCGCCCGTGCAGCAAGCCCAATATAAAGTCCCGGTCCCATATCCCGGCGCCTATTATGGCCCGCACCATCCCCCTTACATGTGGGGACCCCAGCCGGCTATGATGGTGCCTTATGGAGCACCAGGAGCATATTACCCTGGATATCCTCCCCCCCCGGCACCCGGAGCAGCTCCTGCTTATTACGCAGCCACGCCCCCCAAGGTGATGCCCGAACTTTCAGATCAGCATGGTTCCGTCAAGCGTTTTCAAGATCGCAGGCTTACTCCAAGACTGCCACTCAGTTAATTGAAAGCTATGATTCTTACCTACTTTTGGTATGCGGGGCGCTTGTGCATGCATTCCGCATCTTGGGTTTGTGCTTGAGCTCTCTTCTGGTGCCAGGCAATTGCTCTCATTGTGGATAAGCAAATTCTTGTTCTCAGAGGCATTCAGGGTTTAAGCATCCTGTCGATTTTGTTGAAAGCCGCGTCACATCTTAGTTCAAGTACAGGCAAGCCATGTCTGCAACAGATTTGATCTCACCAATTCTGAGCTGAGCCAGAGGATTCTGTGTGCAGCCAACCGGTGCTGAGGGTGGCTCTGGTAACCTAAACACAAGAAGGTCGAGCGGCAGTGACTCGGGTAGCAGTGGGGACGACGGGGTAAGTTGCGGTGGGGCCTTTTGAGAAGCTGAACGTTTGATGCAAAACGATACTGATTGTGGGCGGTTCTTGGGGGCCACTCTGTGCAAAGGCAACGTGTGCATCCGATGACTCATAGGCCATTTCAACAGCACGTTTGCAACACACTTGGTGTAGTGATGCTGCCCTCAGCTAACACTGAATGTTGAAACCCCCTCAATTGAGTGGTCAGAATGAGTGCAAGGACACCGCATCACTGTCTCGAGTTGTATGCTGGCGCACCTTATTCTGCTCTGTGCATCGTGCAGAGGGGTGATGGGAACTCGGGGCCCAGTGGCCCCGCCACTTATACGTATGGTCCGGGAGGAGAGTTACAATGGGGGGTGAGTCAACAGAGGGTCCTCATAAGGTGCTTTCAGAATCCAGGATGGGAGGATGACAGAAAGAAGTAGGTCCTTGGAACCAAACCCACAAGGCAAGGCCAATGTTTGACAGCTGAAATTTTGAGTGGCGGCTCAAAGATCGTATCTTAGGGAGAGTGGCTAGGTGGCGCAGGTCTGAGAGCGTAGTTCTTTATCGTTCTGGGGCTTCGATAAGGTGGCTCAAAAGGATGTCAGTGACCTGACGGGCTTCGCAGTAAGCCTGCTGGGCTCACTCCTTTTTGCGGAATCCTGAAGACAGGGCTTTTGTTGTAGATCGATTTAAGCAGTATCATTCCTGGTTCTTTAGAAGGAACATCCATCACCCCCTTTCTGGAACCAAGCCGTTTTGACAAACTGAGCGTACCAGTCTGCTCAATCATACCTGTTTCAGCGCCCAATTGTAGAAGCAGCAGTTGGGGAATTCCTCGGTCTAAAAAGTTGGCTTCGGGACCCTTCTCCGATATTGAACCCCCTGATTGCGGACAGGGGGCAGTGATTCCCGGCATGGTGACAATCTTGTTCCAATCACAGCTCCATCGCATCGTATCGCACCGTTCACGCGTCCCCACCGCTCGTACGTTGGAGCTTCTCCAATACGCTGCTTGATTCCCCTGCCAAAAGTGGTGCAAACCCTTGACCCCTACTCTGCAGATTGGGGTTCGTAGGGGGAGCGCCTCCGCGCTGAATGGCGACCTGGGGGCAGGCCCTTTCCTGGACGAGCGCGAGCTGAAGCGGCAGCGGCGGAAGCAGAGCAACCGGGAGTCGGCGCGGCGCTCGCGGCTTCGCAAGCAGGCCGAGTCGGAGGACCTGGGCCGCGTAAAGAACAACCTGTCGGTTGAGAACAGCAACCTCAAGGCGGAGGTGCAGCGCCTCTCGGAGCGGGTGGCGCTGCTTACGCAGGACATCGTGGCGCTCATTGCTCAGGTGGGGTGGCTGCGAAAGGCTTGGTCTTTTGCTTGTTGTAGGGCAAAGCGGGGAACTTCGAGGTTCTTGTTGAGGAATTGCAATCACCGGCGCTCATTGTGGTGGTCCGGACAAAGAGAGAGGTGTGTTGAATGTTCACTCTTAACTGCTTCAGATTGGCCTGTGGATAGTATACACACCGTTAGCATTCAACCCACGCTCTACCGGCAGCATTTAATCCATGCTCGATATTTCTGGCTGCAGGTTCAGGGGGCTGGTTTAGACCCTGTTCGCTTGGCCAGTGCTGAGGGGGCAAGCGAGCCTTTATCAGCTGCGCCCGTTGATCCTGCGGATCCGCCACTTGCAACAGCGATGTCGGTTGAGAACTTGACAGCAACGGATACAGCTCCAGCTGAGGAGGCCCTGGAACCAGCGAGCACTACAGATCCGCCCGAGGAAGCAGGAACCAACGGGGTTCCCGAGCAAGAGCCGAAAGGCGATGTGCCGGTGTCAGGAGAAGCTCCACCAGGTGGATCATAATAAGGCCCTCGTGCAGGGATACTTTGCACAGATCGATAGTTGCATGCTTCGAAATGTCATAACGTCGGTGGTGACGTGCATGTGTGTATGTACTGCATAGGGGGGGCCAGGGTTGCCACAACAGATGCCGGACGTGACAGAAGGTTCTAAAAGTTTACTACAGGAAAGGTTTAAGAAACAGGAAAATGGGACATTTAGTCTCTGTTTTAGCACATATGTATAGGGCCTGAAGTCGACAGCTCAAAATGCTTCGAAGCTCTCTTGTTGGTATCATCCATATGCAGTCCATGTGAGTGAACTGGTTTAGCCACCAGCTAGATATGGGACGTATAGCATATGTGCAGCGCATGTGGTTTGCAAGATGCGACCAGAGCAACATGTATTGTCACGGACTCACAGTTCAGTGCATCATAATCAATCTAGACGATTCTTTTTGAAGAAGATAGAGAGAAACAAAAAACGTTCGCTTGCTTTTATAGTTGTAAACCTGGCAAGTAATTATCAATTGAGCCCTGAACGGACTCAGAAAAGTTCCATGGTTACATGCACTAAGAGTCAGTCCGTTATTATTCATGCCAGCCGATTTGGTTCCGTCCAGTTCAAACTGCAGGCGCCTTGTTGGCCTTGGGTGGTGGGTTGCCGCCGGCAAGAAGGACGTAGAAGAAGAAGAGCGCCATCAGAATGCTGCAAATCCGCAAAGACACCAAGCTTAGCTGCCAGCTCAAGATTGACTGTTCGAAGCACGATGACAACAGCACACCGTCAATGAGTGCGCGCCAAGGATAGAGCCGAATGAGAGCAGGCCTGATGAGTATAGGTCCATTATACTAACGAGCACCTCATGAGACGGCGAAGTCCCTCGGAGTGCTTCAACCAAGGCGGTTCCAAAATGGCTCGATCTTCGACTGCTTGAAAAGGAGGATACCCCTTACCTGGTCAACGCTGTGAGCCCCATCGGAAGGAAGGGTGCGCCCTGGAGAGAGAACAGGAAAGGGAGTGAGTTTCAGATACAGAACCCGTCAGTACGTCGTGGAACTGCAAAGTCGCTATCAAGAATGTCCAAGGAGGTCGCCAATTGACAACAAGAAAATGACTAAGGATAGAAAAGCTCCAGTGCAAGACATGAAGCGTCTGTTTGAAGACTAGCAGCTTACTTGCGCAAAGGCTCGTCCCTTGGTCACGGTCAGGAAGAGGGCAATGCCTGGAAACGAAGGTCAAATGCTTAGCATCCGGGATCTACTTACTTGTCCCGCAACAAATCGGACTCTTTTCGTTCATGCATCTGATGAGACCGAGCTTCGAAGCGGTTCGCCTGACACACCCGCCCATTCCAAGCTAAGATTTGAGTTTTCGAAGTCAGTATTTTCGGGATCGATAGTTACAGACATCCTGAGGTGAGCCTGCCGAGCTAAGTGAGCACGTTGTCCTGAACAGGAGCAAGGCTAAAAGTTGAACTCCTCGACTCTTGTACGACTCCAAGAAGAGGGCACTGAGGTTCATTAGGCTCGACCATCTTTCCAACAGATCGCACAGCATTCACCTGGAACTTCCGTGACTTCAATCGAAGTCAAGGTTGAGTGCACAGAGAGGGTATAACCGCATGCCAAAGATTATGCTTCGAAAGTAAAATCTTGATCAGATTGCAATGACCGACGTACTTACCCAGCGACCCCAGGATGTATGGAAATGACGAGGCCCCCTTTTTCCAAGCCTTGAGGCTCTGGGCACTGAGCAGCAGCTGTGTGAGGCCCAGTGCTAGCCCGTGCCAGAGGGAAACCGGCTGCCGCTTGACAAAGTACCAGATCACGCCGCCCAGAGCAAGGACTGATCCTGCATCCAACGCGGGGCGCATGTTGATTCGGTGTGCTTTACGGAGTGGGGATGGATTGGTGTGTGTATGCCATGGGCGGGTTGTGCCTCGGTAGCAGGTGGGAAAAGAAGGTGGAATTCTCAATCGAGGGAATTGAACTTGATTTTCTGTGCACAGGCTCTGTTTTCGGCCCAAGTGAGAAGCCTTTCTTGGCTGCGTGGAAAATGACACCAACATGGTAACTCGGATATGGAAGGAATGGGGTAGGGCTGGCAAATCATTGAACCAAAGTAAATGACTAAGCCAGTGTAAAGTTTCGTGGGAACAGAACAAAGATTGTTGTCTGTCACTTGACATGGAACTTACCGTATGGTATTCCAAAGCAGAAATCGTGGATCAAGGCGCCCTTCTTGACGGCTTCATCAGAATGTGCTCCCACGGCTGCTTCTGCCATCTCCTGTACCGAGGCTGGCGCTTCCAGCAGCGGTGCTCCATCGCTTACAGGCTGCCAGAAGCACAGCAGAGTTGTCAGTCCAGTGCAATCTCTGTAGATTGTGTTTTGAAATGTTTGATACAACAGATCAAAGGTTCAACGTTCCTTCGTGAATATAACTTGCTCGCAGTGTGATTGTGCCTCATGAAAAGGCCCACCCCGGAGAACTCTCATGGCGCAGCATCACTCGTTGAAGAAAGCTCATCACCAAGGTTTCCAAGAAGCATTTCCCTACATTCCAGCTCTTGAGGTGCATTGTGGGGGATCCTGCGATGCAGGATGACATGCCAGAAAATGGGGGCAGAATTGAGACAATTACTGAAGCCAACATGAGGAAGTTTGAAGTTCCAATAACTCTGGTACACCCCCACATCACTACCGACAGACATTGTCAGTCCAGACCTCACTTGGCTGAGGTCAGTTATACTTGCTGCCTGGTTTTCTCCTTCTGCTGTCCATCCTGGGCTTCCAGTCGAGGCTTTCACCAGATCTTCAGCGGAACCCTGCAATGAAATGGATTGAGTGAACAGAGGAAGGTTGAATGATGGTTCCAAGTTTCTGTTCCAAGCGACTCGTGCCATGTTGGTGATGAATATTGCTGGACCTTGTCCTATGCAGCTCGTGGAAATAGTCAGACTGGAGAATCAAAGAGGGGGAAAAGTGCAGGTCCTGTGTGCTTCCATATTCATTCATCTATATCTGCACCCAACATTCTTAGGCAAATTTATCGCTCCTCATGTGTACGTCAACAGTACCACATACAGTATACCACCACCAGTGACAAACTTACCGTATTGTCAAAATAACTAGATGGACAAAGAGATGAAGGCCACTGTCGCAGTGATCCTGATGGAACCTCTTGTGAAACTGATACATTTGCCCTCACCTGATCGCCAACAGCTGCTCTGGTTGATCTGCTCTGCTTGCTCCGAGATCTGAGGAGATTGGCGTCCATTCTGCCAAGATGCCAGAGGAACCTGCTTGACTGGAAGCCTCGACTAATCAGAGAATTGTCCAAGCAGGAAGGAGCGGCGAGCGAGGAACTGGCCCTGCAAGAGAAGCTTGTAGAACAATCTAGTTCGGACTGGCTCCGCGCATCCAATGCTGCCACCGAGCTAATGTTCTGCATAAAAGATTGTCTTAAGCACGAGCTCGCCATGCTCCTCAGAAAGGCCAGGCCGCAAACCACATGCGGTCCTCACAAGCTGGCGTTCTGCAATGCTGGCAGTGCTTCAGCTGGACCTCACAGCTGGGGTTGAGGTTGAAGCGGAAAGAATTCACTTGCTCGGTGTAATTTCTAACATATTCATCTGCTACATATATAAGCGGATGAAACTTGAAAATTTTCAAATAGGTATGACAAGTTCACAACCCTTCGGGCCCAGGCCAAAGAAACCAAGCAATTACGTAGATATCTGCTTAAGGAAAAAATTACAAAGCTCAAAAGGAAACCCGTGAATCGATCTACGGTACATGCATGAGCTGCAAATATTTACCCTGCGATTGTGCAATTTATTATTTAAGCTTAATTTCTGGCACAGGCCTGAATTTAAGCCTGTGGTAGGTACTTCGCAGCTGCAACTTCAAGTGCAACACAACAATAAAGGAGAGGCGATCATCATCATGGTTGCAACGAGTCCTGTGGTAGAAGACTTAGAGGCACTGGTTGTGAAACGTTCAAGGACGAGTTGGACAATCAGTAAGCGGAGCAATGACGGACGCCGATGGCAAAATACTCAAGCGGAGGCGGGAGCGCTTTGGGGGTGATGAAGGTGACGATGAGGACGCTGCAGAAGATCAGAAGTGAGCCTCTTTGCCTGCAGCTCTCCTAGCCTTTGTAGAGCGACGTGGTGCATGAATTATCCAGGCATTAGTCCACTCTTTCCTGTGTTCTGTTGGTAACTTTGAATATAATGCAGGATTTTCGCGAGATTTGAAACCAATGCACAGTCATCTTCGATTGGTTGGAGAGGACAAGCTTACGTCAATTTCGTCTCTGCAAGGATTCAAGAGTTCGAGAATCGCTCAATCAATGCTGTCAGCAAAGACTTAGGCCCGTGCTACTGGAACAGGGCCAAGAAGGTGCGCTTCCCAAAAAGCAAGAAGGCTCAGGAGGAAGCAGTGGAATTGGATGAGGCAGGAGGGCCTATAATTGCCGCGGATGCGAGGGCTGTTGCAACGGAGCGAGCGGTGAAAAGGAAGGAGAAGGGCAAGAACAAACTAAAAGAGGATACAGATGTCGGAACCAATGTCGGAGGGGCAGAGGAAGATTATGAGGTAAGTCTGATCACTATACTTGCGATGTCTCGGCTTGCCGATAAGCTGGGCTTCTTGTTACATTGGCCATCCTGGACTTTTTCTGAGCTCAATCTCACTGACTCTTGTATCTGCAATCGGTGGTATGCCTTGAGTAAGGGAGAAGTTGGTACTCAGATGTTCCTCATGCATGATACTGTATGGTGTCCTGACTTCTGCAAGAAGAATCCAGTGACACGGTTCTTCTCAGTCTTGAGGTGTTCATCCCCAGGTGCATGAAAGTTCCCCCGTTGTTGACAGTGCTTCATGTGGGCCATGCACAATCCTCAAGTGTTTGTACTTTGGCTTAGGTTATCCTCTTTTGTTCCTCGACAACCTATCCTTTTCTGTTTCCCAACAACCTCAAAAGGTATGAGCGAACTCTGTAGCTTTTCTAAGCAGAGCCGGTCAACTCTCTACCTTCTGGTTCAGGACTATGATGACGAGCACGGCCTGGTGCGGGACGACGAGGGGACAAAGCTGGAGCCCTTCAATCTCAAGAAGGAGCGGGAGGACGGCTACTTCGACGCCGAGGGCAACTATGTCGAATACCGCCAGGAGAACGATGCACGGGTGAGCGGGATATTTGGCCGCAGGACGGGGTTTACACAAAGCTGAATCGTCTGACCATCTGGGTAAAGTCGAAACACTCTGCCACAAGGAGCTCACTCCACGTTCAAATGTTCCTTGATGAGCGAACGAAGCCCTGTGCGGGGCTGCTGCGCTGGCTGCTCTGAATCAGCAACACAACTCGCCAGCACTCGCACTCGCCTTGCTTCACCTTTTGTATTCTGGTACAGATTGGAGATGATCGGTCAATGTCTGAGGCGCAAACATCTGTTGCAGGACGCCTGGCTGGAGGGCGTGAAGGTGGACCCGAGCCTGGCCAAGCGCGCGGCTGAGGAGCAGGCCGCAGCCGACAGTGTCGAGGAGGAAATGTCTACGGGCGAGATGGCCGCCATCAAACGGCGAATCGCAGACTCGCTTCAGAACGGGGAGACTGTGCTCCAGGGGCTGAGGCGCTTGGGGGGTGCGGGAAGGGGGCAAAGCGGAAGTAAGCCGGGCGGTCGGGGGAGGGGGCGGGGACCACCGGGGGTGCCCGTGGTAGAAGAGAAGAAGATGAGCGATGAGGAGAAGAGGCAGTTCGATGCCTTGACGGAGGACGCGAGCCGGCTAATGGAGGCAGGGGAATACAGTGAGTAGTCCGAACCAGGTCCGCATGCATTTCTGTCCTGATGAGCTCTTTCAGAACGTTCCAGAGAGTCGAAAAGGCTCGTGTTCGTGGCCAACGTCGTTTCTCTCTGGAAGTCAAGGTGGAAAGATACCCTTATGATTATTCTGATGTCTCAATCTAGGCTTTCCCCTTTGGTTCCTGCTCTCGCTTTCCTTAAAAGATAGCCCGGAATCGGCCGTTCAGGTTTTTCGCTTTGAGTCGTATCTGCGACCTTCTTTCATTCCGTGGTTACTTACGCTGTCCCGCAGTTTGGCTGCTCATTGTCCTCTTTCTAGATTTGATCTGCGCCCTGGCGCAATCTGGCACCCTACTATCTCGTGAAGGGCAAGATGGTATGGGCGTGTGCGCATGTTTCAGCAGCCAGTACAATCTTGTGGCTTGCATTCTTTGTGGACTGCGATTTAAGCCGTAATTCTTAGGAAAAGACACACTTTGACTTGTGGTAGCTCTTCGTTCTCTTTTGCACCCTTTCTTATTGCCCAGTCTGCACTGGTCTGTATTTTGGGCGCCTTAAATTGCGTTAACGACGGCCGACTCGGATTCAGATGTCGTGGAAATTTTGAACGCTGGAAATCTCTGTCCAGACGTTTACTCGGACAAGAAGGAGACGTTTCTGCGGGAAGCAGAGGGTTACGAGGCGATCCACCGGCTGCGCGCCCAGGCAGCTGCTGCAACAACGGAGGATGACGACATGTTTGCGGATGATGACGCTGCACCCGCTCTCGGGAGGGAAAAGGCAGGGCCCTCTGCAAACGGGGGCGCGTCTAACAGAGGGGCAGAGGGGGGTATCCCGACCGAAGCTTCTGGATTCGTCTATGACGAGACTTCCGGGTGAGCGGTCTGCGGGGTCAAACCAAACCGTGGCCTTCATATCGTCCTCCCCTTTGTCCGTGTCCTTTCAAAGTACCTCGTGTTGAAGGTCGTCAGATCTCGCAAGCCTCGGTGTCCGAGAAGTGCATGTTGTACGGCTGTTGGTCTGCAAAATTTCTGAAGTTTCCTTTTGATCGATGGATCGTACGTCAAGTTTTATCGGAAGGATGAAGACCCCTTCAGCGATTTAATAAGGTTGCAGTCTTCGCCCTGCCGTGAGTTCATACCAGGTCTTCGCCGTCAGTACATCCAGAAGCTTTGAAAACCATTGTGTCTGATAGCGTCGATAACGTTCTTCAGTATAGGCATCGTCCTTTTCAAAGATCGGCTGAAATCAAGCGATTGCATGCATTGGATCCGTTCGGGAATCCATGTTGAACCGCTTGTGATTCAAGAGACGTATAGCCTCCGCGCTTGTCCACTGCATCTCCGCTTCATGCATGGACCAACTAGAGATTCGAAAGCACTTACGAGCACCTCTGGCTAGCTTGTTTGGAATGGGCTGCTCGGCCGATGAGTACTGCCTTGTGTTGAAACCCCGAGCAAAGCCTCTAGGAAAGCCGCCACAGCCTTTTTCCTCAGGCAATTGAGTTCTGTGCAGGTTCTACTACAATAGTGAACAGGGCTACTACTACGATCCGGGCTCAGGGCTGTACTGCAGCGCTAGCACTCAACAATGGTAAGTGAAAGTGACCGTGTGCCCATAGTGAACGACAAGTTCGGTGTGGAAGGTGACACTGTGAAACGAATCCAGAGTACTATACACTCTTTGATGCTTTGGGGTTAAGCGGTTATTTTTTGTTGCAACCTTGAGGTCTGAGGATTGGAAAGCATAACTTCGAGAACGCTGATGCTGGTTCACGACTTGTATTTGCAGGTACTACTTGAACCCAGTTACAAATGCTTACGAAGAAGTGAAGGAAGACAAAGGTTCAAAAGGGAAGGACAAGGACGCCTGATAAAGTCGTCTTTCTAGGCAGGCCGGCAATTCAGCTCGATGAGATTCCTCTTTACCGAAGCAACAGCCTTACGTTGAAGAGTAGTAGCCCAAAAGGAGATATTGCCGCAACAAACATAAATGCACCTTTATGAAACGACGCCTAAAGTTGTTTTGATTAGCAACAACAACCATGTCGTGGCATGTTTTCAACTTGCAATGACCCTTGCATGGCCACTTGCCCTGTCTCTGAAGCTTATGCATGTAAGATCATGTGATATTGTCGGGATTGCAACGCACGGCTACTATAATGAGATGTTGAACTTAAGTCTATTTTGGTTAGGGTACGTAGAAGTTGAGAATCAAGACGGTGGCACATAACATCATGAGCGCCCAAGGCATTTCTTGCGGGCGTACTGGCAGCTACATGCGCGGCTGGCTGACGTAGTAGCAGTGTTCTCGGTTAACTCCGGCCGGGCAGATCTGATTGTGGTCATTCACGGTTGCAAAAATTGCTCTAAACGATCCCAAATGAAAGTTCGCCACCGGCGGCGAGCCTGGCAATTACCGGGGCCTCTTGTTGCGCCGCCGCCGCCCGGCCCTGCCAGGCCGGGCGGCCGGGGACTCAGGCGGCCTTCGAGGCTACTAACGGCCTAATGGCAATGCGCCCGTCGCAAAATTTCAAGTGCCACAGATGATAATATGGCAAAGCTGGTAACCAGCACTAGGTATTTATACTGCCCGGTGGTGGTTCAAGACCACAAGACGGTCCGATCCGATCTGGCACGATCGGAGTCACTCAGTGCCAGCAGTACGTTTGACCACTGGGCTCGGCGCGGCCGCGCGCTTGCCGGTCTGGACTTGACCGTGATCCCGTGACGTCATGTGGTGGGGTTTCGGACGTTCAATCAGTCTGGCTTCTGACTATCTACAATCATCCACTCGGACGGTCCAAAAAGTGGTTTTCAAAATCTAGTCCTAAGTTCGCAAAGTGACGTCGCAGCCCACATGAAAATCTTGGAAAGTTTAAAATTGTCTTCCAATTTTGCGAAGTTCCGCGGCCCACAATTGTCCCCAGCGTGGCGGCCTGCGCATCAATGATGATCACATGCACCGTACCGCCAAGGGAAATCGCCTGAAAATAAATATTTTGGGGTCGGTGCGAAGAATTAGAAAGTATGTAAATGGGACCCTAACTGCGAAAAGGCGAAACTAAAGAATTACCTCAAAATGGTGAAAAGTCCTGTTTTGTGGGGCAAAAGAAAGCGAAAAAATGCTTTGTGCGAAATGTAAAATAAACTCTCAAAGTACACGGGTGAAACCTCAAAACGAACGAAATTGACTTTTCGCACCAAAAGGTGGCGAATTCCCTTGGCGGTACGGCATTAAAGAGGGCATACCGATGCATCTGCATATAGCGACCAGTAACCATAGAGTGCAACTGTTTCCGTCGCCGCGATCCGCACGTGCTAGAATTTGCAGCGACTTTGAAGGTATATTTTGCCCCATCACGGACGCCGCAACGTCCCACGTGGGTTCCTCAAAACCCAACGCCCTTCTTAACCATGCATTGTACCTACGAGATAAAATTGAACAGATCAGGTTGCGTACCAGCCACAGCCCCACACTTGTCGCTGGCTCCGAATTCTCATGGAAAAGATAGACCGTAGTCTAGATGCCTACGTGACAGAACTGGAATTTGAAAGTGGACAAGGAAGAGCAAATTCTATCCAGGACCAAGGCGCTTTTTCATGGAGGAGACGCTTGTTTACTAACTTGTACATACAAAGGCCTAGGGATTTTTGTGTGACGTCAGCTTGAGAAGAAGACTGTGTTGAGGGGCCTCGCAAGAGCTTAGGGAAAGCACAACGCTCAGCGATGGCGGCCTCTGTCCAGCTGCAGACCAGTGCCGCGACCAAGCCCTGCACATCCAAGTTCGGGGCGTCCGCAGCCAGGGGGAATGCAGCATCTACTAGACCTTTTGTCCATCTTCCTCTAACTGATTTCACAAAGACGTTTTTGGCAGGTGCTTTGGACTTTCACTTGAAGAGTTCAGAGCAAGCGCTGGTTGGCAGTCGCATTAGGGTGAAGGCCAGTGCAAGCGCAGGGCGCGAGCAGAAGGGGGCTCACATCTCACGCTCTAGGGAGGTGCCCCATGGATCGAGTCACTCGCGGAGTATGCGCACAACAACTAGCAGAGCCGTGGCGGTTGGGACGGGAGACGCGGAGCATGTGACAGTTCAGAGCCATTCCGCAGGGGTTTCGATTGATGTGGAGGGGAAGACTTGCATAGCTTGCCACCGGGTCAAGCCTTTGATTGACTTCCAGAAGGCTGGGAAGGGGCTGAGGGCTTCGTGCAGGGCGTGTGTGGCAGTTAGCCTTGCTGACCGCTCTGGGAAGGATATGTACCACTTGTCCATGTCGGTGGACGAGGCCTGGGCACACGCCAAGCAATGCTCAAAGTGCAGAGTCGTCAAGGAGTTGCGTGACTTTGCACCCAACAAGAAAACAAAGGATGGGGTTCAGACCCGTTGCCGGGCGTGCAATGCTGTGGCTGTCGTGGAGAGGATGCCAGATGAGCCTGCTGCTGATGGGGCATGGACGAATGATGTCCAGGACAACAATGGACACCAGAACGGAGCTGTTGCGCAGAGTTTCCAGCTGCCAGAGGCTGACAACAGGTGAGGGAGCTTCTGGTCCAAAAAGCAAGTGCTCAAGGGGCTTTTGTGTCAAGCCTCTTCTTCAGATTTGGAAGCTGTTTGACCTCAGGGAAATTTTTACTTAGATTGTTGGATGGGCAGACCCTGAAGTGTCAGACCAGAGGGAAAAGAACTGGCTGTATGGCCGGTACTGTTCCGAACGTGGATGGTTGCTTCTAGAAGGAGACATGCAGGGGGTCTTGTGCAGGTTGACAGCCAGGGTTATTGGATCAAGAGCAGTGATATCCCACAAGCAGTCTTCTCCACCAACTTCTTTTCGTCAACCTGCTGGTCTTGTGACATTATATGGACCTATGAGGTTGATGAGTCTGTGTGTCCCCTTCGGCTTTTTTGCGGTCAACAGATTACGCTCTTCTGGGCCTGTTATCAGGGTTGGCAGCGGAGGAGACCATCTTTGCTCGATCATTTCTGGATTCTTGGGTTGAAGTTTGTTGACATCATGCTCTTCTCCAGTAGGGACAGTAGCCAGAAAGCCGACTGATTTGAGTCAGTACCTTGTGAAGAGCTTTGGGACTGGTCAGTCCAGGTTTTGGGCTATTCTCCAGTCTGAGAGATCCATTGGGTATTGGTACTACTTGGATAGATGTATCCATGGCACTGCAGCCCCAAGAAGTTGAGTTTCTGGTAAGGAAGGAAGGATTAGCCGGGTGGGCAAATAAGTACAGGGCTTCTATGCAGTTGAGACACAATTCTTGGACCTTATTTTTCGGGTTCCTCCAAAGTCGAAGCTGACATGGAAACAGCCTGCAACTGGGTTGTCTCAACCCTGCTACTGTTGTAGTGACAATGCTTGGCAGGGTCCAAATGGTGGATTGCCAAGAAGGGGCACCTCCATGCAAGGATTGGATGGACTTGTCTTACAGGCAAGGGCCTCCGTCCATGCACTCCAGACTTCTTGGAGGGTCTCGAATCTTTCATACAGTCTCGAGTCCTTCATACAGTATAATGGTTACCACTTGCCAATATGCAGCTATACACTGCCAAAGGAGCCTGCCCATGTGGAGGCCCCCGCATACTCTGCAAGCTTCAGCGCGGCCCCTGCTGTGGAGGAGAAGGATGACATCATCATTCCCCAGGTTGAGCCTACATACGTTAAGCCTACATATGTCGAGCCTACATACCAGGTGAGTGGGCGCATAGTCTGTATAATCTCAAGCACCTTAGTTTCAATTGCTTTGATTTGCAGGGAGTTGATTTTGATGAATTCTGATCAGATTGGCGCAGAGGTTCTGAGAGACATGGTTCTGAGAGACATGTCTTTAACCAACCCTGACATTCTTGGGTGCCCTCAAACGCTGCTGATATAAGAGGCTCTTCCAGAAATGCTAGCAATGTTGTTTGGTAATCACCGGCTAATAAATCTCACAGAATTGCCGTATGCCTGAGAGATTGTGCAGAGAAGTGTCGAGGAGGGAGCAGGCTGTGGGCCCCATTTGTCTTCTCGTTCTCCTTGATTGAGCTGGCCTAAGGCAGACCGTTCTGGGGCACGATTCCAATGCAGAGGACCTGAAAGTTTCCCAAGCCTGCAGTTGGAATGTTGGACCATTTGAATGTTGGACTGACTGGTGGACTGACTGGGGCTCAATCAGTAGTGCCATAACATCGCCTGACAGAGGTTCAGACGCTTCACTCTCGATAGGGTTGCTGCGTCCAGTAGGAGCTTTATCATGCAACAGTCGAGCCTCGACAATTCAATTATCCAATCCGTGTGCAGCAGATTGAGGTGCTTCCTGCCCAGACTGTTCCCATGTGAAGCCATCCCAAGTTTCGGGCAGCATTGAATCTTTCCTGATTCTTGTCTCAGCCTGGACTGGTTTGATTGGCAGGTTTGACTGCACTTCAGGACAGACCTACATGTCATTTGAGGTCGTTTCAAAGTGCCCTTTCAAAGGGTTCCTTTGCCTACAGAGACCCATTTTTGAGTGTGGGCCAGGGCTCCCTATGTTTGACTTGCAAGCATGCACGGCAGATGCTAGCCCGATGTCAGGGACCTGAATCTCAATCCTGGAAGATGCAGGCATTTGGGTCAGCTGTCTAAGCTTTTCCTTTGCACTTCGTACCCGCAGGCCCGCGAACCAGAGGAGTCGACGCATGAGGCGTCAGAGATGGTTGCGGACCTCCAGCTCAAGCTCTTGCGCCTGGACTTGGACCTTGCCAATGCCCGCGCAGGCAAGGCAATCTTTGAGGACCAAGTGCAGTACCTGCATCGTGTGATGGAGACCCGCACGGACGATGTAAGAGCACTTCTCCTTGTTCCCATTCTTTTCTGGTTCCTCCATACGGCTTCTGAGGGTTTCTAACAGATGTTTCTGCGTGAATCTGCCATGGTTGTCTCTCCTCCTGTTTCTCTTCTGTGGTGAGCCCTCGGTCATTACCAAGTGACATGTCATTGATGATGACAGGGTTGTTTTGCACTGCGTGTCTTTTTGAGGGAAAGAGACGGCAGTCAGGTTCTAGTTAGGTTCTGCTATAATCTTGGGCTTTGCTGGGGCCCGAGAGTTTTATCGAGTTGGATACCGTCTCCCTCCTTAGCAGCCACGCATTTTTCCACTTTTCTGCTGCGTACTCCAGCTCAAAGCCAGTAAAATTCGCTGGATTTCACCCCTTGTGCTGCATTGTAGGGCCATCTTACTCCTAAGCCTGATTATTACGCTTAGAATCCAGGTTTCCCTAGAAAGATGCGACTCGTGCATAGAACCAGCCCTTTTCAAGGCCAGTAGCATGCACGCTTGGTAATGTGGATGACACTTCATGCAGGCCGCAGGAAGGGCGTTTGTGAACGTCCAAATTGGTGCCATTTGCTGTTCTGCATCTCTTTGATCAAGCTGCTGAACAAGGAGAGATGGAACATCCGATATGCTTGGTTTCATCAGTTACAGTCTTACGTGGGAATCTGTCTAGCTCTCAGTTCAGGACGTCTTAACCTTGGTCAGCAGGTGTCTGGAAAGAGCTTTGACTCATCACTTGTTTTTGCTGCATTTTGCAGAATGAGAAGCTGCGGAGTGCTCTGGCGGACGCATCCTCGTCCGTCGCTCAGCTGGCAGTGCACGTGGACCGCCTGGAGTCAGAGACAAGCAATCTCCGGGAGAAGCTGCTGCGCCTGGATTTCGACCTGGTCCATGCGCGCACGACAAGGGGAATCCTCGACGAGAAGGTGGACGACCTTGAGCGTGCACTTGCAGCAGATACCGAAGCATCTAGAGTGCGGGTGAGGAGCGAATCCTTGCTTGGTCGCTTCTACCTTTTTAATTTCCAGTGTCCTTTTGTGGCATATTGCTGCTGGAGCTTGCAATCTGGAGAGTGGAGTGCCCCAAATGCAATTAGTTGTTCTCAGGACCACATAGGCTTGTGCAATCCAGGACAACCCTGTATTTGGTCGAATCTTGCATCTCTGCAGATTGAACTTCTGAAGGAAATTCTTGCATTTGCTGTTGAATTGGTGTTCATATGCAGAAAGTCGGAAGAGAAATTAGCAAGAGGACGATGACGTTGTTTTTTCTGCCTTTGATAAAGGGCAATGACTTGGAGTTTAACCAGTTTGGGTTGACAGCCAATTTGCCCCTGTGGAAGTGGAGCTCGAGTGCAAACATGACCCTTACTTGCATTTCTGATCAGCTTCTAAATGCCCTTGTCCTTGCCTCACGTGCAGGATGAGAAGTTGAGGACTGCCCTTGAGGAGGCAACCTCTTCCAATGCCATTATGAAGGCTGAGCTGGAAGCGGCGCAGTCGGAGGGAACCGAACTGAGGACCAAGGCCCTGAACCTGAGCATGGACTTGGCGCATGTCGCTCACGGGAAGAAGATTCTTGACAGCAAGGTTGATGACCTCGAGCGCGTGCTGGCTGCCGATGCCGAGACCTCCCGCGCACGGGTGAGAGCCTTCTCCTTTCGTTGCCAGCTTGGTGTTGCTGGCCCCTCTCTCAGATTCGTTCTTGTGTTGATTTTCTTGTGCTTGATGCAGCTGATTGATTTGCAGTTTCTGCCTACTGCTTCTTTGAACTGGATGCAGTTGCCTTGCCTTGCTGTCTACAGTGCTCAGTGAATATTCAACAGATTGAATGGCCTGACTTTGCCTTGGAAAGTTTGACAGAATTGGGATTGATGTTTTGTGTTCTGTAACCCTGGTCAGTTCTTCATTATAGTTTTGTAAATTATGTAATCTGGAACAATGTATATCTTGAAGGTGCTTTTGATTCGTACAAGGAAAAAGTAACCGCAAGCAGAACCAGTCTCGATCTGTTTGGTTGGTTGGGGAGTCACTACAAGCCACTTTTGCTCTGTCAGACCCCTGAAAAGGGACCAAACTGGTTGAGACGCTTGTCTGGTACTGAAGGCCGAGCTCAACGTCCAGAGCCTGGTTTCAATCATTGAGTATTTTGCTCAGACTTCGTTCCTTTCGTCGTTGTGCAGGAGGAGATGGTTGCAACTGCCCTGGTGGAGGCAGAAGCAGCCATTGGTGAACTAGAGCGCCTGACTGCGGAGACCAGCGCTCTGAGGAGCAGCCTCCTGTGCAAGGACTTTGACCTCACCCATGCCAGTGCAACCAAGGCGTTACTCAGTGCGAGAGTGGATGATTTCGAAAAGGCCATGGACACACTGCGCGAGGAGGTGAGAGAACGAAACCTTTTTTGGCATCCTGGAAGGGTTTTTAGTGCGTTGAGTTAGGATCGTTGTTACCTTTTGTCTGATAGGTCTACAGAATTTACAAGGTTGGTCAATGCTGTGAAGAGGCAGGTTCCTGTTGCTCACCAACCAAACACAATACAGCGTCCTTACAGCAGCATTCTGACTTGAAGAGACAGATTGGGTTGTACCTTACTCCGACTTTCTTTTCTGTGTGTCTTTTACTTTTATCAGAGCACTTGTGTGACCATCAGACTCGAGCAAAGCGCCCGTGGATTGGCTGGGGAGAAAAATGGCTGCCCTGCTAACAGTTATCTTATCTTCGCAATCGGTTTCTCGCGTCCAGTCATCCATCCATTGGTAACATTTGAGCAACGGTCGGAAACCAACACACAGGCAGGTTTTTTCTATCTTGCTTGCAAACCCCCTGGTTGAGCGCGCAACCCTTACATTGATAAGTCGCGAGCAGAACTCAAATTTGACCACAAATCTGCATCTCAATCTCTTGCACAATCCTGCAGGAGGAAACCCTGAAGGCCGCGTATGCGAAGGCCAACGCCGCCAACGCTGAGCTGGAGGCGCAGGTGGCAGCCCTGCAGGAGGAGCAGTCGAATCTGAGGGGCAATGTCATGAACTTCAGCCTCGACTTGACTCACTCCAAGGCCATGAGGAAGATTTTCGAGGAGCAGGTGCAAGAACTGGAGCGCACTGTGGCGGCTTACGAGGAGACGGCCCAGGAACGGGTGAGAGAAAAACCTTCTGAGCCACCGCTTCCTTGGCTCCTGCTGACCTAGTCCTGCTTGGTTTCGGACCTGAGTTGGTTTCGGTTCCATTTTTGATGATCGAATTCCGGCCGTTTCTCTTTGTGCCTGTGTCCTTCAATGGGCGTCTCACTCATTTTGAGACAGCAGCATCACCAGCTGCTGTGCTACGCTTCTGTAGAAACTTCAAAACGGATACCAAACACTGCAGTTTTGCCAACGATTCAATCTTTCAAGACTGTTGTCAGGCCATCCAGTGCTTTTTTAAGGGAGCCGTTTGATACTTGGACTTCCAATAAACTGTTGTGCATCAAGTTCTGAGCTTCAATCTTCACCTTTTGCTCGCAGGCTGCAACGATGAAGGCCGCCCTCGAAGAGTCGTCCGCGGCAATCGCAGAGTATGACCGCCTGAACGAGGAGGCGTCCGCTCTCCGGATGCAGGTTCTGCGCTTGGACATGGACTTGTCCCACACGCGTGCGACGAAGCAGATTCTTGGGGCCCAGGTCGACGACCTTGAGCGGGAGCTCGGGGCAACTCGTTTGGAGGTAAGCAGATCGAGTACATCTTTTTTTCTTCCCTGTCTTTAGCTGCTTCCCCTTTTGAGAGATGTGGAATGCTCTTGACCTTTCCTGTCATGGATGTCCAAAGAAAATGTGAGGACATCCAAAGAAAATGCGAGTTTTGGAGCAACGGCTTGACAATCCGCCATGGGTTGTCACCCTGTCTAACAAGGTTAAAGAAAAAGGCAAACGCGAGAAAGAAGCGAGTTCTCAGTTTGTTTTACCACGCTGCAGGACGAGATGCTGAAGACCGCCCTTGCGGATGCCTCCGAGGCCAACGCTGTGCTGGAGGCTGGCATGGCGATAGTGCAAGAAGAGGGGACCGCTCTCAAGGAGAAGGTGCTGTGCTTGAGCCTCGATCTGGCGCATGTGAGCGCAGGGAGGAGGGTCTATGGGGAGAGGGTGGACGACCTTGAGCGCCTGATCCAGGCTGACGCCCAGAGGTCTCAGGCACGGGTAAGTGGGAGTAAACGGAGATTTTTTCGTACTTATCCCAAGAGTTTCTGGTACGTGGTTTTGATTGTTGTTGCTTTCGGAGAGTCACGAGGATTGAGAAGGGTTTGACTCTGCTCAGCTGTTTCATTCAGACTTCGCTCTTCTTCTAATAGACCATGCTGACAACTTTGCTTTCGATCCCAATCACTTGCCAAGTGTTGCAACGAAACGTTCTGAAAGGAAGTCTTGCCCACATGCAGGATGAGAAGCTGGCAGCTGCCCTTGCCTCCAACATCACCCTAGAGGCTGAAGCGGTGCGCATGATGGAGGAGGGAGACGAGTTCAGGACTCAACTCCTGCGCCGGGATTTCGACATCGCCCATGCTGTCGCCCTGAAGAGGCTCCTCGATGAGAGGGTGGACGACCTCGAGCGCACAATTGCAGAACATGACGATGCCGTGAGTGCCAGGATGTGCAGACTGGACGCTTTGTAGCAGTTCAGGTGCAGCAGATTGGTGTTGGATTTGCAGTGGCTTTGTGATTCTGCCCCTACGTTGTGGCATGTCATGCATCAGATTCCACTGGTCATGAATACAGAATCCGTTGATTCTTGGCCTGATGTAGGCTAAGATGACCCTGGCCAACGCTGAAAGGACAACAGAAGAGTCTCTGACAAGATATGAACCAAGCTTGTGTTTGCGTTTCCCTCCTGACTGTTGATTGTGCTCCTAGCGATCTGTTGGAGCACCCCAATCAGGCGTCAAACCCTCTTTGACTAAACCGTATCTATCAACTTGCAGGGCGCGAAGCTGAAGGCCGCCCTTTCTACGAACGCTGAGCTGGAAGCGGAGATGGAGCACCTTGTGAAGGAGGGAGGCTCCCTCCGCACCCAAGTGCTGATGAAGGACTTTGACCTCACCCACGCCGACGCTCTGAAGGGAATGCTGGGCGAACGCGTGCAAGACCTGGAGCGCGCGATTGAGGCTCACGAGGACCTGGTAAGTTGGTCTGCAAGTACAGTTACACTGAAGAAACGAACGTTGTTAGCTGCAAGCCGTAGTGATCTGGGCTGATTTCATCAAGCATTGGTTCTGGATACTGAAACGGACTTGATCAAGTGTTCTGATTCGGGCAGTTCCGGTTCGACCACCTAAGAAAGATTCGCAACTAATCAAATTGCTCTCGGAGACGCTAAGTCGAATTCTTTGTTTCCAGTCTGCTGTCCGCAACTTCAAGATGCTCGTTCAGGTAGTGTGGCTGCGCGCTCAACCAAGAGCTCCGATCTAGCCAACAGTTCCGGATGTCAATTGAATCAATGTCGTTGCACGTGCAGGGTGCGAAGCTGCGCGCTGCCTACTCTTCCAACGCGGAGCTCCAAGCCGAGGTTGGGAACCTCAAGGAGGAGGGCGACAGTCTCAGGACCCAGATGCTGCGCCAGGACTTCGACCTGACGCACACGCGTGCAATGAAGGCCATCTTCGCCGAGCGGTGCGCCGACCTCGAGAAAGTCATTGCGGAGCATGACGACATGGTGAGTTCGGGGTTTGTCTCCAGCTGTTCCCTTGTTGACCTGTGCTTCTTGCAGGTCAGTGTCTCCTAGTGCCTGGTGTTCGCCCGGTTGTTGTCTGGTCGAGAAAGAGAGCGCTGCTTCCAGGCGCTACGACTATAAGGCACTCTCTTTCCTGTAATTAGAAAGCAGTTGAAGATGCGCAGGGCGAAAACAGACCGGTTTCCTAACCCTGTCATGAACCTTGTGCAGACCGCGCAGCTGAAGGCCGCCAACTACACCATGGAGGAGCTGAACGCTCAGGTGGCGCACCTGGAGGCGGAGCGCAGCACGATGCAGACCAAGCTGCTGAGCAAGGACTTCGACATCACGCACATTCACGCCATGAAGAGCATCCTGAACCAGAAGGTGGAGGACCTGGAGCGCACAATCGCAGACCACGACGACCTGGTGAGTGCTGGGAAAGGTGTCTCATAGATTGAGCCGTTGCTGGCCGGCCTGGTGTGTAGCATATCAGAAAAGCGCGTCTGGGTGTCTTGTTGGAAGGAGTATGTTGCACGATTGTGTGCCCTCGGCTTTTGGAGCTCATCGGGTCCGTATTGACTTTCTCACGGTTCGAAACTGGCGGTCACCATCTGTAAGCTGTCTTTGCAACCTTATTCACTTGCAAAGAGCTCCTGGCTAACAGGGTATTCTCAAATGCAGGGCACACAACTGAGGGCTTCGCAGTCCACAAACGCCGAGCTGGTCGCTGAGGTGGAGCGCCTCGGGGAGGAGGGGAACTTCTACCGCACCCAAGCGCTCTCGAAGGACTTTGACCTGAGCCACATGCGCGCGCTGAAGGCCATCCTGGACGACAAGGTCAACGACCTGGAGCGCGTGATCGCTGCCCACGACGAGATGGTGAGTTTAGAAGAGTGTCTGTTCTGGAGGCAAGACACTGTTGCTTCTGCCCTTGAATCGACCTTGTTCGGCTCTGTGTCTGATGGAAGGGAAACCGTTTTGCTCACTTTCTCGATCGAAAGAGTTTGTATCCCTGGCTTCGGAATATAGTAAGGCTTAAACAGACTGCGTTCACGTCCGTTCACTTGAGCAATCTACTCGGTACCTTTGGAAGTCTGGGCCGGATTCCAATCACGTTGCCTTGCACACACGATTGGCCGCTTCACGGTCCTGGCACCTGAGACAGTCCAAAACGGCGTACGCTGCACCTTTCTGGCACTTCAGATAGTCAAAAACGTTGTCCGCTGCCCTTTTCTGTCTCCTGAGACAGGTTAAAACGTTGTGCAGGTCGAGAAGCTGGCGGAGGTCCAGCAGGCGAACGCCGTGCTGCAGGCCGAGGTGGAGCAGATTGCGTCGGAGAAAGGGGATCTCCAGACGCAGCTGTTGTTCAAAGACTTCGACCTGACCCACACTGAGGCCATGAAGGCGATGCTGGATGACAAGGTGCAAGACCTGGAGCGCGTGATTGCGGCCCACGACGACCTGGTAAGTGCGACTTCGTTTGAACAATATACTGATACTTCTTGTTTCGTCTTGCCTTACGCTGAGAAGCTTGCCGGGTTCTGTCCAGCCCACACAGTCGAAACCGCGCCCGACAGCACATGGAAAGTGCCGCAGGTTCTTTGTCTCTCAGACAATCTTTCTCGCACAGTGCTTTTGAGATTGTGTTCGGAAGCAGCAAGCACTGCGATCAATCACAACCTGAGTCCCTTGAACTTGAGTGGTCTCATCCGTGTTATCCTTTTGTTCGCTTTCTCAGCGGCTTGCACTTTCATTTATGTTTGTGACCTCCCTTTGCAGGGCACTAAGCTGAAGGCGGCCTACGACTCGGAGGCCCAGCTGGAAGCCCGTGTTGCGCGCCTCGAGGCGGAGGGCGGCGACCTCAAGACCAAGCTGCTGCTGCAGGACTTCGACCTGACCAACACCCGCTCTCTGAAGTCGATCCTGCACGACAAGGTGGAGGATCTGGAGCGCGTCATCGCCGCTCACGACGACCTGGTGAGTTCAACGGGTTTGCCGCTTAGTGGGTCGGAGAAGCAATATGTTCATCTGAACATTGTTTTTATGTTGATCCGAGTGTTGATTCGTTCTTGTCAGGAAGGTCTGACAGACTTGGGAGTGTTTTGGCACACTTTGGTTTAAGGAGGCTCTTTTTCCTACGGAGTTGACGAGCCTGGCTGGTCGCAAAACGGATGGCAGAGACAACCGAATCAGCTCAATGCTCAGCAGTGTCATTTAAACCCCGTGCCAAATGCTAAGTCCGGGGGGTTTCAAACTGCGAATTCCATCCTGAATTTCGAATCTCACGGTCATATTCTACCACCTTGCAGGGCGCAAAGCTGAAGGCTGCCCGCTCTGCCAACACTGAGCTGGAGTCTCACGTGGATTGGCTCGAGGCGAAGGAGGGCATGCTCCAGACCCAGCTCCTGCGCAAGGACTTCGACCTGGCCCACACGCAAGCGCTGAAGGCGATCCTGGACGACAAAGTGCTGTTCCTCGAGCGCTCTGTTGAAGACCTGGATGTGACCGCACGCGAGCGGGTGAGAGACCAAGTGCTGCGCTGGTTTTGCAAGTTGCCGGACGAATCATGCCCTCTTATTTCGAGGTCCTTTTGCTGCCGCTTTCTCTGCTCCCATCTGCTCTTCGTGACGTTTTGCATCCCCGTTTTCGCGTCGACCAGGTTTTTCGAGTGGCCGTGAAAGCAGGCCGTGACCGCCCCTGTCGGTGGTGCCAGTGGTGGTGAGGTGGTGATGAAGAATTCCGCCCATTGTCAACTCTGTTCTGGGACAATCTCAGGATTGGGAAACGCGTTTTCCTGGAGCATTGACCATCCTCTTTCCACCCCGCAGCTGGAGAAGCTGAAGGAAGCCCTCGCGGAGGCGGAGATTTCTAACAGCGAGCTGGAGCGCCTGCGGGCAGAGGGCGGCGCTCTGCAGTTCAACATGCTGAAGTCAGACTTCGACCTCGGCCACGAGCGCCACACGAAGTCGATCCTTGCCGAGAAGGTCGACGACCTTGAGCGCATGATTGCGTCGTACGACGAGGTTGCTCAAGTTCGGGTGAGCGGGTGCTGTTTACTCTCCGTCTGCTGCAGATTTTTCTGGAAATGTTTGTTTCGCCGTACTCTTTTGTTTCCAAATTTTCAAGAAGTGCCGAGAGTTAAAGTTGCGCAACAAAGCCACAAGACTTTTTCTGACAGGTCTTGATCTTGTGTCATAAAAGGTAGTGCTTGCTATGTCCCAGTGTTCCAACTTTTGTCGTCAATTACGCGCGGTACAATGTCTTTGTTAGCAGGCTGCATGGCAAATTCTCCATAGCCGGTTTGCCATCCATTCCTTCTTTGAGAACTTTGCCTGGGCTCGTTTTGACGACCTCAGTTGCACACTAAATGATTTGCTACGGCCTTGATCCGACTGTGTAGAACAGTCCTGGAAACAGTCCTTGGTTAGCTGGTCAATCACGAAGTTGGTCCTGCGCTGGCAGCTCAAGTCCTGTTTGATATTGCAGGACACGAGCCTGTCAGAGGCACTGTCTCTGATCGAGCAGCTAGAGACAGGCGGCGAGCGCCTCGAGAGGGAGCGGGACATGCTGCGCACCAACCTCCTGCGCCACGAGTTCGACCTGTGCCACGCCAACGCAACAAAGGCGATCCTGGGCGACCGGGTTGAATCTCTTGAGGCACAGGTGAGCGGGGGAATCCCGCTACGTAGCCCAGGCTTCGGGGCTTCTGTTTTTTGCTTGACGAGTGTAGTTTGTTGTTTTGTTCCCAGTGCTGTTAGAATCAGATTGTTATTGGTGCACGCTGACCCGTCCCACTGCGCATGCTGTTGAGTCACAAGTACATTTTGTGCTTAAGGAAGATGGCTCAAAACATCCAACCTGTTACATCTACCCTCCACTTGACGTACTGATTGTGCTTCTATATGGTTTACAAGTAAGGTTAAGCCCACAACAACCCTGTTGTCTGGATTCCTAACGAACTGGGAAGCTACCAGTTCTTGATTTAAGACAGTGGCTGATGTGCAGCGAACAGTGTACAGTTCCACCTTGGCCCTGGACCATGTGAAGTCCTGGAATAGGAACCAAGCCTCTTCTTTTTTTGTCTTGCAGGGTGAGCTGCTCCAGGCGGCTCTTGGGGAGGCCCTGACTTCCAAGGGTGAGCTGGAGGAGAAGGTGGAGACCCTCACTACTGCGCTGAAGGACGCGCAGAAGGAGGAGCGCGCTCTTCGCCAGAACCAGTCCGTGCTCAAGCGGCAGGTGAGATCGACACCAGTGCACTGTTGGAACTTAAAGGAACGATCAAAACCTGTTTCTCTTGTCAGGTTGTCATGCGGAAAAGTACGCCTTGCTGTCTGTGACAACCTCACTGCAAAGACACTGGACTTCTCCAATACCTCTGTTCACAGAAAGTACTCGTGCGTTTCTTGCCCAGGGTCTAATATGGTGTGCAACACTTTGGTCCTTGCGAAGTCCAGTTTCAGCCGTTCAAAGAACCTCTCAGCAAGGCTCTCAGATGCGTTGAATGCTTCCCTGGGCCCTCATTCGCTTGCTAAACGATACGAAAGTTGGTTCGGAGTTCTGCCCCTGATTGCTCTATGGACGTCTGCCGACTTTCTGCTTTTTTGGGCGTCACTCTGGGTTTGCCTCGGTTTTTCAACGGCTGCTTGGGACTCTTGTTGCTGCAGGTGTTCAATCTGAAGATGGACAACTCTGCGATGAACCGGACCAAGGTGAAGCGCTCAGAGATCCTCGCAAGCAAGGAGCGCGAGCTGGCAGAAGTGGAGCAGGCGCTTGCGGCAGCGCAAAACGAGGTAAGCTTGCCAGCTGTCATCAAGTTCTTCCCTTCCGGGAAATCGTGCATTTCTCTCAAATCGCCACAGCTCCGGACCCCGACAGTCCTTGCTTGCCAGCAACACGACGTTCACTGAGCCTTGACACCGGAGAACAACGCCGTCTTTAGCAAGTCTTGATTATTGCAAAGTAGGCAGATCCTCAGGAGCCGGTGTCTTTCTTTTGCAGATTGCCCAACTTACCCTCATGCGGGAGGACGCGCAGACGGCCATGGACGACCAAGAGTCTGCCAACCAGTCAGAGAAACAGTGGGCTGGGCTTGTCTCGCTCTCGGAGTCCGTCCAGCAGCAGGAGGTGAGCTTTCACACTGCGGATTGAGTGCTTGCAGGTTTTTCATTGTCATGGAACGTTTTAAGGGGATAGAAGCGCCGGTATGTGCCCCTTGAGCCGTCTTCCTGAAAGCGTTTGTCATTGCATGCCCTGGTTGTCCTCATCTTTCTCTTATGCAACATTACAGTCGTTTGAACCGTTTCGAAAGGCTTCTACTTCTGTTCTTGGCCCGTTGCTGGCTGTTGGCCTTTCAAAGTACTCGAATCCGGTCGGCTTCGAATTAATTTGCCTTGACCTTTCGCTTTTTACCACAAGGTCGCCCCTCGTAGCACTTCTGTCCACTCCCCGTCGTTGCTCTTACACACTATCGGCCCGGCTGTTGAGCGCCGATCTCCCTGTAAAACACCAGTGGTTTGAGATCTCACCTCCCAACTATTCTGAGCCGAATCCACCTTCATGACTCAGTGGTTCAAGAGCCTAACCTGTTAGGTAACCGCACGAGAGCTGAACTCTTTGTGTGTGATCGTGCAGGAGAAGAGCCTGCAGGAGGCGCTCTCGCTGATCTCGCGGCTGGAGGACGAGGTGGCGCGCCTCGAGGCCGAGGGCGGCGAGTTCCGCAGCAGGGTCTTGTCACAGGATCTGGACCTGAGCCACATCCGTGCAACCAAGGCGATGCTCGACGGCCGAGTCCAGGACCTTGAGGCGAAGGTAAGCGAGCGGAGTTTGCCCCTTGCTGCGGGATTCTTGTGTCCTCTCAGAGGTTGCTTTTCGTTCGTCCTTAGATTCGTTGTGTTTTTGGGACTGGTTCGACCACTCGTACGTGCAGACAGATCGTGTCCGGTTTTGTGAAAACGAGAGAGAAAGAGAAGAAGATATAGGCGTTCCACTGCTGTCGTCTTTCAGGCTGCTTCATCTTTCACACCCTTGCGCGCCTTTCTCCACATTGGTGCTTGTGTATGCAATTGTGCCTTCGAAAGCTGAATTTCGTACGACCCTAACGGCTCTTCCGTTCGTTTCTGACAGGGCGAGAAGCTCTCCACGGAGCTGGAGGAGGTGATGTCCTCCAAGGGCGAGCTGGCCGACAAGGCAGGCTACCTCGAGGGGGTTCTGAGGGCCATCCAGACCGAGGAGCGCTCCCTTCGCGGCGACCAGACGGAGCTCAAGAAACAGGTCAGTCGACTCGGTTTGCAGCGCTTTTTCGTGTTTGCAGTAATATTCTGGTCGCTGGTCGGATGCAACGCTGCTTGATTGCAGCGCTTTCTCTTCAATCGCAATTGTCATCTCAGAGTTGCAACGATTTAGTCATACTGCGATGCTTCCGTTAGATTGCAACGTTTCTGGTGACTGTAATGCAGTGTCGCAACTACTTCCGTCAGCCGCTCGAATATACATGTACTGACCGGAACAAGCTTCTTTGTTTCTGCTGCAGCTGTCCAGCCTTCCAATATGCAGCATTTGAATACGGTTTCTAACGGGGTTTTTCTTGTTGCTTTTCCACCCCCCCTGTGACGTGTGCGCTGACCGGAGCACGCTTGTCTTTTGCTGCAGCTGTTCAACCTGAAGGTGGACAACATGGCGCTGCACCGCGCCAAGTCAAAGCGCGCGGAGCTGCTCGAGACCAAGGAGAAGGAGCTGGCCGAGCTGACGCAGTCGCTGGCGCAGATGCAGAAGGAGGTGAGGCCGCGACATCTGCTGAAGTCCCTCTCTGAAGATTATGTGCCCGTCTTCCCCCGAGGATTCATCGATCAGGGGAGATGTCGATGAAGGGTTTGGTTTTTCCAAATGAAACTTGGTTGTTCTCCTCCTGAAGACCAGCAAAGATCATTGGTGTCTTGGCGAGCGACGAAAAGCGTCCCAACGATAGTCTGTTTCCTTGGCAATCGAAATTGTTTCGCAGACAGTGCAGTGTCGGGTTCAATATGTTGGCGTCTGCAGAAGAGCGGATGATTGAATGGGTGGTTGTCCAGACATTTTTTGATCGTAAAAGACGAAGTTCGCAATCAGACCCGAAACCTACCATACGTCTTTTCTCAACCTGAATACATCCTGCTACAGGCCGCCTATCTGGTCAAGCAGCTGGCCGATGCACGCACAGTCCAGGCGGGCAACGACAGGCGCGGTTACGGTTCTGACTCCGACGACGAGCCGTCCGTCGGCAAGCAGCTCGCCAAGATTGCCAGCCTGACGGTGGCCGTGCAGCGCAAGGTGAGAGGGTGCCCGACAGAAAGGACACGTGGCACATTTTTGTCTCCTTGCACCAAAGCACCTGTTTTCGGATCTGGGGTATTTGAGAACGAAGTCGGACAATCTGCATCTTCAGTCCCTGCCGTTTTCATGAATGTTCTTCTTTCTGTCTTTTCGTTATCCTCTTCCTTTCCTTGGTTTTGAGGAAATCTTGGCTACAAGCCCTGAGAAGGAGGTCTCAACGGCCAGAGTTCTTGAGATCAAGTAGAAGCTCTGCTGAGAGTACTATGCTGAATACAGTGGGCCATTGTTTCTGACAACCATGTGAAGGAAACTCTGAACACTCAGCCGTCTAAACAACCGATGTACCCCTTCACTGCCTGACACCATTCCCTTCTCGCAATCCAGGACAAGGACGCAAAGGGCGACGCCAAAGCGCAGGCGGACGTTGATTCTGACGACGATGACGAAATCACCCCCGACCCCGAGACCGAGCAGACCGCGAGGAAGGCCATGAACGCGGCCGGCGCCTCTGTGCTCCTCTCGTCGATGCTCGGGCTGTCTCTGTCTTTCGGGTCACCTACGATGGCGCCACCGCTGCGTGCCGCCATGCCCCAGATCTCGACGATGTTCTCTGCGCCAAACCCTGTGGAGCAGCTGGCGGAACTGTCCAATCTTGAGGACATCACTGCTGAAATGTCCGAAGTCGGGTCCTCGGAGGTCGAGAAGTTGGCCGAGATTGAGGGAGGGGGCTTTGACCCAATAGATGAGGCGTTTGAAGTGGAGACGCTTAAGGAGGAGGGGCGCTCGACCAGGTCGCGCTCAAACTACCCGGACTCCTCAGACAGCCCCACGTTGCTCGACTAGGGCGTGTCGGTGAAAGACGGGAGTCGGACCTCCAATATTGCACGAACGGTGTTGGGAGAAGAAAATTGGGGTTATTAGAAAAGCGGGTTCGATCGGGCAGCGGGCGGGGTTGAATAAGGGGCCGGCTGAGGCTGCCAACCTGGAAATCCGGGACTGTAATGCTCTATCGTGTGTGCATCGCGTGGATTCACCGTGTGCTGGCTAGAGCACTTTCGAGCCGGGTGTGATGGCATTCGTGCAACCAAGGGTTGGGGGAGGAGATTGGGCGGACTATGGACGGGGGGGGTCTGGGGGCTTTCAGGTCCAAAGCCACCAACCCGGGGTTGATTGTCGCAAGTTCAGGCTACCTTAGGACTGTTGAACAAAAGTTGCAGTCTTGATTTGTCAAAGATTGACTGTAATTGAGCGTGTTGATTTGAGAACATGTTGCATCCAGTTCTGGTCGGAAGCAGCAGTGGCCATTGCTTGTTAGGGTCCGAGTAGCATTGTTTGAAGGTTCCGTCTTGCATGTTATAGTTAAGGTAGAATTGCATTGTCGCCCATTTGTCTTGCTCAGTATTACAGTGACATAAGCATTGTACATATACGCAAAGACGTGAACACCATTTCAATTGTAGATTCTGTTGCGCAATGATTGGCACTTTGATTGACTTCATTGCGGTTCTTCTTTGAAGTTTGCATATCTGGTCCACAATGACAAGTTGCTTGTTATCCAAGTCGGATCAAAAGGATGCCTATCCTTTGTGAATGATTAAATGCGATAGAAGCTTGATATATGACTGCATATGTATCGAAATCCCTGTGGTTTGAATCGATATAAGCCAACGTGAACATATGCCATTTGTGGAAAAGACTGCCCAAAAACGCGTGGCCATGCTGCGTCGCTTGAAGTCAAAATCGTTCGAGTGCGAGGCCCTTGTTGCAGGCTGAGTCTAGCGCCAGCTGGGCGCGGCGGCACTATAGCAAGAGGTTTCCTTTGTGTTTCACATGTAAATTAAGGCCCAGCTTAGTAGGCTGCATGTATACTGAAACATGTGCACATATATATTCAGGCGGAGAGCTACACATGCTGCTTGCAAACGACGGTTAGTATCTGATATATATATATGCCAGGACATTTTCATGAAAAATGAGGCATGGGCCGCCGCCTCTGCAGCTCTAGGTTAACCGGTCACGTACGGTACCGTCACCGTACGAGGAGGCCCTGTGCTATAGGCGGCCCAGCCTCCACGTGCGACAAAATAACCCATCGTGCAATAGACGGCCTACGGCCTAGACATATGTTCGAGCGGCTATTGTATTAGTTGCATGATATAGCACATGTGTCAACCTTTCGATGCAAAACAGTAATGTGTCAATGAATGCATGTGCCCATGGCCGGCTGGCCGCGGACGCATACACGTGCCAGGCGAGCATGCATGTTTGAATTTAAACAAGAGGCTGTATCAGCCATGCCGTCACACGCAATGTTCTTTAGGGACAATAGCGTATACCGTGCATGGGCTTTGGCACTCGCATCAGAAGCTTGATCTGCCGCGGGCAGCATTGCATACACGCATCTGCAGTGTTGATGATTGCAGCTGTACGGTAACAATCGTATTCGGATGGTGGTTGATTGTCGGGCGGCATAGGTTCGTTGCACAGCGGCAGGCGGAGAAGAAATCTGACAAGCAACGTCTATTTTTCGTATCTGAATGAAATTGTGTAGCTAATTGTTTTGGGTTATGTCATGCTGGGTTCTAACAGCGTTATAAGACACAGTCGCCTGTCAAGCTGTCTCATATTCGCGCGTCGCTGGTCACCGGATGATTCAGCAACCAGATGTCAGTTTCAGATTCATTACATGCCGACATCTCTCTCTACCTTGAACCCATGGACACAGACGTGCTCTTCAGGGCACGGACTGCACTCCCGAGCTGGAGTCGGGTCGTAGAACGTATTTGGAGGGCAAAGGCAAGCGGCTGCACCCAAGCGATTGCGATAAGTCCCCCATGTGTCTAGCATTGCGCAATTGAGACGGAAAAGGAACCAATCAACGTGATACGTTTTCCAGATGCAGCGGGCTCTTTGAATCAATTGAAAACAACAGATACGCAGTCGACGTGATCATCCAGAGTTCCACCTCACTACGTGCACACCGAACGGGTCATGTTGGTCAGAGCGCCACGCTGCTTTGTCACAGTCAGGCCATAGCAAGGGACTCAGAACGCGTACTTTAGCACCAAAGTTGCCTTCTGGGAGACTCAGCTTCACGGGAAAGAAGATTGGGGCCTGACCTTTTCGAAGCTCGACCACGCCGACGTCATCCACCCAGAGCTGGCCAGAGTGCCCAACAAAGAGGATGGTAACGTCAATGGAGGCGATGGGCGCGCCGCCGCTGACGACTGCGCTGACGTCCTCCCAATCATGCGTCCCCGGAGCGAAGTGCACCATCGATTGCAACACGTCGCTGCCTGGACGAGATAGGGTAACAACTTTCAGTTTTTCTCCTCGTATTTTCTGCTTTCCGTTCTTCTTTCGGCGTTGCCATTGTTAGTCTTCTCCACAAGACGTCTAGCAAGCGCAGCGCTCTGAAATGAACCCGAATTACTAGCTTACGCCTTAATGGCAAGATTGGGGAAAATGCAAGCGGAACTTGTCAGTCGGAACGCCGTAGCTTCGTGACTGACCGAGAAATCTTAAAATGTCCACTGCTCAAAGATTGGGGAATGTCTTCCCCGAGAGAATGGGCTGGAAGTGTCCTGATTTTCCACCTTTGCGACTCGCATATTCGCCGAGGTGGGCTCAAGCAAGCGGAGTATTGCACAGACTTCCTCGTCCCTTTGCTTCGCTGCGGATGCAATTTATTACGCCGCAGCACTTTTCGAGTCCTATCCTTGCCACAAGCTCTGCATTCGGCTTTCCAATTGTCGCCCTCAAGTCGGCACCGTGTACCCGATGACCGCCCCAAGTAAAATGAGCAAACCAGGGCCAACTAGAGCGGGGCAACCAGTGCCAATTACAGCGGTCAAATCGGTGCCAACTACAGCGGGCAATCCGATGCGAAATAGCGCGGGCAATCAGAGTGAGCAGAACTTTTTGCAACTAGAGTGTGTGCACCCCGGTGGCAACTAGAAGGGGCACACCGGTGGCCAACCATGCAACTCTTGTGGCGCGGTCTCACCGTTCTGATAGTGCACTTCGAGCAACAGGCCCAGGCCCTCGTCGGCGGGTCCCACCACGCCCTGGCCCTTGTGCCAGGCGCTGATGAGAATAGGCCCCGCAACTCTCTGCACCCAATTCGAGCCCCCCGCTTAGTTTCGGGACGTTGAAGGACGTTCAAGGCTGGAGTCTTCCGCTCAGAACGGCAAGTATTGCAAGACTTTGGACGGGGTACATGCCTCCTCTTTCAGTACATAAGAGCAACGCATTATCAAACGGCAGCTTCAGATCACGCTCTTTTCCTCTCCGCTGCTTGCGTCGGTCTTCCTTCTATGATCAAGAGTTTGCGGCCCTTTCTCGACCCACAAGGTGCCGACAGCCTGAAAGTCCCTGAAAATGTCGTAAACTGCATTCTACAACCCAGATCCCTTTACAATTCCACGCCCCATCCTCGCAGTGGGCGTGTGCCGTCAGCCAGCCGCATCTTCAAAGTGTGACGACGAAAGAAAAGTACAACTCCTTGGAATCCACCCAAAGCTCTGCACCGACCGGCACGCTTGCTTGCAACGCCCATTGCCAGCTACGCGTTACCTGATCCACGGTAACGGACTGCATGGCGCCCCTTTGTTCGTCCAGCCGAAACGACTGCAGGCTCAACGCGGGCTGCTCCTCTTTCACATTCCCCGAACGGCCGTTGGCGGGGTCGATGTCGAAGCCCAACCCGAAATTGAACCACTCGCGGCGGCCGTCGAAGTGCGGGTTACGAACTAGGTTGAAAGGGCCTGGTTGGAAAACAGAAGCTTGGTGAGGGATAAAGACGGCACTCATGCGAGTTGAAGGAAAGAGGCTCGCTCAACAGATGAAGCGGTCACATGACTTCATCCGAATCGTGTCTGACTTCGAAAGCATCAAGAAGAGATCAGGCAGCAAGGCTTCGACTTTCGGAAATCTGACAAGCGGCGAAGGGGGCCCGGAAGAAGAACAAGCGGTGCACTCTTCTTCGAACGGACCCTTTTGTCCCGTGCTGGCTGTATTGATTCTGATGCAAGAAAGGCAGGCCGGTGGAGAGGATCTGCACGTACTGTGTCGCAGGTGCAGCGAAATGTAACGGCATGCGTATCTAGAAGGCGAGAATGCTTCACAAAGCTTTAGAAGCCTTCTACGAGGGCTTCGAAAGGCAGCCCTCTCCACTCCCAATGGTCAACGAACCTCAGGCTCTCAAAAAATCAAAGCAGAGCTTATGACGCCAAGAAAGGCTTGGGGTGTCCTTCGTCCGCAGCATTGCACGGACCAGATTCTGGAGAGCGGTTAGGAAATCAATGCTTTCTTAATGCAGTTTTCAAGATTTGAGGGAGTGGGCGCGCGCGCACCTCGGGGCCCCTGCTTCTGTTGGCAGGGGTGGTCCCTCAGCGTCTCCAGCAGCGCCACCAGCTCCACGTGCTTGCGCCGCGTGCGGCCGAGGCCCGCCTCTAGTTCCGCCAGCCGCCCCAGCTTGCCCGACAGCGACCGCTGCCTGAGGAAATAAACGTGGCAGCAAAGCGGTCAGGGGTCGCGGAAATAGGGCTTTGCTCTAGACGAAGGAGACTGGAAGCGTCGGGCCCCGGACCGGGTTCGGAAGGTCAACCCTCGACAGAAAGAGCGTCTATTTTCAGTCACGAGTCACGACGGGAGGAGGCTTTCTGGAAGCGGCAACCCGCACGAGAAGCCATGCAGTGAGATTCGCTAGTAGACGTAGGCGAGCCGTTAATTGCAGATCCGCGGATGGAGCAGCGAGATCAGGTGACGCTCGCATCGGACGTCGTTCTCCCTGCTAACGACGGCATGTAGCGGTCATCACGGCCTTTGTGCTTCTTCACTCTTACGATCTGAACCAAGAAGCAAGCGAATCTTGAAGGTGGTATGAAACCTCGTTGCTCTTCCTGACAAGGGTGTCCTTCTTCTATACGTTCTATACACTGGTACTGGATCCACATAGACTAACGCCTTCACAAGCCCGTAGAACTGCCTCACCGTATCCGCTCCACCTCCTCCTCGTTGGACCAGTAGTACGGCACCGGCAGCAAATGCGCCCCGCTAACCCCGGGTTTCAGCCCGTTAACCTGGATCTCTAACCGCGACAGCGCGCGCAGCAGCTCGTCGAAGTGATTGAACGTCAGCGCCAACCGTGCGTGCGTCAGAGCCGCCATTAGGCTGCCGTTGGCCTCGTGGAACAACGCTAACCTGCCGGAGTCAAGACAAGGGTTAGGCCATAACGGAAGCTGCGGCCGCGGTTAACAGAGGCTTTCGGTTAGCACTTGCTGTCACGGAAGATTTAAGCGTTGTCAACTGCGTCGTTCGAAGCGAGAATTCTGGAGGAGAATCGGGAAATGCCCTTAACATGCAGAGATATCGGGAAGCAAAAGTCTTGAATCACAAGAGAATGCAAAGATCAGACACAATCTGTTCTTGGAGGGCAGAATGATGCGACTTGACATGGTTCAAGCGAAGGCTCCTCCATAGATGTTTCTACTTGATGCCAGTGATCAAGAGGGACATATCACCGAAGAAACAACGGGCTGACGGTAGACGAACCCCGCACCGCAATCCTACGTCCAACACTGTCTGGCGCATCCCGTTCCTAAGGGTATGACAGGCCTTTGCTCATCAAAATCCTGCTGCCCGCAGGCTGACCGCGGAAAGGCCCACAGGGACCTCGCAAGAAGGACCCAAACCCTATGACGCAAGACCCACACAACAGAGCGCCGGCGCCCTTATTCCTCGCAGCCCAAAAGCCGCAAACTGTGACACTTTAAGAGTGGTCCTCACCAGAAGTGTTGCTGCCAGCGGTCGGCGAAGCGCGTGCCGTTCTGCGCGGCCCGCAGGCTTTCCGTCACGAGCTCTACGGCCTGGACGTGCTCGCCCTGCGCCTCCCAGTAGAGGCCCTTCCAGAAGGGGAGCACCGGGTGGCCCGGGAACTGGTAGCACCGGCTCAGCACCTGCGGAGCATGACGTCAGCTGTGACGTCAGCGAGATCTGCAGGTGGATGGGGGCTCTGAGACGAGTCGAAAAGCTGACGCAAGCTTGCGGCGCTTCAAAGGCCCTTTCCTACTTTGCACAATGACACCGCTGCTGGAGCCAGAAATTCCCGGACTGCGATCGCCTCTTTGTGACGTACCTTGCGAATCCGCAACTAGTATGGGTTCAACTCACCCCAGTCAGCGTTTCGGTGGACATGAAGGCGAGCGTTTCGTGGTCCGCAAGTAGCTGGCTCGGCTCGAACACGTCGGGATGCAGCGTCCGCACCATGGCCGCCGCTTCCGCGCGCTCTACTGCCGACACGTAGCCCTCGTGACCGTCCGCAGAAAGAGCATCGGACGCCTCGCCGGACGCGTGGAAGAGGACTACCTTGGGAAGGAAGCGGACCTGCAGTTGAGGGGCTCAAAATTTCATACATTTACGTTATTGAGATGTTGTGATCATGTTGACGGCTTCTGATATCGCGATGCTGATTGATGCTGATTGCGGTGATTTCTGAAATGTTCCAGTGTACCTTCTTCTGTTCCAGGAAAGGTGGGCAGTGGGATGTAATGAGTGGACGTTTAAATTCCAATCGCAAACTGGTGTGCTTTCAGCACAAATAGTTCAAGTTTGTAGATACATACCAAGCGAGAATCTTGGCTTTCGAGATTATGCAAATGCACAACGTCCGATTCTCATGTCCCCGTTTGGACTGCCGCCGACGTTTGAAACGCCGTAAAGCAAAGCTTAGCAAGAAGGCCAGCCAGGTGCGGAACTCCGCCATTTGCAGGCAGACCCTTCTCCGTTCAAAACGGACAGGTAGCTGCTTTTCACCAACAAATGTGCGTCGCGTTTCGCTGATCCGACTACAGTAGCCTACCCGTCTTATTGGTCGGCGGAGCCCCCCGATAATCGATCCAGATTACAGCACAACACAAATTCCGAACACCTCAGCCATTCCAAAGCTTCTGTGACTAAATGTACGTCATTGACTATGGTAGCCACGAGCAAGGCCCACACAACACAGAGCGCAGCTGATTGACGAAAGTGCAGCGCGCGTGCTCTCACCTTTGGGCGGTAGCGCAGGGCGGACAGCCAGAAGTTCCAGTGGTGGATTTGCTCCGGACACGCCGGATCGAACCCCCCGACGTCCGACACCAGGTCGCGGCGCACTGCAAACCTGGAGGCGGGCGGGTGAGAACACGCGTCATGCATTTTAACAAACCGCAAGCGTTTCGTTTTCTGCGGAATCGGCTTTTCAAATTCTCAGACAAGAATGTGAAAGGCGCCATCCTTTTCCGGTTTGCAGAACGCGATCCGTTCTCGGCTCAGCATCCGTCGGCACAGACCAGTGCAAAGACTTCGCATGCCGCCCCTCCACATGCTGCGTCAGAGTTTCTTTCTCCGTTGAAACAACAATCTAGTCTAATAACCTTCCGGAAAGTAAGATACAGCTGATTAAGCGAAGAGATGAACGCCGAGCACTTCAATGCGGGCGTGAGCGGATAGCTGTTAGCTGCAAGCATCGCTGGAAGGAACGACGCATGCGTGACGTCAGCCGGAAGACTGCAAGTCGTGAGAAAGGGCATGGGTTTAGAACGGCTTGCAAGCAGCTTCTAAGTACTTAGGCGTTGATAGTCCAGTCGATCGTCGGCGCTTGGTTATCCTTTCAACAAGAAAGAGGCCATTCCCAGAACCAACTTTGAAGCTGCGCACCAAGACCCCAGCATTCCAGACATTTCAGTCCGGACGGCAGGTTACGGCGCCGGATGCTCACCCCAAAGGCAGATCGCTAGGCTGCGTCAGCCCACTGAGGCTCCACCCGTCTGGAAAGCACCACGTGCGTTGCTTTCCCGTCTCTAGTTCCATGCACCCCTGCAAGCTTGCCAGGTGGACTCAGTAAGGGGCGGCTTCAAGGCCTCGTGGGTCCTTGCGTCTGGCTGAACGGAAGAAAAGGCAGAAACCGAAGCAGTGACTCGGCGTCCTGAAACTTATGTAACCAATATCTTCCAAGCTTCCAACATAGGGCCTCTCCATGGATTTAGAAGGCTCTGCCGGCTTCTCGAAAAGAGACTCTCGAAATCACCCAGTCAAGCAAAGCTAAGCGGAGTCATTGCGCTTCTGGAGCTCAGGTTATGGGTCAAATCTCACCAGGAAAATCTGAGCCCGAAAGTCTGCAGCCGCACCCTCCGCAACATCAGCAAAATAACCTGGGGCCAGCCGGTCAGTTGGAGCCAAGGCGACAATCCAGTCGCCGCGCGCCAGCTGGCAGGACGGAAAACTCGATTCTGGATATGAGATTCAAAATGGGGCGACAGTGGATTGAAGGAGGGGCAAAACACCACTGCGGTTGGTTTTTAACGGAGATGCAGCGCATATGTTCCTCTTGAAGCAGAAGAGGGCTGCGTTAGGCGCAGGGGCTTGTAACGGTGTCGAAAGTTGAATCATCGAATGGCACAAAAATTGACAGGCAACCACAAAGCCACGACGATCTTGAGGGCTGTGAGTATGAGAGATTGGTTGAGGTCTCTGCTTTCAGTACGGGGACTTAAGAGGGCTTCGCAAAGGAGTCTGCAGTACTTATATGTATCCTTGTGTTCCGAGCCCTGGTCTCAAGCATGGTGGCAAAAGTCTACAAGCGCCAGATGATGCACCGCGTGTTCGATTCCTTTTATTCTCGCTGAGATACGGGAGCTGAACCAGCTGTACCGCACCAGTTTCTCTCTCCTTCGTCTTCGCCTATGAGAGGGACTCATTGCCGCCCCTGAAAAAGCGCAACCAATCAACGGCCTCTTGACAGTGGACCGAAATTCCTTTGGCCAAGCAGCAAGGACTGAAAAGCAGCGAAGCGCATTGCATTGACTCACTTCCAGCCCCCGGTTGAGCCCATCCACGATGCCCGTGCTCCCTTTCCGGATGAAGGTGACGGGGTGTTGCGTGTGCTTCGTAAGCGCTTCCCGGCAGCGGGCCGCCGTATCGTCCGCACTGTTGTCGTCTACCAGAATGAGCTCCCAATGGGGGTACGTCTGAGCAAACACCTGCACGGCGCGCGAGTCACGTCGATACTCGCATGCACATGTGTCGGAAATCAATGGACATGTTACAGAGCTTCAGAGACTCCGCGAACAATCCGAGGAAGAATGGAACCAGGGGGAGAATCAGCCTTCCAAACGAAGTTCCTAAACTCGACGTGCATTCACAACTTGCACGAGCTGTTTTCTTACGGGTGTAACAAAGCCCGTTACGTTTACGGGTGTGCCAGCATGTTCAAAAGCCAAGAATGCCTTGTCGTCTTTCGTGCAAGCCCCAATCACGACTAACGGTGTGAAAGCACCGGAAGCGTGAAATCTGCAGTGATACTCAAACCTCAGAAACATTCAGATCTGATCGAAAACATGGATTGACATCGACTGAACGCCCTAAGATCTTAACAACAACGTAAATGCTGTGAGACCCCAGATGGGATGAAGGGCCCATATGAATCTGCCACGGCGCCTTTCACAGCAATGCTCCAAAGACGACATTGAACATACACCGGAAGGGTTGCGCAGTCCAGTGGAGTCATTTGGTGTTATCGAAGGACCTTTTCGAAGGTCGCACTCAATTCAGGTGTCAGATGACCGCTGTGCTACCCTTGTGCAAAGCGTAAGAGCATGGTGGTCTTACACTTTGTATGGCGTCACTGATGGTGCCGCCCTGCTTCCGCGCTGAGATGATGACGCTTATGAGAGGCTGCAAGGGATCCCTCGTCCGGTCCTGAAGAAAGCAAGAGAGACAGAGAAGGTCAGCAACGGTCGCAGCTGTACATCGGCTGGTGTTTGTAGAGAGTACTGCTTGATCTAGTAGCAGGCAAGCATGTTTTTGAATTTCAAACAGCAGCCTGGGCAATATACTGTCTGAAGTGAAAGAATGATTTTCGTTTAAGGGCTTGACCGCAACAGGCACGGAAACTACCACCCAGCAAGCTATGTGATCGACCATATGTGGGGATTGGCTTTTAACTACCTCTTTAACCCAGCAGAATTCAGTTCTGCACGCCTGCCCAGCTCCGCTAACCTCATGTCGCTCATCCAAGTGGTTAAACAATCGGTTCCTCTTTAACGTTTGTTTCAGAGAAATTTTACTACTGGACCACACGATTTGCAAAAAGTCTGCAAGCCTCAGACACGAAGGTTGTAGTTGTTGAAAACTGATCGGACGACCAGAAGATGATGGTATCCCCATAAAGAACTAACGGATCCGGAGAAACACAATCGCAGGTTGACAAAGACTCATATCAAACAGGTTCGAGCCAAGACCGAGACAATTAATGTCAAGATAAACAAGAGGGGGGTTTGTGGAGATGTCTCCTTCCTTCACCACTCAACCACAAAACCAACACCCACCGGCAGCACGCCATTGGTCTTGGTCTCTAGAGCCCCCGGCCCCAAGGGGAACACTATCTCGATCTCCTGATGGCCCCTGCGGCCCCCGGGGTCTGTTGCTAACAGCGTATGCCGTGCCAGACGCTCCTCACGTAGTGCCTCTTGGGACTGGGCCAGCTCTTCTCGTAAGAGGGCCACCTCAGCATCATAGTTGATGGCGACCTGAAGGGGGCGAGGCTGCGGTTAAGGGCTCAACAACTTTTTGGGTGGAACTGTGGAAAGAGGGGCTTACTTGTTTGGCTTGAGGAGAATGGTCTGACCATGATTGCACAGGGGGAAAGTGCACATGTTTGTCTGGGCAGGGAGCTGGGGCAGTGAGGTGGGCCAGAAAAGGAATAACCTTTTGAAGTTCTTTCTATGTGACCACCACTATAAGCAGCTTCTGTTTGGTCATGAGGCTGTCAAGCAGCGTCCTGAGTTGACTCTCCAAAATGGAAGAAGGCAAACCTCTCTTCAACAGTGCATCTAGAAGGTTGTGCATAGGTACACGATGATGCGGGCTTGCTTGAATTTATCCAGAAAGCTGGCGATGATTGGTGGTGTGTTCCTTGAGATTTTCAATCCACAATGGGGCGGCCCAATTACCTTTTTGGGAGTTCCTCCCTGCTTCACTTCCCCTGTCCCAGCAAGAAATGTGTAGTAAAGGAAAGTGGCACTCAGGTGCAAGACCGTAAGCACCACCACGACGAGCGTCCAGTTGGTCCGGCGCTGCAAGCCCCTGAGGGAGGAGGTAGTCCTCCTCAATGAAGGGCTTCGCTGCAGGGTGGGGCTTAGATTCATCCTGTGTCACCGCGCTGCTTGTCATAACCACGCGAACCTTGACCTCTGGCCTTTTGATTCAAGAAGAGCAATCAAAGGAGAGCGGTTTATGACAATTCTTCATCAGATCACTGCCATTCGATCTTCTTGTCTTTGCTTCTTGTCTCCAAGCTCAGCCACGGCAGCTCGAGAGTACTTTAAGGACAGTAGACTTAGCAGGCAGGTTGAGTTGAGATTGAGCCAAGAAAAGGCGCAATGGAACTGCATTCTTTGTTCTCGTTTTGCAATGGAGTCCCACATTGACATGGCAGGGCGCAATTTGTCTGCACTGGATGCCCTGCTTCTTCAAGTTCAGGTGCAAGGCAAGGAACCTGATGTCAACGGAAACTACTGGTTTGAGCGGCTAACCGGGCGGTTGGGTGGTATGGTCATCGGCTTCAATCGTAGCCTGCATGAGCCTTTAAGTCCAGGCACCCCTAACCTAATATGGCAATCGGCCGGTTAAAGGCAGGGTTAAAGAGCGATTTTGAGTGGAGACGCTGTCGATCCAGCATTCTCCGCAAGCCCCACAACTTGAAGTTCAACTTCAAGTTTCTGACGCGCCCTTCCAAGAGAACGTCAGACTCAGAGTCATAGGATCGCTTCCCTCTCTCTGAGTTTGTCTCAACACATGTACGACTGTTCCGTTTTGATGTGATGCACCAGCTTACAGGATGCTCGTACAGGTGCAATGGCGAAGAAGAAGGTGCAAACTCAGGTGAAAGTAGCCAAAGGGACGAAGGCGGCGGCAGCCGCCCGCGAAAAAGACAGCCCCAGCACTCCAGAAGTGGTGGTGGGCAAGAATGCTGAGAGGAAGCGACGCGAAGCGATCCGGCGGGCCAAAGAAAAGTTGAAGGTACATCTTAGCGAATGCAAGCCCCACAAAAGTGGCGGACTAATGGCACATCCTGCAGTCTGTACTTTTTGGGGTGCAATGAGTATCGTCACAGACGCCAATCAGTAAAGGACAACCACTGCTGAGAAGGTACTACGAGAAGACTTGGTGACAGAACCGTGCTTGTGCACGTCATTTGTTCTTGCCCCTGCTCAGACCCATGCGCAATCAGCTCATGAACGCTCTTCTTTTCTTGTCATCACAGGGGGGTTCTGACATTGCCCTCTTTCGGGAGCAGCTTCGCGTCATTGGTTTGAAGATTCAGGAGGTGACCGCTGATGGCAACTGCTTTTTCAGGTGGGCCCCTTCAGGCAGAGCCTGGCCTTTGAGAGTCAATTTGTTTGCACCCATCACCACCTATCAGCAGAAGATTCTCTGCCTGAGCCACGAGTCTCTCTTGTCGACAACCCTGTCACTGTCTCCTTCTCATTCCATTGGCTCTTTTCCTCTCCAGCTTTACTGAATCCTTCTGGCCCCGCACCTTGTATCCTTCTCAATCTGTGCCTTTCTCCAGATTTCCTTCTTACTGTCTCCTACCCCATCCATTCCTGGCATTTTGTATCCTCTGTGCATCGCTAATGACTCGAATCCTTACTAACTTCTTGGTAAACCCTCTGATCCCACACCCTCCGTTCCCCTTTTTCACAGAGCAATTGCGGACCAACTAGAGGGGGATGCGGGCGATCACGTCGCTTACAGAGAACGGGTGGTGGAGTATATGGCGGCCCACGAGGCCGACTTTGCACCATTTGTAGAGGACGACGTGCCACTTGAGAAGTACTTGCAGGAGATGCGTGAGGACGGGACATGGGCGGGCAACATGGAGCTGCAAGCGGCCAGCTTAGTAACGAGGGCCAACATCTGCATACACCGGGTGGGGGTTCACGGCTCAGGAATTTCAGAATGAGAATTTAGTGCAAGGGCAGATTGTGTGGGAAAGAGCTTGAGCACGTCTCTCCCATGCAATATCAATCAGGAGGCCGCCAGCATGGTGACCAGAGCCAAGATTGGCATCCAACAGAATGGGGGCCTGCTTCAGGGCTTTTGATTCTGTGCTTTTGAGCTTTGACGTGCGCAAGCGTTCATACTAGCTTCGTTCGAGGTGGTCAGGATTTTGGTTCAACCAAAGTGATCGGTGCTCTGAGAATGTTTTGACTGACAGATTGTATTTCGGGTAAGCTGAAGGAGAGAAGCACGAGGGTCGGTGTTCTGAGAATGTCTGACTTACAGGACTGTAAAGCTTCTTGATGCGCTGTGGTTATTGGAAGGAGACAACCAATCCTTGATGAGTAACTCAATGATAAGAAGATGTTTCCGCTCTCAGGAGTGAGCATTTCGAAGCAAAAGGATTTTTCAAAGAGGCGCCCAAGCCGAAAAGGTGGCGAACGTCCAGTGTGTTGGGAGCCCCCTTCCGACCGTCATTAAGTTGAGGACATTTTCGTCCGGCCGACCTTTGCTGAGAAAAGGGCGACAGAATGCTCCAGTCTTTGTCAACGCAACCTCTTCTGATTTTAAGTACTTTTTGGACAGGTCCAGTCCCCCAGGTGGCACATCAGAAACTTCGACGTGGCTGAAACGCGAACCATCCACCTGTGAGTTACGAGTTTCCTTCTCGCAACATCTCTCGTTCAGCCCCTTCCGGACACTCTGATCAATCTTTGCAAGGGCTCGGCGAAGCTGGGCCGCATTGTATTCGGACATACACTCGAGTCGTGTAAGGTGCGAGCTCCAAGGGCCATCTGAACAAGTTCCTCAACTCAGTATGTGGTGGCAAGATGATCATGGAGAAGCTCCAATCGGAGCACCTGTGGCTTCGCAGAGTCGTCTTCTCCTTGTTGTTCACCTTGTCTTCAAACGTCGTCAGGGCTGTGGCCCCAGAGCACAGCGTAGTAACCGAGGTCGAAATAAGCTCAACATCAGCCATCAACTCGCCACGTGGCAGGTCCTACCATGACGGAGAGCACTACAACAGCGTGCGTCGAGAAGACGACCCGGGGGGAGGTCCAGCGCTGCCTATTCACGTTGAGGGCGACGCCCAGCTCAAAGGCCCCCCCACCGCTCAGAAAAAGTCTACCGCGACTCCGAGAGGTCGCTCCAGTTTCCGGGAGGAGGACGTGACGCGGGTGATTGCCAGCACTCCTTGTCGAGACGAGGAGCGGATACGACAAGTAAGTGATGCCGTTGCGTCCCTTCTGTCCGTCCGCTGCTCGGGCTTTCCTGCACGAGGCATGCGTGTCGCTGAAATGTGGTTCCGTTTCTCTCGGATTGTGTGCCTTAGAGCCGATCTGTTCAGCAAGCGAGGGGGAGAAGGGTCGATGGGTTGATGGTTCGGGGCCGATTTGGATCTGGCCATTGGATTGCAGAAAAGAACATGCGTGATGGAATCTGCAACTTCTAGCATTTCTGATGAGCTCCTGACTGGTTGGCTCGCTCTTTTGTCCTTCAGCCTTTCCACGGACGTCAAATGTTCGAGGCCAGCTCGACGGAGTTGAACACCCCTACGAAACATGAGCACCACCTTCGGCCGAGGTCCTCGCATACGTTAAGCCAATGGCAGGCGCGAAACCGTTGGTCTGACAAGAGAGTGTTGCTTCGCAGGTCTTGCTCGATCTTGCCGGCGACGTCGATGCTGTCATCGAGTTTTTGATCGCCGAGGGCAGCTCCGAGAGCGCGCTAGCGAATGGTATCGCCGAGGACGGGGTGTTTTCAGAGCGTCCGGCAGAGGCGTTAGCAACGATGCACGAAGGTACGGACAGCGACTGTCCGATCCCACGGACTAAAAAATCCTCACTCCCGAGTTTCGAGCAGAGATACTCTTTCTCCCTCAAGTTTGCCTGCGTCCTGCTGAAGACTAAATTGCGTTGTCGTTAATTCACTGACCTGGCGTGGGCGTTCGGCTCCCCGGCTTTTTCCCTCTGTTTTACTCTTCCACAAACACTGTCTCACCTACAGGGGCCCCGTTGGCTTCAAAGTCCTTGGAGCCCGCATCTCCGACCGACGCCTGCACGCTTGACATCGGAAGACAGGGCGAAGACAGCGGGAATGGAGAGACTGCGTCAACTTCGGGGGCAGAGAAGCAGGTGAACGCTTCATTGCGGCTGCTTGATACGTTGTTGTGAAAAAGCTGACCGACAACAGCAGCCCAGGGTCGCGAATCAAATGAGAGCATGTAAGAGAGCATCAGACATCCAATTGCGATCTGTTCTAAGCTGCTTTACGGCTGCACACGTAGAACGAAGGCAAGTGCCAAGGTGTGTCATCTGTTCACCAGACTCGTGTGGTGCGAGGGAGTGTGCCATACATTTAGCCAAGCTGTTGCACAGCTGAGTCGTCAAGCGGAGTCTGACGGGTTCCCAATCTGACCCTTTCGGCATGATTGGCGGGCTCAGCTTTGCCGTCCTTGCTGGACACATTTGCCAGCGCCAGTGAAACACTGAGCTCCTAGTCCGAGTGTGTCGTTTCTACAAACGCTTGCTGTTGTGTCTGTGCAGCCTGCGGCGCGCAACAAGGCGTGTCCTTGTGGGAGCAAGAAAAAGTACAAAGCCTGCTGTGGGGCGGCAGGGTCGAAAGCCGATCGGATCAGGTGTGGCGAATACAGATGTTCTGGCCGCCTCCTCTCAATCTCGGTAGTTGCGCTTTGTTTGCCAAGCAAGTATCAGATGTGATTGTGGATATCCAATGTGGCTGTGAGGGGGAAGGGCGGAATTACATGTGCCACAACGACTTCAACTTATCCAAGTTGCTTATGATTGCCCGTGGCTTGCTAATGGCCTACGGAACGGCTAGTGCTACAGAGCTCTCCTGATCTCCGAAGTGTGTGTTCGCAGGCCAGCTTCCGAGGTGTCGAATCGTCAAAGGAAACAATCGCAAAGGCTCGGTAAAAGCTATGTTGCGGAGTCTGTTCGCAAGAAGGTGTCTAGATACTCGGAAGAGGATGTTCCTGTTGATATGGGAGCCTTGTGCATTTAAGGATGCGCGGTATGCGACCCGTGCAATCACATCAATCTGGCGCTGCTTGAAATGCTTTATTTCAACGGTTCCTAATCGGAAGTTTGATAATCAAGAGGGATCTTCATGAATGTGGTTGTCGAGTGACAAAAATGTCATAACAATGGGCGGACCCGGCCAATGAGCCTAGCCCAGAAGTCATGCCTTAATGTGTTCGTTGAAAGTTGTGCTTTCGTTGAACGAGGACCGCATGTCACTTTAATTGACTGTTTCTCTGAGGCCATTTTTGAATCTTGCCCCACGTTATCAGCACCAAAATTCCCTTAATAACGCAAGTATGCAAGGCATGCACATGCGCTTTCCGACGCCAACTTTGATATGTGCCTCGCGTAATCAGCTGATTTTCTGTGCGGGCTTATGGCGGTTGTGTCTAAAAAGATGATGACTGTACCGCGTCCTACCAATCTGCGGAAGTTTAGATTGGATATTTATCAACACTAGTTCGGCGCGGTAGCATCATGCAACCTCAACAATTCAGTTGAGAACCATCCGTGATCGCGCATCACGGGTACTCGCCATGATCAGTGCATGGAGTGCAATGATTGCTCTTGTAGCATTTGTTGTATAATCGTCGCGTACAAGCTTGTACTCATTGCTTTGACTTGAAGAAGTCATTGAAGCCTGTCTTGGGCTCTTTCCCAGGAGCGAGCTTTGGAACGAAGCAGAGAGTAATCTTGGATGCGACTTTGCCGCGCGAATCTTTTCATGGGCACTATACTTAGTATACCGGTATGCACGTTTTAATGCTATCAAGCTGCTGTCTTTCGTGAGGCAAGGGTTGTTTTTAGAGCTAGATCATTGCCGCTCACAGTATAAATCGAACTTAGACGTACAGATATTACAAACGGCTGTATTGCAGGACATGCACAACATTATATTCATAAGATGTGCATGGTCGAAGACTGTAAGTCTGATGATTCCATTCAGCTGCGTTGGGCATGTTCGGCATGTACGTTCACATGGCCCTCGGATACGTTCGTGAAGAAGAATGATCTGGATACACGAACTGAATGGGCGGCTGCACAAAAGAGAACTTTGAAGTGCACGAAAACTTGATCATATTTGATGCTGTGTGGGTTCTAGCAAGTGCGCAATCCTCTTGAGTCTTGAAGGTTTGCATGACTCGTTGACCGTCACGTTCCCAGTACGTGCCATTGGTACCACTCGTGCCGACAATTTAATCATTGAATTATTGGTGAAGCCGGCCGGCTCAGAACACCAACAGGTCTTCTGCGCGAAAGTTCTGGGCAATGTTTTGTTCTGGTGTCAAACGTACGGCAGCGCAAGTATGGCCGCGCTTTGACACAGCAAATATGTTCTGAAGCACTCCGTAATTTGCACTGGCGCACCGACACGTGTTCTCAATACCAAAAAAAGGTTAACTTAAACCCTTGGCAATGGTGTCACTACGCTTACACCGATAAAGCCTTTTTTGGCCGTCGATTAGCAGGAATGATGTGCCTTGTACCGTTCGATGCTCACCCTGCAGCCTGTGCGCGCACAGGTAACTGGCACGGCACCCTTGCTCACTGGGCAGCTGCTTTCTTGGAACCCAATCCTTAACCATTCCGGAAGGTAGAGCGTTGTGGGTGTACAATCGAATGCACATCATGCATGATCCATTCCTGGACAATCTGGCAGGTACGCAAGTTAGCTCGCCGAGCCGAGTGGGTCGAGTTTGTGGAAATCTTATTGACGGTCACAAATCCATCAGTCAGGCATCGAACGGCTGTCATGTGAGATAAGGGCCGCGGAAGCGAAGGTTAAGTACTGGGTTCCCACAAACCCTGCGCCAGCTGTGCGCACTAGACGGTTGTCAATGTGGTTGTGCGCGGTGGCAGTTCAACTGAATCGACGCAAGCGTTGCAGCACGCGCAGCAGCTCCCTATTCTGGGCAGCAGCAAAACCAAGAGGCGGCTTCGGGCAGGAAGGGTGTTGTTTCTGCATACAAGAGGTTCTTCATAGTGGAAGGGAGCGCGCTGTCAATGTAGCGACAAACGCTTTCTTGGCTTCCCTGCTGGTGGTCATTTCGTCCTTTGGAGAGGGCGAACGCTTTCGCTTCTGACTTTTGTTTGAAGGGCGCTAGCGGGTGCGCCTAACATGCAGGAGTAGGCCGTCGGTTTTGATAAAGCAGGAGGTTTCAAAAGTTGAGCTGGAAAGCAGGCGGACATAGACAGTCCTTTTCCTGTGCAGCTGCAATCGGAGCCTGATTCTCATGCACCTAGAAAGCTAGCTGCAGCATCCGGACAGCATGGCCACTCGTGTGGATCCTCCTGAGGGGACCTGTCCTCCTGGGAAGCACCAGTTCATGCTTTGGAGGACTCTGTTTGAGATTGACACAAAGTACCAACCAATCAAACCCATTGGCAAGGGAGCGTACGGGGTCGTGTGCTCTGCACGGAATTCAGAGACCGGGGAGAAGATAGCCATCAAGAAGATCAGCAATGCGTTTGAGAATGCCACGGATGCGCGCAGGACCCTGCGAGAGATTCGGTTGCTGCGGCATCTCTACCACGAGAACATCATCGCCGTGAAGGACATCATGAAGCCGCTGGGAAGGCGGACGTTTAACGACCTGTACATTGTGTATGAATTGATGGACACGGACCTGCACCAGATCATCCGGTCGTCCCAAACCCTGACAGATGATCACTGCCAATACTTTATCTATCAGGTGAGTATGTCACTGTTTTGTACTGCATCGCTGTGTAATGAAGGTCGTAATTTGACTGTGTGGTTACTTTGAAAGCGTTTGAGTTGAAGCACTTTTTGAAGCTGAGCATAGGAGCAGAGAGCTCATAGAGGGCATGCTTGCATTCCACTGATTCTTCTTGACTTATGCTGGTTGTTTTCTTTGTGCTTTCCGCTTGCCGTGTGATACTTCTGCCCCCTCCAAAAGGGCAGCTCTTTCAGGTTGACGCTCACCAACTTTCCTGAATCTGCTTGGCAGAGTCTGCTTGGCAGAGTCTGCTGGAATTTTGCTGATTCTGTGATTGCGACCTTCTAGAATGCTCGCACGAGCTGCATCGATGTCCGAGCTGCGTCGATTGCATTGATCCATGTTATGTAAAAGCGTAGTTGCATTCAGCCTTAACGTCTTCCCTCAGATGACCGGAAGGCTTGGTTTGTTCAAAGGGTTTTTCTTCGTTGAGATAATTAATGGAGGTTGGCTCAGCTTAAAGAATGTGGCAGGGTGCACTTGGGCAAGCCATTGCTTGGACTCAAAGCTGCCCATTCCGAAATGGGGTTCGCCATCGTCTGTTGTCCGCACATGTTCATTCTGAGAGTGTGGTCCTCTGGCTCCAATCAAATTGACGTGTTTCAGACCGTCAAACCCTTTCTCAAGCCTATCAGTACCTCAGGGATCCAATGGGGAACTCTGCAGACACCTACTTTCTGGAGCTCATCGTCCTAAAAAACCTGCAAAGTCGATGTCAACTTTGCGGGGAGCTGCAGAAGGTTCCTGCCACCATAGCTGGATTGCCTGTCACGATGGCCAGATTGCCCTCCATGGAGTCAGTTTCAACCGCTGAGCGTGTGACTAACCACCCCCAAAACGTGCACACTTTTTCAGTGTGCTTCCTCTTCAAAGAGTCTCGCCCCAAATGCTAACCCTCCTGCTAACCCCGCTGCAACCCCCTTCCCTACTGCAGCTCCCAGTTTGTGCAACATGCTTGTTAACCACCAATCCAGCTCCTGTCTGGCCTGGCTAACCATTCTTTAACCTGCGGCGAACCTGCCTTCCTCACAGCTCCTGGCGACCCAAGCATGTGTAATGTTGCTCAATGCCACAACTGCAGCTCTTGTGTATAACCCCGCCGCTAATCGCCGCTCCTATCTTCCTTTTTGTGCAGCTCCTGCGTGGCCTCAAGTACGTGCACACGGCCAACGTCCTCCACCGAGACCTCAAGCCGAGCAACCTGCTCCTCAACGCCAGCTGCGACCTCAAGATCTGCGACTTCGGCCTCGCGCGCACCGGCTCCGAGAAGGGCTTCATGACAGAGTACGTCGTCACGCGGTGGTACCGCGCCCCGGAGCTTCTGCTCTCCCAAGAGGAGTACACGTCGGCGATCGACGTCTGGTCGGTCGGGTGCATCTTTGCGGAGCTGCTGGCGCGCAAGCCGCTGTTTGCGGGCAAGGACTACATCCACCAGCTGAAGCTGATCATCGGCGTGATCGGGTCGCCGGACGAGGACGACCTCATGTTCATCCACAGCCAGAAGGCGCGCAGCTACATCCGGTCGCTGCCCTACACGCCGCGCATGCCGCTCGCGCGCCTCTTCCCGCGTGCAAACCCCCTCGCGCTCAACCTGATTGACAGGATGCTGGTGTTTGACCCCAAGAAGCGGATTGGCGTTCAGGTGCGTATGGTGCTCGCTGTTGCTGTAACTCTGGGACAGCGGGTTGGTGGAGGGTCCTTTTGGGCATCCTTTTTCAGGCTGCAGATTCGTGAGCGTAGACCAGTTGTCATTTATCAAGGCCTCGGGAGGGTCTTTCTCAGAAACAGTCTGCAGCGAGACTAAAAGGGTTTACCTTGTCATCCTCTCAAGTGGTTTCCGCTCAGATTATTGGAGCCTTTGGCGAGGCTCTCAGAGAAAGAATGTGAAAGGGCAATTTCAGTATCCAGAGGATCCATTCGTGCATATGCACTGACTGGGTTTGAAGACTCGATTCGCACTTTATTGCATTGAGGAGCGCAGAGGATGAGCTGGGTTTGCTTGACGCCCTGCGAAAGGTTCTTATTTAAGAGGCTTCAATCCTCATGTTGTCTTCGTTGTGATTGCAGGAGGCACTGGAACATCCATACCTTGCCATGTTGCACGATGCGGCTGTTGAGCCTTCGGCCCCAGCGCCATTTGAGTTCGACTTTGAGGAGGAGGAGCTAAAGGAGGCGGACCTTAGAGAAAGGGTGTGGCAGGAGATGTGCCACTACCATCCAGAGGCTTTCAACGAATCTTGACGGTAGGAGGTTCTGGTGGTTAGGAAGCAGTGGGGAGGTTACGAGCCCCACCGTTAAGTTTATGGGGATGGCATTAGGAACATCCGATGCCTATTGCGTTTCCAACAAACGGGTCATGCAAAGCTGACAAACAATTTTTGAACTTTTGGAGATCAACCCGAAGAAGTCTTGAGATTAAGCAAAAGATGGTGCATAGATCTGTACGTCTTTGAGATGTTGAAGTTGTCAATCAGAGGCCAAACCAAAGAAGGTGTCTATAGGGGCAAAGGATTGATATGACCCCGACTGTATTTTGAGTTCAATCTGGACCAGGTGTTTGAGATGCTCTTGTACTTCCAATGACAAACTTGCGCTCCGGTTCTCTATGCATGAATTATTTGTTCCACCAAAGTAAAGTTGATGAAGTCCCGGTTGAGAATTCCAGCAGTTGGCACCGTCTGTTGTTGCTTGAGAATCATGGTTTAACTCGTTCTTTATCAACGTTCTTAGCCACATGCTTGAGAATGATTTGCCATGGGGAAAGGGCGTGAATAGAACGATGGTAACTTCCAACCATTGATGCCCTTGGCCGCCGTTGCCTGGTGTGTTGAGTACAATGAAATGGGACGCTACCATGCAATGAAGTTGAATGATGTTCTCTTTTCAAACGCCGTAGCCACATGGGCCATAGGCTTCCATGGCATACATGGGAATACATGTTTGAGTTTTGAACGCCTAGCTACCTTGATTGCATGTCAAGTAAAGAGAAGCTCAGCAATTCTGCAAGTTGGGGACCCAGTGTCACCGGAACTTCATGCTAATTGCCGGCCATAGATTGGTGGTGGCCTGTCGGAGGATGCTTGCTTAATATGTTGAATCAATGTAAAGCGTGCATGCATGATCACAATCCCCTCCGAGTTGAATGCACCATGGCATGCCTATAAGACCGATCACAATGCAAAAGGATTAGAAAAGATCATCTCCCACTCAAGAGGCCAAAAAGGTGAGCATCAGCCGGCATTAGGTGACCTGCCTGGGACTTGAACCCAGAATCTCGAGCTCCGTAGGCTCGCGCCTTATCCAATTGGGCCAACAGGTCGGTCGTTTAACGGGGTGGCCTACATAAAGTATAACCTTATTTAAGCTTTTAAAAAAAGCCCAGCAGAGAGTAGTCCGACAACAGCCGTCTCAAAACGTCTTCATGATTTGAGGAGCCCACAAGTACTAGCACCAGCGCGTCATCTCTTCTTCTGTCTGTTTGCTCTACGCCTGCAGCTCGAGGAAAAGCAGGATGAGCAGCATCGGAACCGGGGTGCGTTGCGTCCAAGAATGTCATCCATGTCTGGTCCTGCATCTTCTAGCAAGGAATGACAATGCAATTGGTTTGCAGTCGACAATCCTGCATAGAAGATTGGCCCCAAAATGGAATAGGAAGCCTGATTTGTGGTATATAGGGAAGCACAGGTCTCCAATAGCAAGAGATTGTGTGCAAGTTTTTGCTTTTGAGCAAGTATCTCATATGCCCCAGTTTGCGGAGTTTCTTTGCCTTATTATTGGACATCAACGCTGATCCCTCATGCACCCGTGTTGGCTCTCCTGCAGTATGATCTTTCTTCAACAACCTTCTCGCCGGATGGGCGAGTTTTCCAAACCGAGTATGCCACCAAAGCAGTTGACAACAGCGGGTGAGGCCCTTTCACGCTTTGATCACTTTGTCACTACATGTGCAGCAGAACTGGAAATTGGATAGTTTTGTGCAGTATTTGCAGGTCTGAAGGAGTGCTGGTTCCTGCCAGCACTACCTACTTGTGGAGACCAGCACCGGCACCCATTTGATATTCTCGTCCTTCTGCTACAGGACCGCTGTTGGCATCCGCTGTAAGGATGGGATTGTTCTGGTGAGTACCTGTTGAATATACATAGAGCTCTGCAGAGAAATTCACAAAGATATAAAGTGCACCTATGTGCACCACCCTATGATCGCTGTGTGGGACTTTACTACTTCCCTTACAATGAGTTGATCATTGTTGGGGAACTTCGTTGGTCATGTGTACACTGCGCTGTCACAGCCGCCCATGTTTTTCAGACCTGCTTTGTGCAGATAGTACTGCGGTTAGATGACGTGAATTCTTAGTTGACGAGAGCTCAACTGACTCTGTTTGAGGGCCAGTTGACCATCTTCATGGTGTGCACTGGTTCTGATGCTCCTTTGAAAGGGATCCTGTGGTCGTGCTAAGCAAAGGACGTGCTACCTGGGGAAAGAATTGAGGATATGAGAAAGTCAATCTTGGCCGTACGTGCAGGGGGTAGAAAAGCTGGTGATTTCCAAGATGCTGGTTGAGGGCTCCAACCGGCGGATACTTTCAGTGGATAGACACATTGGGGTGGTGAGGAACTCGTTTGGTCGTCCTAACCTTCTGCGGTATCCTGCACTCTGAGGTCTGAGATAGGCTGATGCTGTCCCCACAAGGATTCATTCAAATTAGGTCCTGATCAATTTTACACCCATATGTATTCTGTATGTCCTGCCTTTTTGCGATCATGCTGACGCCCTTGCCCATTCAATCATCATGTCCACCATTCAAAGCATACCTCACCAGGGAATACTCTTGTGATAGGTGCCCCGTTAAAGTTATTGACGGAGTCTGCGATTGGAAATCGATGGATGCAGGTGTGAAAATAGATTGACATGGCATTCTGTGCAGGCAACCGCGGGCCTGGTAGCAGACGGACGGCAGATCGTCAACAGAGCGAGGGCGGAAGCTTCAAACTACAAAACGTGAGCCGAGTCTGTGTGCTGATTCCTGTGAAACTGACTCCGGCGCTGATTGCGCTGAAGCCAGTGTTTGGCAGTAGCACGAGATTTCATGGCCTTGCATCTTTCTGCAACAGTGCATGACGTCTAGCACCCCCAGTACGAAATGAGACGCTCTACCTCAAAGACGGGTTGTGCCACCCAATCTGAGCACGTAACCAATGTGTGCAGATTCTACGGGGACGCCATTCCTGGCCAGGTCATCGCCGATCGCGTCGCAACCTTCGTCCACCTGTACACGCTGTATTGGTCTGTGCGGTGAGGCGCTCTATCTGCAAACTCCGGCCTGGGTTTGGCGAACAGCAGATGATAGCACCATAGACTTGTTGCAATTCCCCTAAATCGGCCCCCCTTTCCAAGAAAGGATTTTGCCATTCTGAAACTTTTTGCAGCAAGTCGTGGAAGTTCCCGAATCGGTGGCCTCGACGTGGAAAGGCGTCCTGGCAAGAATGCATTATAAGTAAGCCTGCGTCACTGCATGCAGGCCGTTTGGATCCTCAGTTTTGCTGGGCGTCTATGACAAGGAGGGGCCGCAGCTGTATGCAATCGAGCCGACGGGGATCTCACACGTAAGTTTGGGGCACAACCTACCCTTACTTCAAAAGCTTTGAATATATCCTGGAGCAGGCTCCTTTGGGAGGCTAGAGATTGTGTTGCTGTGACACATGTCAATCCATCCCGAACAGAAGCATCAAGAAGACAATCAGAGAGTCGGCTTTATCAGCGGGTGTTTTTGTTGCCTGCTGAGCCGGACAGATTGTCTGTCAGCAGCCGAGCTGGCCAAAAGGCGTCGCTTCAGACGTTGGCCCGAGAACAGTCGTTTTTGGCGTGCTGTTACAAGGCTTGCCCCGTCCGTTTTTGCAGCGCTTCTTTGGGACAGCAATCGGCAAGGGACGGCAGGCTGCCAAGACGTGAGCCCTCGGAATCCCAAGCCGTTTCTCTCTCCGTCGCGTCAGTGAGCGTGCTCATATTCAGGGCCTGCCGGAGTTTTCCCCTGCTTGATCGCCCAGATTCGTGTGCGTCCAAGTGCTCCATGGATCCCATTAGAAAGGTGGGATTCTTAGTCTGTTTCTGGTGGAGGTACGCGCCTGACACGACAACATGCTCAGGACACGGGCCTTTTTCTGGTTGTGCAGGGAGATCGAGAAGCTGAAGCTCTCGGAGATGACGTGCAGAGAGGGGGTCACTGCAGTTGCCAAGATGTGAGCACTCTCGAACATTCTACTTGGGCTTCCGCCCATTCTCCGATGACATCACCTGTCCCGTCCTGACTGATTCTAATTGCAATCGATCTAGTGCAAAGTTCCAGGTCGCTGACTAACGCGCTCGCACGATGTGGAGTTGATAGTAACGGGTGCCCAGTCTGCGCATATGCATCATAGTCAGAACTCTGCTTCGTGCTTGCTGCAGCATTTATGGCGTGCACGATGAGGCGAAAGACAAGGCCTTTGAGCTGGAGCTCAGTTGGATCTGCGAGGAGTCGGGTCGGGAGCACAAGCGGGTGAGCACCTTGACGCTTGTCGTGATTTGTGGCTCTTGTTGTCAGAGTCAATCCTGTGGCAACCTTTCGCGATGAGAGAACACTCAAAGTGAACCATGAACCAGATCTCCTGAAAGGTACACTTCTGTTAATCTGTCTTTTCTGACTGCAATCTGTATGTCGATCCTTCAGGTTCCGGCGGATGTTCTGGCAGAAGCAGAGCGGCTAGCGAAGGCCGCACAAGAAGAGGACATGGACGACTAGCTTTGAGACTCCCGAAGACCGTTCTAAAGAAGCATACGAGATGAGATTGACAGTGCATGCACGTCTTCCGCCGGTCGTTTCTGATCGTAATGCGTGTGATCTTCTTCATGTGGTGACTGCCAGGCATTGCTTGCATCATGTCGCTGAAAAGAGCTCATCATCAGGCGTATTTAAAAAAGAGACCATCAGCTCCACAGGAGGACTAAATAGCTGTCTGCTGATTCGTTTTTTGCTGCGCCTGTGACGGCAGCGGCCTCTCAGTCTCTCGTGCAGCGGCATCCAATGTATATTATTTTGGAGTGAGCGGCCTTTGTGTATAATAGGTCGCGCTCATATATATCTGCATTGTGGCACTCGAGTCTAAGGATCACTGCGTCGCAGCCAGCTACGTCAACTCTAGCGGCCGGGTGCTTGAGCCATGCATGACAAATCAAAGCAATAATATGATATATGGTCAATCTTGCATGCATGCTGCGGTAAGCAGCTTAAGTCGTCTATGGAAACGGCACGCGAGGCTGCCGCAGCATGGCCATGCACATTGCAGTGTATATGGATCATGTTGAAACACATATCTATTTGTGCATATGCAAATTGCATGACACAATCATATATAGACTCAGTGGACAAGTGGCATGTATATGTGCCGCGTCCGACCGGATAATGGCGGCAAATTTTGCGCCTCGAGCTATCTAGTGCATCGTATCATGTTACAAGTGCAGAGGTGTACGGTACTCACTTGTCGAGTTATGCATGGGTATTTCTGCCATACGAAGCTTAGGCTAGCTAGTACTATACACAAATGCATCGAGACTTTGTGCACCGGCAGTGCACACAGGCAAAAGAGCATTGAAGAAATGCTTTGCAAGGCTGCAAAGAGCATACGAAACATGCGGCCAGAAGTCCGGCTTGCACAAGGAATTAATTGCACTTGTCCTGGGCCCGGGGTCAAATGTGCATCATCACTCAAAGCGAGATGCTCATACGAGAAGATATGATCTACGTTTGCGAGCCGCAGATTGAGCGCCAACATATGCACAGAAGCTTTGCAGGTAAGTGGGCATATGCGACTTGACCCAGAAGGCTTCACCTGGCCATAGCAAGCTTTGTGTGGTCGCTAGACAGAACGCCTGCACAGCGATTGCAGTCCAGGCAGGCTGCAAATGTCCAGATTTGAAGCAACAAGATCCTGACTAGTCCTTGCCGAAGTCGGAACTATAGTGGGCTGATGACTCGAGCTTCTTGGCATCATTCAGCTTCCGCACAGCCTGCAAGCCCGAGCACAAGGTAAGCAAATCGGACCAAATCGGACTGCATACATCAGACAATGAGCCCAGACTGCCAATCTCAACCCGAGAGAGCCAGAAGTCACGCCTGCGAGTGTGGATCCACAAACCCCCTGATGCAGACCAAGCAGAATGAACAATGTTCAGCACGTACCTTCATGAAATCCTCCTGGACCACGTACTCCCGATCGTCCCGAATGGCAAACATACCCGCCTCCGTGCATACGTTGCGAAGGTCGGCCGCATTGAAGCTCTGCAAAACAGCATCACAGTGGGTCGTCAATCTCCCCTTCACTAATGCATGGTCCCAGCTGCAGATGTGCCACTGTGCAGAAATGCAGATTCTTTGGGGCACAGAAATCGTCAGCAACACCGAGATTTTTGACACGTGCTGAATCCCACAATCCACCAGCACACTGTCACATGTCCCTTCCTGGATGTCCGATGGCAGACTTACATGCGTAAGAGTGCCATCAAGTGGTTTCAATCGAAGGCAAACTCAAGAGCTTGCAAAACGTACCTCGGCCAGCTTCGCCACCGCGTCATAGTCGATATCCCCGTGCTTCGTTATGCTCGCCGCGTGAATCTTCATAATCTCCACCCGGGCCTGCTCGTTAGGTAGCGGGATCTCGATCTTCCGGTCTAGCCGGCCCGGGCGGAGGAGAGCCGGATCGAGCACGTCTGGTCGGTTAGTGGCCATGATCATCTTGACCTGTCATGGAGAATGTAAGGTACTTCAGGATGAGATTACCTTTGTTTTAGTTACTCTACTTACTCCAACCACAGAATGCGTTTGGCTCAAAAAACAGGCCGTACAGAAAGGCCCCCGAGTAGTCCGTAACCAGCGGTCATTGAACAAACCCAACTCAAGAAGGTCGATACAGCGGCTTTGAATGTATACAATGCATGATCTCTATCCTCGATTTCAAGCAGCATAAGCCGATGCTGACAAGACCCGACTGTCTCATGAGAGCTCTGGCATCTGTGCGCACTCTCTCTTGACTCGACCAGCCACACCCATGAGGAGCTCTGCTTACGGCCCGGATTAAATAACGGCTCTTGCAGTCGTCAACGACCGATGAAGATGGTAGCAAAAACCGAGCCATTGCTGTCCTATGGTGCTCTTCTCCGCGCATTCTGCCAACCGACCAAGGAAAAGTGAGAGGTAAGCTCCGATGGAAAACCTTCTGCGCGCTCACCTTTCCGAGCTGGTCAAACCCGTCTAGCTGGTTGAGCAGCTCCATAAGAGTCCGCTGGATCTCCCGATCGGCGCTCGTCCCCTCGCTGAAGCGGCGGCCCCCAATGGCGTCAATCTCGTCCATGAATATGATGCACGGCTGCAACGCAAGCGCGTCGTAAGCTTACGCACTGAATTGGAGGAAATGCATCCTCGCAAGAGCCATGGCTCTCAGCAGGCGGCTTCGTTGAATCGTTTGTGCTTCCTCCACCAAGCTTCAACCAGATTTAGGATTCACCTTTCCATCAGGCCACTTCAAGGATGGTTCCCAATAAGCCAGGACTCCTAAAGAATCAGTGTGCGATGGCGGTTGTTTCAAGTATGACCGTCTGACATATAGGCGTAAAGGACATGGCTAGTCTCTGCACTTGCCTGATGGTCCCGTGCATACCCAAACATCTCCCGGATGAGCCGTGCACTTTCCCCAATGTACTTGTCGACAATTGCGCTCGAAACAACCTGCATCAAACAATTAACCCTCAGCCTGTAAAAGATAGTCAAAGGATTTAAGTGACAGCAAGCCCGGTTGATCTGATGGTGCAAATCTGGAAGGTTGTGCCGAATCATGCCTGCCTAAGTGAAATCCTTTTCCAGGGAACTGAAGAGATGGATTGGAAATCGAAGAAGCGATTCTGATGGACCCTTCATTAGCTGCCAATCAAAAGAAGCATGTAGAAGACACCCCTTCGAGACCGGAGCGCTGTAAACTGTCAAAGCGCGCGGCACTGACCTTCAAAAAGTTGGCGTCCATGTTGCTGGCGATAGCTCGAGCAAGAAGGGTCTTGCCAGTACCCGGAGGGCCATACAAAAGAACACCCTGCAACACCAACTTCGAAAGATCAGGGTTGGAGCAGACGCGACGCCCACTTGTCAACGGAAAGCGAAGCACTTCAAAAACCTGACCACTCTGAGCTTTGTTTGGTTCATCTAAAAAGGCATGTTTGCAAGGGATGCCCCACCTTCGGCGGCTTGATGCCCACTCTAAGGAAGAGCTCGGGGTTCATCAAAGGCAGCTCGATAGACTCCCGGATCTCCCGAATCTGCTCGCTCAATCCGCCAATTGCCGAGTAGCTGACATTCCCTGGATCTTCGTGCAGCATGTTATACACAACTGGGTCGACCTGCAATGACATAGAGCATTCGGTTGCAGATACAAGAATCGGGAATATCTGACAGCAGCAACCAGCTTCTAGGCATAAAATCTGGCAGAGATGGTATCAAGCATGCGTTTGCCCCACTGAAACAAAGAGGATCTGCGCGAATCTCTGCACGCAGCAATCGCTCTGAACTGAACCCCTACTCCAACATTAAACAAAGGCTTTGCTTCAAAGCACAATGAAGAAAGCTATTTCCAGGTGCAACTGTGGCAGGACTCCTCACCTCCCGTGGCAAAAACCTCATGATGGTGAGAGTGGTCATGTCCAAGGCGACGCGCGTGCCAGCTATGAGCTTCGCCTTGTCCACCTTATTGCGACAGCCGACCACATATCGAGGGCCGCTGCTGGCTTTAACGATGACTGCACCAATCAGGACCAGCAGGATCAGCTGGAAACCTTGCTTGAACCAGAAGCGCCATTGTCAAAGTCAGCATACCCAGACGACAGTGCTCCACTCCAGAAGCAGCCAAATCAATGAGCAAAATTGTAGCGCCAGATGAGAAACCTGATTATGTGCTGAGCTCCACTGAGGAGCTCTGATCCCAAAAGATGCTGAACAGGCAGGCAAAGTTTGCGCAAAAAACTCACATCGTTCTTCATCCAGCTGTTTGAGTACTTCCCCAATGATCTGCCCCACACTTTGAAGTGCTTTAAGGTCGTCTTCAGTCTTGTCATACTCCTTCTTGGCCGTCTTCACACTCTCCCTGACTGCAGAAACAAACGGTGAGCAGGCGCTGAGCTGAGGATAAATTGGCGCATATCCTGATTGCGATACAAGAAGCACACCATGCGAGCAGAGTACCGGCAACTCAAATTGCGCTATGACGATTCCGAACGAATCAGAGCAGTGAGGGGTGCAAACTTACGTGTCTTCACTCTCGCATCAAGTTCCTTGTGTTGCAAAAGTTTCTTTCTGTAATCCGTAAGCGCCGCCTGCCGCCGCTCATCTGTTTCAGCCATCTTTCTGGATATCAATTGAATCCGTTCTCCCCAGCCTTGTCCAGCTTGGCAAACACACCTCTTCACACGCCTCTAATAATCGATCTCCAGCGCCACAGTTCTAGAT